GCAGCGGTAGTTCGGTACTCGTTTACCTAGCGGGCTGTGTGCTCTGGACAGCAGCGGTAGTTCGGTGCTCGTTTACCTAGCGGGCTGTGTGCTCTGGATAGTAGTGATAGTTCGGTCACTCGTTTACCTAGCGGTCTGTGTGCTATGGATAGTAGTGGTAGTTCGGTCACTCGTTTACCTAGCGGTCTGTGTGCTATGGACAGCAGCGGTAGTTCGGTGCTCGTTTACCTAGCGGGCTGTGTGCTCTGGATAGTAGTGGTAGTTCGGTGACTCGTTTACCTATCGGGCTGCATGCTCTGGATAGTAGTGGTCGTTCGGTCATTCGTTTACCTAGCGGGCTGCGTGCTCTGGATAGTAGTGGTAGTTCGGTCACTCGTTTACCTAGCGGGCTGTGTGCTCTGGATAGTAGTGGCAGTTCGGTCACTCGTTTACCTAGCGGGCTGTGTGCTCTAGACAGCAGCGGTAGTTCGGTACTCGTTTACCTAGCGGGCTGTGTGCTCTGGACAGCAGCGGTAGTTCGGTGCTCGTTTACCTAGCGGGCTGTGTGCTCTGGATAGTAGTGATAGTTCGGTCACTCGTTTACCTAGCTGGGCTGTGTACTCTGGATAATAGTGGTAGTTCGGTCACTCGTTTACCTAGCGGGCTGTGTGCTCTGGATAGTAGTGGCAGTTCGGTCACTCGTTTACCTAGCGGGCTGTGTGCTCTGGATAGTAGTGGCAGTTCGGTCACTCGTTTACCTAGCGGGCTGTGTGCTCTAGACAGCAGCGGTAGTTCGGTACTCGTTTACCTAGCGGGCTGTGTGCTCTGGATAGTAGTGGCAGTTCGGTCACTCGTTTACCTAGCGGGCTGTGTGCTCTAGACAGCAGCGGTAGTTCGGTACTCGTTTACCTAGCGGGCTGTGTGCTCTAGACAGCAGCGGTAGTTCGGTATTCGTTTACCTAGCGGGCTGTGTGCTCTGGATAGTAGTGGCAGTTCGGTCACTCGTTTACCTAGCGGGCTGTGTGCTCTGGATAGTAGTGGCAGTTCGGTCACTCGTTTACCTAGCGGGCTGTGTGCTCTGGATAGTAGTGGCAGTTCGGTCACTCGTTTACCTAGCGGGCTGTGTGCTCTGGATAGTAGTGGCAGTTCGGTCACTCGTTTACCTAGCGGGCTGTGTGCTCTAGACAGCAGCGGTAGTTCGGTACTCGTTTACCTAGCGGGCTGTGTGCTCTGGATAGTAGTGGCAGTTCGGTCACTCGTTTACCTAGCGGGCTGTGTGCTTTGGATAGTAGTGGCAGTTCGGTCACTCGTTTACCTAGCGGGCTGTGTGCTCTGGATAGTAGTGGCAGTTCGGTCACTCGTTTACCTAGCGGGCTGTGTGCTCTGGATAGTAGTGGCAGTTCGGTCACTCGTTTACCTAGCGGGCTGTGTGCTCTGGATAGTAGTGGCAGTTCGGTCACTCGTTTACCTAGCGGGCTGTGTGCTCTGGATAGTAGTGGCAGTTCGGTCACTCGTTTACCTAGCGGGCTGTGTGCTCTGGATAGTAGTGGCAGTTCGGTCACTCGTTTACCTAGCGGGCTGTGTGCTCTGGATAGTAGTGGCAGTTCGGTCACTCGTTTACCTAGCGGGCTGTGTGCTCTAGACAGCAGCGGTAGTTCGGTACTCGTTTACCTAGCGGGCTGTGTGCTCTAGACAGCAGCGGTAGTTCGGTATTCGTTTACCTAGCGGGCTGTGTGCTCTGGATAGTAGTGGCAGTTCGGTCACTCGTTTACCTAGCGGGCTGTGTGCTCTAGACAGCAGCGGTAGTTCGGTACTCGTTTACCTAGCGGGCTGTGTGCTCTGGATAGTAGTGGCAGTTCGGTCACTCGTTTACCTAGCGGGCTGTGTGCTCTGGATAGTAGTGGCAGTTCGGTCACTCGTTTACCTAGCGGGCTGTGTGCTCTGGATAGTAGTGGCAGTTCGGTCACTCGTTTACCTAGCGGGCTGTGTGCTCTGGATAGTAGTGGCAGTTCGGTCACTCCTTTACCTAGCGGGCTGTGTGCTCTAGACAGCAGCGGTAGTTCGGTACTCGTTTACCTAGCGGGCTGTGTGCTCTGGATAGTAGTGGCAGTTCGGTCACTCGTTTACCTAGCGGGCTGTGTGCTCTAGACAGCAGCGGTAGTTCGGTACTCGTTTACCTAGCGGGCTGTGTGCTCTGGATAGTAGTGGCAGTTCGGTCACTCGTTTACCTAGCGGGCTGTGTGCTCTAGACAGCAGCGGTAGTTCGGTACTCGTTTACCTAGCGGGCTGTGTGCTCTGGATAGTAGTGGCAGTTCGGTCACTCGTTTACCTAGCGGGCTGTGTGCTCTGGATAGTAGTGGCAGTTCGGTCACTCGTTTACCTAGCGGGCTGTGTGCTCTGGATAGTAGTGGCAGTTCGGTCACTCCTTTACCTAGCGGGCTGTGTGCTCTAGACAGCAGCGGTAGTTCGGTACTCGTTTACCTAGCGGGCTGTGTGCTCTGGATAGTAGTGGCAGTTCGGTCACTCGTTTACCTAGCGGGCTGTGTGCTCTAGACAGCAGCGGTAGTTCGGTACTCGTTTACCTAGCGGGCTGTGTGCTCTGGACAGCAGCGGTAGTTCGGTGCTCGTTTACCTAGCGGGCTGTGTGCTCTGGATAGTAGTGATAGTTCGGTCACTCGTTTACCTAGCTGGGCTGTGTACTCTGGATAATAGTGGTAGTTCGGTCACTCGTTTACCTAGCGGTCTGTGTGCTATGGATAGTAGTGGTAGTTCGGTCACTCGTTTACCTAGCGGTCTGTGTGCTATGGACAGCAGCGGTAGTTCGGTGCTCGTTTACCTAGCGGGCTGTGTGCTCTGGATAGTAGTGGTAGTTCGGTGACTCGTTTACCTATCGGGCTGCATGCTCTGGATAGTAGTGGTCGTTCGGTCATTCGTTTACCTAGCGGGCTGCGTGCTCTGGATAGTAGTGGTAGTTCGGTCACTCGTTTACCTAGCGGGCTGTGTGCTCTGGATAGTAGTGGCAGTTCGGTCACTCGTTTACCTAGCGGGCTGTGTGCTCTAGACAGCAGCGGTAGTTCGGTACTCGTTTACCTAGCGGGCTGTGTGCTCTGGACAGCAGCGGTAGTTCGGTGCTCGTTTACCTAGCGGGCTGTGTGCTCTGGATAGTAGTGATAGTTCGGTCACTCGTTTACCTAGCTGGGCTGTGTACTCTGGATAATAGTGGTAGTTCGGTCACTCGTTTACCTAGCGGTCTGTGTGCTATGGATAGTAGTGGTAGTTCGGTCACTCGTTTACCTAGCGGTCTGTGTGCTATGGATAGTAGTGGTAGTTCGGTCACTCGTTTACCTAGCGGGCTGTGTGCTCTGGACAGCAGCGGTAGTTCGGTGCTCGTTTACCTAGCGGGCTGTGTGCTCTGGATAGTAGTGGTAGTTCGGTGACTCGTTTACCTATCGGGCTGCATGCTCTGGATAGTAGTGGTCGTTCGGTCATTCGTTTACCTAGCGGGCTGCGTGCTCTGGATAGTAGTGGTAGTTCGGTCACTCGTTTACCTAGCGGGCTGCGTGCTCTGGATAGTAGTGGTCGTTCGGTCATTCGTGAATCCCTTTTTATTTTTTGTGGTAATAAAGATCTAGAATGTACAGTAGATACCGTACTATTATTCCGTATTATACCAAATAATTTACGGACTAAAGATGCTGATTATCATTTATCAATCACTGTCTTTAGTTTTGCTCGGACTGCAATGAAAGGTTTGCCCGTTTGAACGATTACTATGGTCAGTTTCTTTTACAGCTGCCTTCAAATGTAAACGAAGCCATCCATTTATACGATTTAAACTGTAAACGAAGCCATCCACTTGCAGTATCGTTTGTGCTACTGCTAATTGGCTTTTCTAGTTTTGTAGGATTAAAAGTTCAAACCTTTTTGATTTGTTGATCTAAAAAGGGTACCAGTTTAAATTTACTGATTTTTTGCTCCATGCAACAGGACTTTGAAATTTTTTTCAAGGTCACCTTGAGCTTTCTTCTCTACCGGCACCGGCGTCTGTGCACGGGAGCCGGAGCAGATATTACCAAAGCAAAATGCATGTGACACAGTTTCCAGACATGCTGAATCGAATGGCGTTAGCAGTTTTTCGATTAATTTTTTGGTTTGTTCTGACCAGATCGTACGGGGTTTTCCGTTGTAATATAGATCTTTACCTTGATATATATATATATATATATATATAGTGCCACCCTAAATATACTTATTTGGTTTTCGCTGTTAATTAGCAGCATTTGTGCTGCATGAATTTCCTTGTGCAGTACTTATTGTTAAAAGTATTACCGCGGGGTTACTGCTGGGTAGGTACTAGGTACTCAATTGGTGATTGAAATATTATTACTAATTCAATTCAAGTTTACACGTCCAGTACAACTATAGATATAAGCTGCTGCAAAAGTTAGTAAATTAGCCGGTTAATTATACACATTTGTGCTGTGAGAAAATTTACACACCACTCTAATTTGTTTAAAATTGATTTGATTTTAAATCCTCAGGATGTTAAAAAAAATGTAGAACATTATAAATTTAAGGTTTTGACTCAAGGGATGACAAGTCAACAAGAGACTTTTAGTGCAGTACAGTCTGTACAATACATCGAGATTGTGATACGGTACTGTACTACGGATTACGGACCAGTAGGGGTACTAGGACGTACACACAAATAATAATAATAATTATATTTTACTTAATGCTGACAATTAACTATTATTCGATCTTTGTGAATCATCGACGTCGAACGATGACGCCGTTGACAGGCAATCAATAATTATTTAAAAAAAGGAATTCAGTATTAAATTCAGTGTAGCAAGTACAGTAGAAACCATGAATCGGTCTTCGCTTGCAGTTTGCAGTTTGCACTGACTGGTGAGCCTCGAGCCAGTCGTTCAGACTCATACATATGCATGTACGAACAGTCATAAAGTTCATAACTACATCGTACGAGAGCATCGTACATATGCGCAGAGTTTTGTCTTGCGACAGTCCAGTGCCGCAACAGTGCAGCTGCCACATAATAATGGAGTTATCAGCTTTGGCCGTTTTGGGCTTGCAGAACACCATGCAGCATTCATTTGGGTGAATCCTGATAAATTTCGGTTTTATTACAACTTTTCTGATAACTTCGATAAGAAAATTAATATCGCCCACTGGCCTTGTTGCGAGCAGCTTTGCGAGCTTTGATGAATGCAAGCAGATGAATTTATAATTCCGATGACTCGGATTGTGCATCGGCTGCTCCAAACATCTGCTATCAGCCACCGACGCTAGTCATAAACGGGTTCGTAATTATCATATTTAAATTTGTTTACGTTAGTTATACTGGATGTATTTCATGGATTAGCGCACCATTTGCTCTTAACTCATTTTTACCGGGATGGTATGGACTGAACATCGGATTACAAAAAAACATGCAACGATGTTGCTCAGGATCTGTAGCATATTCCCCTGCCTTATTGCGCTGGCCTCGTCTTTCAATTTAGACACTCGGATACCTATCGTTAAGTTTGGAGATGCCAAGTCTTTCTTCGGTTACAGCGTATCGCAGCATCAGATCCAACTGCAGCCCAATAATCCGGGCTCTGCATATGATAGTGTTATCTTGGTGGGCGCTCCTCGTGCCAACACTACACAGCCGGGAACGGTTAGCCCGGGAACTGTTTATCGGTGTCCCATTACCACACGGCAGCGGGACTGTACACAAATTGATCTTAGTTATTTTACTAAGAATCAGCCGCCTCCACGGGACACGGACGACAACACAATAATACAGGAAATCGCTGACGATGGTAACTGTTTATTCCTTGTGTAAATATCATGTCGTTTGATATGACGTGCAGAGTTGCAATTACGTGAGACGTTTTACAGTTTCCAGTCTGCGCCAGCAGTGAAATGAGTGAATACTACTAATTATAGCAGTGCATAGTTTATCTTAAATGTCTAAATTTAGGCTGAACCAGAAATAGATTGCCGTTGGAATTCCGGTTTTCCTGTTATGTATGGGTGCATGTTACTTGTAATTAAATTTTTCGTACTGCATACCTGATGTTCATGTTCTTGCGCACAGCTAGAAATTCATAAAAGTACTTGATGTTTAAAAAAAGGTTCACATCTGAATGTGGGTTTATCTTGCGGAAATGCTGCATATGTTTTAAGTGGAAAAACTAGCTGAAATACGCACATGCTTAAAATGATTATATGAAACTGACTCTGGGAAGTTAGGAGAAAGACTGTTCAAAGTTTATTACTCATTTAATGCATTAATTTATCATTTATTCAAGATATAATTGAAATATCTGCGGGAGTTTCGAGAAACTGAGAAAGTGTTGTTGCTTCATCTTTATTCGGTTCATGTGTTTTAAACATATTTATGATATCAGGTGCTGTACATGTAGTGAAACATCGTTGTATATTTTACTTTCAGATTTCATTTAATTTCTTGAAGCGTTTACACTACAGAGCCAAGACGTCATATAATATTATGAACTGGAATTTGTGCTGGGCCGCATATATGTATTAACAGCTGCATCGCAGCACGCGTGCTCCTACTGTAGTCTTGGCTTGTGAACTGGCTGCTGACCTTCTTTTTCTAACACATCCATTTTACAAGTAACGATCTCTGACCAAATATGTAAATAATTCCATCGACTGTTTATTTTGAAAACAGGTTGGCTGGGCGTGAGTGTACGGAGTCGTGGCCCAGGTGGACCGGTGGCAGCCTGTGCGCATCGCTATCGTAAAGCGCAGATGAAAGGCAGAACAGTGGAGAATGAGATGATCGACGCTATCTACGGGCAGGGAATGTGTCATGTCTTTGGCCAGGATTTGACTTTGAATCGCAGCCCACTGGAAGCCTGTGCCGGTAAACGCACAACCGGCGGTCACCTGGATTTCGGAGTGTGTCAAGCGGGAGTGTCGTCGGAATGGGTGGCCGGCGACGATCAGCTGCTGATGGGAGCGCCCGGTGCACTTAACTGGAGAGGAGCCATTTACTCTATTGCGACTGCGGAGGAAATTGGGATTGATACCAATTGGTATTCGTCGGAAAAGAATGAATATAAGGAGGTTGTGACTACACCGAGTTATCTGTATTTGGGCATGGCGGTGACGAGTGGTTATTTCTACGGCAAAGATCAGTTGCCCGTATATATTGCTGGTGCTCCGCGCTCGAATTTATCTGGAGAGGTCTTTATATTTCGCAAAGTTAAGCCGGCACCCAATAAAGAACGTTCACTGGAATTTATCGAGAAGTTAGCAGGTATGTATGACGAACTTTTTTATCCGAGCATACAAAAAAAAACGTGAGACTATGAAAACGAAAATGCAATTTGGAATGTGTTGGTTACATAATGCTCATACTACATCTCCTTTGAGACTTGAATGCTTTTGATTTAGCTGTTGCTGTCTGCGTTTGACTCTTCGCCTTCCAGAGAGAAGTTAAATTTTTAGTTGTGAAATTAATGCGTTTCACATGGTTCGAACTGCTTTTTCTTGTTTATGTATCGTTTTCACTGATGGGACAAGTCATTTTAGTCACTCCACCGTACTTCCCACTACCACGGCGTTAGCAAACATCTTAATGCTTGACTATGTGTGCTCCCAGTTGTTGCGTATGTGGAGCGGAACGGTTCCGTTTTCTCGCAAAAGTTGTTACAAAAATATGCCGGCACGATCGATTTTCGCAGTCGAAAGCCGCTCACTTCATCCCAGACTTGTATTCAAACTGGATACTCAATTGCGATAGTTATCGGATTGAGAATGAATGAACGGACGATTAAATTTAATCAGAGAAATCGATATTTTGACTCATGTTAACTCGACCCATTTGCCTACAGCTGAAAATGCATATGAGCTTTATCCAATTTTCTTTTCAACAGAACGTTTTCTCTTTGAGCATCCCGTAGTCAGCATTCTGTATACTGTAGTGTATTTGTAAGTAGAACAAGCTTATAGACAGTTTATGATCTGCTCCACTGGATAACTGTTTGTACAACGACATTTTTCCGTGTCGTATTTCAATTAATGTGTTAGTACAAAAAACAAAAGTAAATTTGCACAGGATTTGTCATTAAATAATTTTTTGTTTACGCAGGCGACCAAGTGGCTAGTCAGTTTGGATACTCATTGACAAGCGTCGACCTCAACGGTGATTCACTTCCGGATCTGGTTGTGGGTGCACCGTTTTATTTCCAGTCTGACGGTCAGGGAGGGCAGAAGGGCGGCGCCGTATTCATTTATATGAACAGTGGGAATGGATTGGGATTGAAATCTGTTAAGCCAAAAAAACTGTCTGGTCCGGTTGCCGAATCGATGTTCGGCATGGCCGTCGCCAATGTCAGTGATCTCAATTTGGATGGCTTCCAAGACCTGGCCGTCGGCGCGCCGTACGATGAAGGCGGCGGTTCGGTACATATTTTTCAAGGATCATCATCGGGAGTGAAAGACGAGCCGTCACAGATAATACGAGCTAGGGATCTCCCCATTAGTTTGTCCACATTCGGATATTCCCTTTTTGGCGGCTTGGATCTCGACGACAACGGCTATCCGGATGTGCTCAGTGGAGCTTATTCGTCCGATGCGGCGGTATTATTGCGTGCACGGCCTGTTATCAAAGTTGGAACAGATGTTAAGAATTTGCCCAAATATGTGACAGATCCTTTTACAGCGCCACAGTATTGTCTCGATAGTGCTGGGAAAAATTTAACATGCTTTACATTTCGTCCATGTTTCACCGTGTCCAGCCAGTCGTTGAACAGCTTCACCGGGGTTATGCATATTGAATATCGCATAGAGGCGGAAACATTCCAGCGGGGAAATAAAGCGCAGTACAGCCGTGTAAAATTTCTGGCCGGACTTCAAGAGACTCCCAACGTGGTTAAGCGAACGGTTATCGTGACATGGAATAACTGGGCTAGAGAACAGTGCGAGCGGGAAACCGTTTTGTTACAAGAAGGAGCCCGAGATGTGCTGAATCCTGTGTGGTTTAAGTTGACGTATACTTTAGTTCAAGATCCACCGACGTTCCCGGCTGAGGGGCAACCAGTGCCTGCCGTTAACAATTATCCGATTCTCGATCAGACCAATGCATCAAAAATATTTCAGGTCAAGTTCTATAAGGACTGTGGCACCAATGATGTGTGTGAGAGCGATTTGCGCATCACCGGTTCACTAAATTTGCCCAAGGATGCTAAGGATATGTACAGCCTCGTGCTAGGCGAGAACAACCAGATTGTATTGAATTTCACTTTACGCAACGAGAACGAAGCGGCCTACGAGACCTTTTTGTATATTGAGCACCCCAAGGAGTTGGAGTACATTGGCACGGATCGGCAGGCTGACAGTAAACCGTACTCGTGTGTCGTGATTAAAGACAAGGACACCGATCTTCCTCTGCATGTCCGTTGCGACATTGGTAATCCGTTTCCCAGGTTGGGTGAAGTGAATATTAGCATGCGCTTTAATACGACCAATCTGCAACCACAAGATCGTCAAGTGAGCCTTACTTTGTATGCCAATACAACCAGCAACAACACCCAGCGCGATCCGCTAGTTATAACTGCCAACGTGGTCATCAGAGCGGATATTCAGATAATTGGCACTTCCGATCCATCAGAGCTCTTCTATAGTGGTGTGGTCACTGGGGCCAGTGCTATGACGAGAGAGGATCAAATTGGATTGACGGTTAACCACACTTACCAGGTGCAATACTTGTACTGTACTTCACCCCTGACAATGGTTGTTTTTGCCTTGCGATTAAATTTACACAATGTCAAAAATTAATAATAATTATGTATTACGTATAATATCGTATAATAATGAGTACTATCACAGTAATGTATTGCACTTGTACGAACTGTGTGCGTGGATTGTGTGCCGTGCGTAAATGTTCGTATGATTTCATGTTTTTTTTAGTGTTTTCTTGATCGATGCTTGCCGGTCGCCATCTTATGGTTTTGACGACTGAGTTGAACTATGATTTAAGTCCAAAATTTTTGAACAAATTTTGAAATCTTTACAGGTGCGAAATAGTGGACCGGCCAAACTATCACAATCCAAAGTGACAATCTACTGGCCACTGGAAGTGGAAAACCGGCAGTATCCTCATGGAAAATATCTGTTGTATCTGCTTCACAAACCGATTGTAAGTGGTTATCAATTCGATATGCTTATTAGCTGGTGTCTGAGCGGGTTTAGGATCTACTGCACAGCTGCTCTGCTAGCGCTTGTGCATTTCGACCGCCGACCACCATTCGGTTTTTGTTGGCAATTCCCGGCGCTGAATTTGCTCATGTTTTTTAATTTATAGACAGATGGTCCTGTGGAGTGTAATATGGATGATAAGTATATCAACCCGGCAAATATCTCGTTATTGGTAAGAACAGGTGCCTGCTAAAATAAACTTTGTATGTTCTGGAGATTAATACACGCCTTTTATTAACAGACCACAGCGACCGTGAATGCGGTTTCCGCCCATGCATTACGTAGCGCGAAACCTTCCGGTTCCGCTGTCAGTTCTAGTGAAGTTCTCTCGCGGACACCATCACCGGATGCACCTCGTATGCGCCAAAAGCGTGAAAAGATCGTACAAGCGGAAGAGCGTCGAGTGGACAACAAGAAAATCAAAGTTGTCCGCATGGTATGCAACTGTTGACTGCTTGGAAGATTTCTATTCTGTGTTTATGTGACATCTTGCGGGTACAATTTTAGGGTTGTGAGAGAGAAACAGCCAAGTGTATCAAGATATCTTGCCAAATACGAGAGCTCAGCAAAGATCAGCCCGTTGTGATACGGCTTCGAGCTCGACTATGGAATAGCACGTTCTTGGAGGTACACCTGAAAAACTACGATATTTAGACTTGCTTAATTTTAGACAACACACTAAACACGAAAACACTGTTGCTTTAAGTGTAGTGTGCGACAGTCTCCGTTATTCAACTATTACAGCAATGCGCGAAATATAACAGCGAAGTTACTGAAGTTTTATATGATGCGGGATTTGTAAAGGGATACGAATTTTGCCGGCCTGGTGGTGACAGAACTGTTTTTATTTTAGGATTACCGTGATATTGATACGGTAGAAATTCAGTCGTTCGGAGTTGTTGAAGTGGACACCGGCTACTTTGTGGAGGATCCTCTGCATAATAACAAATGGACCATCCAGACCAATGCCAAACCGGACGTCAGTGTCATTTCCGAGAGCAGCATGGTGGCTTGGTGGATAATTTTGCTAGCTGTTCTGGGCGGCATTTTATTGCTTCTACTATTAATCTGCATACTATACAAATGTGGCTTCTTCAAAAGGAAAACACCTGAGGATCTATCCAAACGCCAGACACCCAGTGATATGCATGCAGATCCGTATGAAACGGAAAGGATGAGCCCGCAAAGTGACAAGTGATCAGTTTTTTGTTAAAAAATGTTTTGCAGCATGACTGCACGAGCATGCTCAATTTGTCTTCCTACTTTTTGAACTAAGAAAGCGATTTTGATATTGAATTTGTCTGTTTCAAGTTTTTGATGGGTTTTTCGTTGGCACGTTGTCGAAAACCAGATGTGGACGACAACTTTTAGCAGCTCCTTCCCGATACCAAATTGCATTTTTGCCTGAAATTTTCTGTGTGTTTTTAGCGCCTTTTATAGAACTGTAAATGTTTTTATCTTGCACGTTTGTTGTTATTCACGCCTTGTTGTTTGAAAGTTCACTTCTGTTGGAAATATTCCATTGAAAAACCGGTTTCACATTAATGCAAAATGAAGATTTCGAAAGGAATTCATCGTGTTATGTCCTGTTAAATTTCCAAGCTTAAAGACGCATAATTTTTAGACCACACTTGCGTTGCGACTTACCAGTTAGGCCTGGAATCTTTTTCCGATGCGAAACTTAACTTTTATTTTCTCTGCTATTGTACGAGTAATTTACTCTTCTCGGCGAGGTAAAAAATGACATCAAAATTTACGCCATCTTTCAGTTAGGTGTGTCGCTAAAAAACGAGACCTTATTACATTTGTTTTGCAACCTTGCTTTATAATTTCATTCCTTCCGCGGCGAAGTGATAAAAAATATGCACACATACAGGCACAGCACGAAAATAATTGTACTTACGTAAATGAGTGATTAATTCTTAGTGTACCTTGTTCCCAGTGTTCTTATTTATCTTGATACTACCGCACTATTTGTAATTCAACTGCAATAAATTAAACCTACTCGTAGGAACTCTTAAATAAAAAAGTTTAAACTAGAAAAATGCACATTGGCGTGCATTGGCAGACCGGAGCGAAGCTTGAACGAAATTCCCGCTGCGGTGGCTATATAGCCCCCCTTGCACAAGATGTACCACACAATGTGCTGACGGAAAAAGCACATCTGATAAATACATGCTTCAAAGTTACTGTACAGTGTACTACAACTTACAAGTAGTTTATTTTCTTGCAATGTTATCTTTAAAATTTGTTGCAAATTACATTTCACTCAAAAGTATCGTTCTGAAAGATATGGGCAAAAAGGGAGAGAAATCAATTCCGCGTTAAGACATAATTTACGTGTACGCTACGTACCGTAAAATATTAAACCCTACTGGTAGTGGTAGGGATACTTTATTTGCATACGGGGAACTGCGAAGATGGAGGAGCGGAAAAGCTAGTGTTCGAATTGTTCAAAAACGATCAGCGACTTTTATACTTCGTTATTTCTCATAGGTATTCCGGTCACTTTGAATGTATGGTTTCATCTTCCGGTCACTCAGTTGTACGCATGCGCAGTAAGTGAGTGGCTATCTTATTCAGCAATCTCTCACTTATTTCCGGAATATGAGAAAAAGTGAGGTAGTTATGGAAGCGCTTTTTTAATAATAATTTTGATGAAAATAAAGTTTTCACACTCACCAGACCAAGTTACTTGTACATATTTCACCTCCGAATTCACAGAAAAAGCTACGAGTCTTATACTGGGATCAATTTTGCGAAGATAACGTATATAAGGCGTCGCTAAAGGTGAAATGTTTTATCGTAGACCGGGGTTGACAGAATGCAAAAGAAAACAGGTGTTTTGGCGTGCATGACCGGCAAAAATCACCAAAGCCATCTACTACCTCCGATGGTAGTAGTTTCGTATTGTTTCTGTACACGGTTACCGTTTGCCGAAACTGTGACTGTTTGGCTTTTTATCTTGGTAACGCTTTTGATTAACGCTGGTGGGGCTTATGAAGGGTGACTAATGGAGCAGTTGTTATGTAGCCGTTGATAATCAAATTTCAGCAGAATTAGAGAACCGGTTTTGGAGACCAGTGGTAACGGTTGACTGCGGGTCGGCAGTTACGTTGAGTACGGTTCAGATGTCGAAGAGCTGGTGTACTCCTAAAAATTTAAATTTCGAGCTTTTAGTTGACTGAACCGTGTTGGACGCAATCGCCGAACCAAAAGTGCGGGCTCCAAAACCGGTTCTTTGATTTTGCTGAAATATAATCATCAGTGGATACGTACCATCGGGCTACGCAACCGTTGGCTAATTTTTGCAGAAATACATTACTATCCTGCCGATGGCGGTGGAGGGGATGCAGAAAAATATTCCAAGAGGATACGTTTGCCGGAGGCCATTATTGCCTTTCACTCGTGTACATTTACGCAGTAGCATGGGATTTATTTGTGCATCGAGTGTTGCCAGCGTAACGGGCATAAATCCAGCAATACAGGCCCGCTGTATAAAGCCAGCAGTGACGTTACAGGCACTGGCGGAAGTGACGTCGTAACGGTCTGCAGCGTGACCTCATAGGGTTACTTCGTTAAACAAATTCCGTAACGCACTTCCGTAACAGACTTTCGTAAGGAACTTCCGTAACGAACTTCCGTAACGGGTTTGCGTAACGGACAGAAATCAATTAATGCATTAGTTTTGAATATAGAGGACCTTCGCTACGCTCCGGTCGATTAAGTTACATGTACAATTAACGCATGTTAAGTACATACTTATAGAAGTAGGTATAATGGTCAATCGGTGATTCGTATAGGATAGTAGGCGCAAGCTTTGTTACCTTTGCAATCTGCGGCACAAGCTATGCCTACATACAGTGTTAAATATTGCATTAATAGAGCCTTGCATTGGTTTACTATGATTTTGTGATTTTTAGCGACATCTCAAAAAGTGACCAAAAAAGTAAGGAGGTTGCTTTTTGCAGTGGATTGATCACAGAATCCCATTCATAAAATCGGCCTCATTATTGCCAGCTTTACGCGGAATGAGTCATACATTCAGAAGGTCGCATTTGTCTTGTACGGCCGCACTATCGTACAATCCTTATACAGTACGTGTGCCATAGAGTGAAAGCAGTGAATCACGGTACGAAGTTGTGAACACAACTTGAGGCGAGAAGATGGCCTAGGTTCACCGTATCATGTTACTCACCTGTTTTTATTTCACAACCAAAATAATAACCATATTGTAGTTTTTTAGATGTTCCTGCTTATGTTTTTTGGATTATTTTGTTTGGAGCAGTATTTTGTTGGGGACCCTCAGATTTGTTAGTTATTCATGCGGTTTAATTGAGAATGGCTGGTTTGCAGCCAGTATTGAACAGCCAGCAGCTGCTTAAGTTGAAAGAGCATAAATATTCGTGTGTAAACAATTCGTTTTTGGACAAATATCTGAACCCATGGTGGATATGGGTGGAATTGAAAGTCCCGGTGTATATCCATGCGAACGCGCTAACGCTGGTGGGACTTGCTGTAAACCTTATTACCACACTCGTACTGGTGTATTACAGTCCGGATGCCAAGATCTCGGTAAGAAACATCCAGTGTAGTCGTGCATTTTGCTGTAGTGTCAGCGGACTGTTTTCACCATATTACGGGGAGTGTACCTCCACAGCAGTAATGAACGAGAATTTTATCAGCTGTTTTTGTCTTTTAAAAACGTGGAGCACATCTGACGAAGTTTTGCATTACAGGCGCCTGCATGGACTTATATGTTATGTTGTACGGGGATTTTTATTTATCAAACGCTGGATGCGATAGATGGGAAGCATGCAAGACGAACAAATACCAGCTCGCCGCTTGGCGAATTATTCGATCATGGATGTGACGCATTATCCACTCGTAAGCCCAGCTCACATTCCGGAAGATTGATGCGCATGGTAGTTCATTTGTCTTTGTAATGTTTGGGTAGTTTTTGTGGTTGTGGGCATTTGCATCACACTGAAGTTGGGGGAAGAACCCCTATGGACCATCTTTTTCGTCTTCTCCGCTATTGCCATTTTTTACGTTGCACACTGGCAGACTTACGTAACCGGAAGCCTGCAGTTTGGAGTGTGAGTACTAAGTAGCCGCAGTGCTTTTCAACTGGTTTACTAAATCCTCACTCTCGATTCCCGGCGCTCTAACTTATCTTCGCAGACCATTTTGGCTATGTAATATTATGAAATTAATCCCAGTCTGCGTTTTCATCGATTTTTATCCGGTGATGTATAACATTTTGAACTTCATTATTTTGAAGTATACCATGAAAACATTTTGAAAGAAGTATTTTGAAAGCATCTCAATGCTGACATTTTGAGCTTGCTACTGTTATCGGTCTGTGAAGAGCAGATGATCAGTGATTAAAAAAAATCTTCAACCCACATTTTTTTCTGGTGGCTGTCGCAGTCAGTGTAAATTATGTTATAATTATTTCTTATTGTTAGGTTCGATGTGACAGAAATACAGTATGTTTGTATGATGCTCCACATTGTGACTTTTTTTGGCGGAACATCTATCTGGAAAACTGAGGTATGAACTTAACTTGACGGCGTGATTTTGAAACAAGTTCCTTTTTTATTTCTTTTATTTTGCAGATATTCAGCACAGGAATAGTACTTGGCGATATAACGCATTGGATATTTGCCATTGGTGTTGTGCTAAACTGCTGGAATAAAGCGTGCATTATTCTTGCCGGTGGACCTGGACGGAATGGCTCGGCGGTTGGTGTAGGTTGAATTGTGGGATACTTGAGTGATTCCTTTTATATCATGCGAAGTTTCTTATCATACTTCTTCTTATCACAGAATATGAGTATAATTGCTCCGTTCTTCCCATTGGTTTTGGTGCTGTGGCAAGCGTACTATTTGTTTAACCATTCCGAGGAAGTGGAACAGAATTTGTTGGTGTATATTTTTGCGTTTGGAATGGTGTTGGCTAAAGTGACATGTCGATTAGTGGTAAGTTTGACATTCTAAGTTTGGTAAAGCCCTTTCTGGGAAGTTTGGGTGTGCTCGGGAGAATTTCCGCTTCGTAATCGTGTTGCTACTCCGAAATGCTAGCCCGTGATTGTTTTCCTGTTGCACTCGTTGTGAAAATATGTAAAATTCAAAGAACACGGTGATATGTGAGTTCCTTTCATTATGAGTACGAAGTACTGAAGCTTCGCGATAATTTTTGAGCGTTTAATAAATAGATGATCTAGGTTGTTTAAGCAGGTAGGCATTTGTTAAATCAGACACAGTCGGTCAGTGGTGATTAAACGCTTTGTTAGTGTATTTGCTTCGGGGAAGGCGGAAGTTGCAGCAGTAATTTTAACTCGAATCCCCTTTTTCGCAGATGTTTTGTGAGTAAATATATTATTTGTTTAGCAGTTTTATTGATATCGGATTGTTCGGATGTTGTAGATAGCCCACATGACACAGAGCGAGATGCGACTATTCGATACAGTTTACGCTGTTCCATTACTTATGATTGCTCGCGATTACTGGAATATTTTGAAGTTCATTCCGGAATATTGGTTGCTGTGGGCATGTGTTGTGAGTGCACCGATGATTGAGCAGGATGCCAGGATCACTTGCTCATTATGATTCAGTATTTCTTCTTCACAGATTCATGCTACGTTGGATCTTTGTGTGTACTCTGTTAGAACTTGTTTGGAAATCCGAGATTACCTGGGAATCAGAGTGTTTTCGATGGAACCTCTTCCGACGCCCGGCTACCTGAAAACTTCTGCCTCGTTGCAGAAGCGAAGCGCTCCATCTCGCATAAACATTACACGGGACGGGGCTCTGAGACAGCCGGGATCGCCGCGCACTAGGCCTTGACGGGCATTGTCGTTGCATTTCTTCTGGGTGATAGATTATGAAAGATAGAATTGATGTTAATTTTTACCACTGTATGTTTTCGGATTGTAGTTTTGTTCCCTTTGAATTCCCGTTTGTTTTATTCCTGGCGTTTATCGCACTGCTTTGAGAAGTCATTAGTTGATGCGGTAGAAATTCTTGTTGCCGAGATTTGTTTTTGAAACGAGTAAATGCGTTGAACTGAAAAACGCCACAGAGTCTTGGGTAGCCTTTGGAGAAGTTTGCAAAAATAGAAATTCTCATCTTGATCGACTGGCAAATCTATAATACGAGTTATGTTCGGCGAATGCGATGTGTAAAAATTGTCGAGCGCGGTAAGTTTCAAATTGATAGTCATGCACAAGAAGTTCATTTTTCGTCATCATGCTCGGTAAGGTATTTTAGTCCATTGATTTTGGATTTTTACAATTAACCATCTTTTCGTTTCTGTAGAATATTGAATAAGTTTGTTAACTATCTGGAATAATACAGCAAGCACTACATTAATAACTGCTCTACTATAGCGCAGTAGTCTGCAGTCTGCACTGTTGTAGAGCGGCACTGGTGTCACTGTACAGTACTGCACCCGCTAAATGTGTATCAGCCTTTATTGTCCTGTGGTTGGTACAATTCAAGATCGTCGGTACATGCAGTTCAAAATTTCACGAAAACAATCAAAGTGTCACGTAATTGACAACAAGGCAACTTTTTGGCGCCGCAAAAAAGGGCAAGCCGACCTGTACATAATAAGTACATAAAAAGTGAGTGCATCAGTACCGAACAAAAACAAATGTACCTAGTGCGATTTGCTCCCGAGCAAAATGCGCCGCAAGTGATCGTGCTATGGAAATTTAAATTTGACATGATAGTTATCACGAGAGCTGTGACCTCTCAGACCTTTCCGTACTGAGACGCTTTTTGAGAAAACCGGTAGAAGCACCTCCCCAATTAAATGCCCTAGTTCCTGAATGTAACGGTCAAGGGGTTATTACCAACCCGGCCACCCAAAGGATCTCTATCGCAAGTCAGTTCTAATAAAACCCACAAATTGGATGCTCTCAGTGCATATAAAGTTAACTCGTAAAGCGTCGCTAATCTGCACCGAGCGCGAAGCGCGAGGTGCTACTCTATGCCTTCGTCAAGCGATAAACGCATTCATAGCATTCCATAGCAGAGTATGCGCTTCCCGTAGCAGAGTTTGTCTGTCTCCCACGAAAAGTGTCAGTCACGCTTTTCCAATTCCACAAATTTTATTTCCATTGGCAGTGGTATTTCATAGCGTACGCGCTGTTTCAAGGATGTCATTAACATCGTTTTCTAATGGTACTGGAAGCGCGCAATAATACTTGGTGTCGTTAATACTTTAGCACGAAATTTTCTGGTCAGAATTTCGATGAAAACCATTTGTTTTTATCTACAGCGAAATCTTTTTTGAATGTTTTCCTAATGTAGTGTTCTGTAGTGTTTTACTGAATGTAGTTTCCCAGATTGACAGTAGATCACGGGATCGTAACAATAGACTGGAACACGCCAGCGCAAAACTTGCACCAGCGAGCTTATATTACATGTACGCTGGCTACACCATCCCCGAAAAGCGCCATCAGAACTGGTTCGCGGTGCGCCATGTCGATTCATAGTTTAACATTCCCAGCGGACCGGCACTCGCGCTCGGTGCCATGATGTGGTTAACAACCACCACTAGTTTTTAAATCAGATCGTTTGAGGCCAAGATGCGGAAAAAAAGTTTCAAAAACACTTCCGCAGACAGCAGATTCAACCACACGTCGGTACTCAACTTGTAAGTCAGTTACGTACTGTTGTGATCTCATCGTTCAGCCGCTCACCATAGTCATATCAAACTAAACAAAGCGAACCGAAGCAAAGGCTCTATGGAGTCTATGCAGTCACTGCAGTGTGCGCCGTGCGGTGTACTCTTCTTGTGGTCTCGCCTTCGGGCGGGACCAAAGAAAATGTCCAATCATTGCTTTCACCCAACGTAGATTACTAGTAAGTAAGGCCTTGTCCCGAATTCAAAGCGAATCTTGTTGCGATACAGCAACTCCACCTCGCGAGGTGGCTTCGCGTACCGTATCTGTAGGCGTGGCCACTGCGTACAGCCACCTCGTGCGGTTGAGCAACCATACCAAATCTAGATTCGCCTTGAATTCGAGACGAGGCCTAAGTACTACCCAGCTTGCTGCTGTTGCATTATTCCCAGTACGTAGTTTACCGCCGTAGTTAAAGTCCAACTTCGCCGTAGTAAGCCTGATTTACAGTAACTGTCATGGAAATACAGTATACCATCTTAGCAAAAGTTGATTTCCTATGAATTATGACAAGATTCTGTACTTCTGGCGGATGTTCGTAAAGCGTAGTAATGCATTAGATTTCCTTACGCAATTTTAGATCGTTTTAGGGTCCGGAAAAAGTATCGTTTTGGCGAAGAATTGAGTGAACTCACGGAAGAATTGCGGACGTCCTGTACGGATCGATATCACTGCGAAAGCGAGACCAGCGCGTTCGAAACGGACGATGTCCACAGACCACTTCAAATTGGATAACGTTACGCAATCTGATCAAAGGATAAAATAAGCCAGCTGATGATCAGCAGATTACGCTAAACGTGATATGGATTGGCATTATCCGTTCTTATTGACGATGGCGCTCCAGACATTGTTCGTCTTGGCGTTGGTTCAAGGAAGCGAATCTCTAGGACGGCCACTGCAGCCTGTTCCCGAAAAAGGTATTGCAGATTGTAACACCTGTGAACTTTTATTTAAAAGAAAGACATCAATTTTATCGTTGATCAAGTGGTGTATTTCACTGTTCTCTTGATAACTGATCCGAGTATGTACTGTGTGTATTACAACTCGGTAAAAACTGAGGATCCGGTACGTTATTATCGTTTAGGTTTCGCTTAGCTGTTTGTACTTTGATCTGAGCGTTGTTGACTTTGTTACGGTCGGTTTGTGTGGTGTCAGATGGATCTTTATACCACACAAACCTTGTCGTTTATCGTTGCCATCAAAAACCATCCAGCTGCTTTTACATCAAAAGTATTCTGGTTATGGCATTTAGAGTGAATAATATATTCTGAATTTTCACTTTACACAGTGATCAGAAATGGTGATGCGCTGACCTATATTTGTATAGATTCGTAGGTTTTAATTGCGAATCGGTTAGATTTCTTTTTGTTTTCAAATCTGGATTTTTATTTGTGAGATTGTTCGTAATTGAATCGCAGGCGAAATTTTCGTGTTAAATGAAAATGCGATATAACGATAGTTTTGTCGATTTCGTATCAAAAGGTAAAAAACAGTGGTATCGATTCTGATGCGCAGAAGTGTTCTGAAAATTTTTGTTTTGGTTGACGAATATTGCGGTCAGCAAGGTGCCTAATTAGTATGTCTACAAATTAGCCGTTTAATCTGGTGGAATTCAATCTTGACTGTAATCTGTTATTTGCTGCTCGGCATACAAGGATGGCTGCATCCATATCTTTGTCTTGTCATGAGAAATATGAGACTGGAATAGATTTTCCTAAGAGATGCCTGTAGGCGCCGATTTGGATTTGGTCAGTGTGGTGTAGTGCAGTGCAGTTGCCGACTGGCCCCTTCCAGTTGTAGTTGGCGCAGTAACCAACTCCTCAAAATTTTGGCAGACAGGCCACAATTCTTGCCGCTTAGCGTATACGCTTGTCTATGCGCGGTACATGTACATGGGAAAAATGACCACTGCGTGAATTCCACGCGCTGGTTTACATCACTTGACCAGCTGCGCGAACAGAAAGGTGCAAGATAATTTATCTGGTTGAACAAAGGTATTTTTGTCACTTGTTTGTATAGGGAAAATAAAAGACTCGTATAAAGTTTATAGCGTTGCACAAGCTGCAAGACTGGTGTATTAAAGCGTAAGCAATAAAACGTCCAAATCTTGGCGGTCAGTATTTGCATTCAGCGTATGCTTGGATGTTCGATTCTATTTGGGAATTTGTTTGTATTGTACATACTGTTCCAGATTGAAAGCGCTAAACAGCTACAGAAAATTAAAAAAGCGTAAGCTCTAAGTTGGCAGAGGCGACCACAAACGGTGCCGGTATGTGGGCCACACCCAGAATCCGCCTGATACTTAACAGGAACTACTGTCACAAAAATTGTTAATGGTATCGTTTTTTAAAGAGAGTGATTTTCTAGTGGTGCTTTCAAATAGCAAGTGCAAGATTATGCAAAGTAAATTGCTTTTAGATGTGGCGTGAATCTTTCGCGAGAAGTTACGTATTATGTAGTGGTTGATTTTGGGTATTTATTTATCATAGAACCGGAGCCACTGCTAGTGCTGTCCTGTCCCTCTTGGTCACATCATATTTTTAATTGAGTGTTGCAAAAGCGCATGGCTCTCCAGTGCGGAATTAGATAAGTAAAACTCAACTTCAATTTGTCGCCTGAATTTATGTACTGGTATTGCGCATTTTGATCAACTAATTTTTGAGTCACGAAGCTGTTTCCCGATGGAAAAATGGTCTTATTAGAAGGAAACAAAAAAGCCTGTTTTAGATTTAGAACCAGTTTTACGATAGCAAGTATTAGCGCTGCAGAAACATGCTTTTCTTTATGGTGGAACTTATTTAACAGCCTTTGTTATTATTGTGATTGTTATAAAATTTTAATGTGCAAATATACTAGCGCTAAAATTATTTCGCTACATTTTTTGTAATCTTTGTGGCCGGCTTATCGTAGTTATCGCGGTACTGACTGCATATAGTATTATTTTAGAGGCGTGAATATGGATCGGCTAACTGAAACTCTGGCCAGGGTGGAAAGGGTGGACTTGCTCTGAGCCTCTGGCTATAATAATAATGCGCAACAGTTAACGTTAGTCCGCAAATTTTATACCATGGCAGCGTCTTTAAACAACATCGCGTTATTATTATATGTTGTAAAACTAAACTAAACTTATATACGTAGATCCGCCACTGGTTTATACTGGTCCTGAATGGATACTCGTAAGTCGTATGTAAAAAAATGAAGCAGCGGATGGATTGTAACCTGTTGTAGTGGGCGAAGACTGAGCAATAATTTGCAGTTTTTTCGGAAGTTTTTTTTTAGATTTCCAGCATTTCTAGTAGTTTTGTTTGATGGGGTGGACGTTTTACGTCGATATATATTTCCACTATGGTATAACATTACCATAGAGTACTATAACGAGAAGTTTAATTGTTCTCTATGGTATTGCCACGGAGCAAAGGATATACCATGGCGTATCTTTACATCGTGGTATTGCTTTTATAGTTCATAAATGTTTTTGGGCTGCTTCATTTGTGGGCACTGTGGGCAGCTAAGTAATAGCTTCTGGAAAAATACACTTTTTGAATTTAGGTAATAACTTTTGTAACGAAGTTACCGCCATAATGCCGTCGATATACAGAATGAAGGATAGACTACAGAGGTATCAGTTTTATTGCCGGCATGGTGTAAAACAGTTCCGGAAATTTTCGGCACATTTATGACGTCCTGGCACGATGGCGCTTGGCAACAAGAGACTGGTTGTGGTTGACGTTTACGTCTTTCTTGTTGACAAAACGTGGAAAATGAATTGATTTTGTTTTATGGGTGTTGTCTGTTGGGTTTGGTTGTGCAAATATATCCAATATGTTTTTGGAAACTTTGGCAGTGCTACATGCATTGATTCGGTCGGGACGCGGAACCACAGATGGTTCTTTCATTGCTGTATGAAATTGACCTTGTATATTATAATATGCCATCGACAATACAGAATTCTGTTATTTGCAGTTGGGAATACCGAACTGTTTTTCGCATGTGGAAGATCGTACATTGAAAACACTATGTTACACATTGAAATAGTTACTATGAAATTATGCGCAGATGTCAGTGTCATCCCTGCATGCATGTTTTCAAACAAATGCTGCATTTTACGTTAGTGTGACATAGCGGCGGCAGCCGTACTTCTCAGTTCTCACTCGTGAGTTCGCAGTCAGCAGTATTTCTCAATTTCAGTAGGAACTTGATGAAGTCTTGCCTTTCGAATAGCCCATATATCTTTAACCGACAATTCAGTTTACAACATCCGGAACAAGACCCTTCCTTTACGCTTGCGTCAGAAAAAGATGAATATCCAGATTCTGTTCAAGCAGAGCGTTTACAGATAGTAATTTTTCAGCCGTAATGGAAACAGCGCAGTGTATTTTAGTATAGTTGTCGTCGATCTTTTTGAATAATGTACATTCAGTGGGTTTGCTCGATATCGATCGTCCATAAGAAGGAATAGCGCTTAAGGCTTTTTGCAGTCTATCTCACTTAAAAAAGCGCGATGTTGGGCCATAATCAATAGGCCGTAGCCGGTATAGCAGATTCAAATAGTGTGATAAAACTTTATTTATTTATATCTGTATTTTGCCCAAAAGTTCACATATGCGGTGAGAGGTACAAAAGGGTGTGCACCTTTTGTGCCATCAGTGAGGACAGTCGAAACGATTGCTTGTGGATTCTATATTGTATGCGGTCGGGTTACACTTACTGTTATTAGGCTCAAATGTGAATGACAGCCATTTTTTGCTTATGTAAAGACCAATAATTATTATAGCTACGGGTAGTTATGGTATTCTGGCAAACAACTTGAAACAAGTACTGTACTTGTAAATCAGCTAGGGTAGGTAACGAGTACTGAGCTTTTCATGTAAATTTTGATAAAATGTATCATACGAAGTTCGAAAAAAGTTTTATAGAAGTATATTTCTTTTCGTAAACATTGATGCAACTGTAGTGATGTGAGCTTATCGGAAATGTAAAGAGCGATAGATTTAAGTACTTAACAAATTTACCGTTAAACGTGCAGTATTTATTTTGCCGGTGTACCTTAAATTTAATTGTATATTCCTATTTTTTGTATGGTGTTTAAACCGGAAAATGAAGTAACTTTCAAACCGCAAGGGAACTGCAAGTATGCACCGTTGACGGTATCGCCTTGAGAATTTGATCATCACTTTCTCTGATTGTTTGGTGCTGGTCTATTCCCGCTCGTATATCTTTGCCAAAAGAGACTCGCCACGATGCCGGTCGAACACAGTAATTTCTAGGTATATTGGTGTTCAAATATTTGGGATGCAAAGTAAGTAATGGTGTACCCCATGGAGGTATTCCCTGCACCTGAAATTGGATGCTATGTAGCGTAACTTCAGTTTAATTGGACGATTCGTTGATCTTCCGTACCGATTTGGCTGCGTCATGGTTCTGGGACTGTTAGTGAGAAAGGAGAAGCCATTATGGTGAGCGTTCCAACCCATCCGTTTCGCCACGTAGTCACATTTTATTGGAGAAGAGGCGCTTGGAGTTAATAAGTACTGCGTCTTTTTTTGCTGGGCTTGGAAATTAGTTAACTAAAGTTAGTCCCCTGTGTGAATTAGTGCGGTATTGACACTTGCCATGTCAGATCAATCATCGCGTACCCCGACTCTATCCCCCGTCACCACTTGAATTCGCGGATTTGATGGACTTGTAGAATTTATAATTAACAAGTAATTGAAGTACATACGGAATAACTGAGTGGACAAATCTACTTCTGTTCGCATAATATTAGCAGCAGTTTAACAAATGCGCGCTGATAATTATTTTGGATATATGGAATTTTTAAACATTGTACAGTTTTCTGAATTAATGAAATTGAAATATTATAATATTTTGGGTTGCCCATGTTCGATTTTTCTTAACTCGTTGGCACTGGCCATTATACTTTCTATTTGTTCGTATCTGTTTTTGCAGTTTTGTGGAAAAACAAAGTTAACCTTTTGCGATTCGATGTACTCGTAATACTGAAGCAAGTTACCAGATTTGAATTATTTCTGTATGGAAATGATTTGTCGAAAAGATTTCCCGGTATTTGATAGTGGTAAACAAAAATTCCCAAGTTTCTGGTTGGTCTGGTACGCAGTACATCATGTTTTATTTTTACAGTTATGGGCGCGTGCGTATAAAATTAAGAGTGTATAAGGAAATGAATAACTTGCATCTGCGCTGTGGACTGTGGCCAACTAAAGAACTATTCGTGAAATCTTTTCTGTTTGCACTACCTGTACAGTATCTTTGGATTATTTGGATACAAAGTAGCGGTATCTTATAAACGTGCTCTAGACGTACGTCGAAGCACGGTCTGCCGCAGGTACCGGGTGCTGTGTCTGACCAGTAGTCCAATTATGAAATCCCGGCCGACCTTTTGTAGTGCCTCTACGGCTCTACCTGCCTTTACGGTACCTGCTGTATCTTTCTACCTGTTGCAGCTTGATTGGCCGTTACGGCTGCCGTGCCGGTGCGTAGAAATTCCTTCAGCTTTCCACCTTATTACTGGTTATATAGGTAGTATTGCAGTGTAAGCTTCTTTCGTATTTCTGGCTTGGAAATTTACCAGCCAAGCAAACACCCAGGTAAATTTGAAGTTACCTTATGTCCACAATCATTATCTGCATGCTTCTAGCCTTTTATATCGGTTTGGACGACAATAATATTTCTCTTATCATCGCCTGCATCGTTATCGGCTAATATCTATATGAGTGGCATCCCACAGTCCCACTTTGCATATCCGTTATTACTGTGTTGTAGTATTTATGAATTTATAAGGAAATATTTTTACGTTGATTTTTTATCGATACAAGTCTTGGTCATTTATAAATCATCAACACGTGGGTCTACGTGCCCTTGATAGGCACTGTACAATCGGAAGTGCTACATCAAATAACTTGCGCTGATCTCCAGCTACCGTCCTTCTGTTATAATTGAGTTACTTGAGCGGTGTTTGACATGCAACAGGTTTGACAATGTATTTCTTGAGGATCATATGTCAAGAGCGAACTATGGGGGGAACCGTAATCCAGCTGATACGATTTTCACGTAAAATATGAAAAATTATTATTCGTACAGATGATACAGTAGTGTTATTGTAACCTAATGGCTGAAAATGATATTCCATAAGTTTTGCTGATACTCAAAAGAAAATTAATATATGGGCACCTTGTAGGTAGAGAAATGGCACCTTGTAGGTTAATCTTAAGCCTGTACTTTAATGATAAAAAAGGTTGGCGGAGACTGTCTGCGCATCACTTTGGGCATCACGAAGCCATCGAACGTATCCTTATTTTACCTGGGTGATATGTATTTTATTGTGAGGATACAGGAGTTGCTAGCGCTGACTGTTGACAAAATGTTTTTACTGACCGTTTGTCAGGTAGCCGAGTAACGCTTGGACGCTAATTTAATAGGCATTTTCGGAGCCGTGCTTGTTCAGTTGCTCTTTTTCCTTTCCCCGCAGTTTTGTTCATGATCGCTATCGAGATAATCGGTGTCAATTGCAGCGCCGGGGTTTCAGGTTGCGAATTTCCCTCTACAAGACAGAGAGGAAAGGAACTAATCGGGAATCACAATTGTATGCCTTGAGAAAGCACACATGCGTGCATATGGTAACAATCTGTACAGTAGAACGCTGTATTGGGATTGTCGCATTTATTTCGGAACGTTATATCTTATGTACACACAGCCGTCCTCGTGCTCGCACTTTAGATCTGTTCTATATGGCAAATTCGCACAGGGTAAACATTGGTCAGGTGTGAATTCTTTTCGTACGGTTACCAGTACAGTATGTTGTAGCCTTATGCATAAACGCAGCAAGATTGAATTGTTTAATTAACCTAAATTAATTTCTGATTTCCTCAGTGCAAAATCTACTCGTCAAAGCATAGGTAGCTTAACTGTGATCGTTGATTTATGGTACATACGGCTTTGAAAGATCAAAAATGCGAAATGCGCTTAGGCTGAAAGTACTGTAGAATATCATGGATGATCGTAATTATTTTCCTCCCAAATGATGACTGTTTACTCGCTTTCTTCGAGTGTTAATGGCGCCATGGTCAGGAAATGCCCGACATGTTCAGCGTACTCTGTAAATGCATGCGACTACTGATAAAAGATTGTTAATGGCTGTATTTACCCTGACGATGAGTACTTTACTGAAGCCACAACGCACAGTACATTCCCTGGGCGAAATTGCCTTTCCATAGCAAGATTTACAAGTGCATTAGCAGATGTATGCACTATGCATATTTTACACATTACTAGAATACATGTGTAAAGCTGAGTCGGCTGACTTCGTTTGCTAATTGTTAGTTTCTGTTGTTAGTTGCTTTTGTTTTTAAGTTTACTCTGTTCTAGATGGGAATGACTGAGACACGGTAGTTGTATGCGGTGTTTAAATCTATACTTCATAGTTGAAACTATTAAAGGTTATTTCTCAACTTTGTTATTTACCTTTGATTAGGTAAATATCACCGTGCGCCTTAATTTGTAATGGATCGCCAAATTTTTAGTATTAGCATAGCACGAAAAGTTTGAGAGCATAAACGATCCAAGAGAATAAAACGAATGCAACGCAGTTCGCTAGCTTGTACAAGCTGAAAGAGAGAGAGTAGAAATTCCTGCAGAGCTGGTATCGTAGTCCACGTGAAAGTGCGGTATTTTTGAGCTCATCTGAAAGATTGAAGTCCCGACATAGCGGAAAAATTACCCAGACTTTCAGATTAGCCGCATAATCTTGTGTAATCTCTGTAATGTATAACAAAAAAGCTAATGTTGTACATATGTAGTCCTCATAAGGCAAAAATCACGCTCACCACGCATTCAGTAGTCAAAAACTGCCAAAAATTTACTATTGTAAGAGTGCATTGTGGTTAGTACAGACTGTAATGCGAATTGTAGCGTGCCGGGAATATTATGCAGTTATGAGCGCTATCGTTAGAAAACACGTTACGCTTGACAGCGCTATTGATGCAGTACAGAACTGGTGTTTCCTTCACTTTGCAACGGTTTCAAACCGTTTCGGAAGTTCAATAGTCGGGTATTTTGTTTTTACGGTTCCCACTAGGAGTTCATTCTTGACTGTGGTCACTGTTCCATTAGTAGACTGCATATTTCAGAAATCACTTGTCAAAATGAGTGATATTTATAGAGAAAACTGCCAGCAATCGTTGTGGAAGTGGTATTTTTTGTCACTAATCTTGCACAGTGTGCCCCATCCGGTTCCGCAGCATGGTATTTTGATGGTGTGTGAAGTGGTCATCCGAACGGAATGATGTTGACGTTTAGAAATTTCTCTAATGAGAGAATATTTCTGCGCTTTGGTTACTGCATCTTCTTGTTATTGGTCCAAGGAGCTATTGTGACCAGTCAAAGTCACGATGAGATCAGTAGCGATCAAGAAGCACTGGTCACCGTGGAAGAACGAGGTTTGTTGTACTGACTGTGAGATTCGACGGTCAACTTTGAAAAAACAGTTGGAAGATGAAGTACCCTTTGTTATTATTTTCTTCGATATTTTTGAGGAAAGAGTGATGTATTATTACTTTGATAAAGTGTGTGAAAATGTTGAAATTGATTATGAATCTGGTTGGTCGAAGTGAAAACTACTTATTTGCCTTGTGGAATTTATGGAATGTGGTCAGTCCAGTTCGTACAAACATGAAACAGGCTAGCTGACCGATCAACTGTACATTGCATTTTATTAGCTCGCATGTGAGTATTGTTGAATTGCAAAGCCCGTGCAGGCATCGTTGGTGGTCAGTTCACTTCAGCCATCAGAATTGAAATTGAGAAATGTGAAATGCCAAAGTTTTGTTTTCGATCGAATGAATTTTTCCTAATTGGACCTACCTGCTGAATTTTGACAGGGCAGAAAAAAACACAAACGGGAAGTAATTTTGAAAAATTTTAATCGTTAAAATGGTTATAATTAAGGAGGAAAAGATCACGGATCCGCCAAATCCTTTGATATTGCTTGGCGCTGATAAATATCTTGCTGCTGAAGTACTGTATGCATGTGCCAACTTAAAGTGTGATTTGCAGGTGGTTTGTGTCTTTGGATTCAGATGCTCTTAGAATCTTATCGGTTTTTATCTCGCTGGTATTCTTCAGCAATGGGTTTCGAATTTTCGCTCACCTGCACTTACCGATACTGCCTGGAAATGTACTCTAGTTAGCCACGAAATTGTGCTTATCAAATGTAGAATTTTAGATTAAGGCCACACCGAAAACGACCTTCGGTGAAAAGGGTTATCTCCTAATGCAGATTACCGATTTGTATGTTGACATGCACCTACGGTCCTACCTATCTTCTTCGCGTCCCTAAATTCAACGATTTATTTTATGTAGTTCGTGTATTAATGGATAGAACAGTAAAAGGAAGTTGTGATTGAGTAAAGTAGCCTGCTCTTGGTGCGCATCTACAGTGCCGTAGTTCGGTTAGTATACAAGCTTCTTGTTATCGCAGCATCCCGCGAACAGATCAGTGCAATTTATATACTGTAAACAAACACGTGTAATACTATTAAACTTTAGCACAAAGAAATGAAACTTCGCGTAGTACTTTTGATGATTCAGATTTCACTCTCCTTGAAAGTATGTGTGAATATCTGAATTTTTTCTCGCAAGAACACCATTTTTTAGCCATAAATCTTCAAGTAAAGCAGCAACTAAATCTTATTTCAGTTTGTTCTGGTTCCTCAAACGCATTGTCCTACAATGAAAATGTCACCCTTCATATGCGAAAGATGAAGGAGCGCCTTAACAACTGCACATATGTCCAAGGAAATTTGGAATTAACTAATATACCGGAGGGCTACGACTTGGATTTTTTGAAGCAAATACGAGAAGTTACTGGCTACTTACTGATTGCTCACGTTCAGAAATCTGTCCTTTCGCTCCCTAATTTGCGCATAGTTCGCGGTCGAAACTTATTCGGAGTGAACGAACGAAGCCGCGATTATGCTTTGTTTGTGGGTATCAATCCGGGATTACGGGAACTTGGACTTGGTCAACTTAGAGGTACTGATTTAAAATGTTAATCTTGAAGAGGTATTGCTTGAATCTTTTGCATTTGCAGAAATCACTCATGGATCGGCATATGTGAAAGATAACCCGCAGCTGTGCCATATGAATACCGTCCACTGGGATGACCTGCTGCAGACGAAAAACAGTTTGGCTTTGGCTGTGACGCCCAGCGCAAAGTTGATTTGTCCTCCTTGTCATAGTAAATGCAGTAGTGGCTATTGCTGGGGATCCGGAATTGAACAATGTCAAAAGTGTGAGTATTTATAAAGTATTTACGGGATAGTGTACAGATCGTGAACTGAAATTCTTTAATTTCCCAGTTATTATGCGTTATTTGGTGGTCTCTGTTTAGCATCTTTTACGCTTTGTTGATGTTTTGTTTAAATATTATCATAAAATTTGCTATATAAAAAGATGATTCTCTATATCTTTTGACAGTGACGAAAGAAGTTTGTGCCATACAATGCGGCAACAATCGCTGTCGCGGTCCGAACCCATCAGACTGTTGCCATCAGGAATGTGCTGGAGGCTGCGTTGGTCCGGGCCCCACAGAGTGCACTGCATGTCGCGAATTTGAGAACGATGGACGGTGTGTGGAGATGTGTCCGCCATTGATGAAGTATGATCACGATCACTATATCAGCATTCCCAATCCGGATGGCAGGCTAGCCTTTGGGACCCTTTGCGTAAAGGAGTGTCCACAGAATTTCTTACGAAACGATCACTATTGTATCGCAAAATGTCCGGAAGGTAGATACGAGAAGGACGACGGTGGTGTATGCGTCCCATGTGACGGACCTTGCCCGAAAAGTGCGTTGCACTCCTGTAACATCTCTTAATTCAATATTGTAAAATAATTTTGTATTTTTCAGAATGTCCCGGTTTTACAAAAGAATCTGCGGCATTCGGTGGAGCCAATCTGATTACCAATATTACTCTCCAGCGTTTCCAAAACTGCACCATCATTGAAGGAAATTTGCAAATTTTGCCGATGTCGTTTTCCGAATATCCAGAATTCGGGCCCACAGGTCTAATGCATTTTCATCCCGGCGTCGTACCAGCACAACTGGAGCAGTTGTCAACAATTAGAAAAATCACCGGATATTTGAGAATCGACGGCAGTCATGAAAATATGACAGATCTGTCCTTCTTACGCAATCTGGAAACAATTGATGGTCGAGTGTTAGATGAGTAAGATAAAACATGGCGTTGTCTATTGTCTACTGTCCACACTGAAATCTCGCTGTCTGATTCTCGCACTAATAAACTTGTTTCGCGATTTAGTCATTCGGCACTAACAATCGTCGGAAACAAGTATCTGCAGTCGTTAGGACTGAATTCCCTGAAAACGATTAAAGCCGGGATGGTAAAGATTGTGGAAAACAGAAAACTGTGCTATGCCAGCGATATAGCGTGGAGTAAAGTGTTGAGCCCGAGCCAGAGCCCTATTACCTCTTCCACCGGCGTTCCTTCTAAGCCTTTGATTCGCAACAATCGACTACAGAGTGATTGTGGTAGGTCTGAAATTTTCTTGTATATTGATCTGGGGAAATTATTTAACGTTGCTTTTTTCAGCAAGAGCTGGAGAAAACTGTCATTCCGAGTGCACCAATGATGGATGCTGGGGACCGCGACGAAACCAGTGTCTCTCTTGTGCCAATTTTGTGTACAAATCCTTCTGTCTGAATGATTGCTCAGAGTGGAATAAATCTAGTTCAGAACATTTGTACCATGCTGGAAATAAGACTTGCGAGCCGTGCCATTTGCAGTGTCAGGACGGCTGTCTCGGACCGGTAGGCGATGACATGAATAGCATTAAACGTTTTTGTTTTGTTACGTACTAATACGTACTCTAGCAGTTCGTAACACGTTAATTCGTAATATTTACTTACAATTTTTGTGGTTACTTTTGTAGACCGAAGCCAACTGTACAAAATGTTTGAACGTACGGGATGGGCCGAATTGTGTGGCTGTTTGTCCAGTATCAAAGTATAGTGATTTCCAAAAGATCTGTCAGCCGTGCAGTTATGTCTGCACAAACGGATGCACAGGACCTGGTCAATACGTTGGCGAGGGAGGATGTAACTCCTGCGAAGTTGGAATTATCAGTGAAAACGCCAAGAACGTGGTAGGTGGTCTGGTTTCACGCCTTCACTGTTTACTAGAAGAAATGCAGTCTATGGAGAGGTTTATGGTGTTGTCTGCTGTGCAGAGTCAGTGCCTGCCTGCTAATGCGGCATGCCCAGAGCGCCATTTCCAGACACTTGTTGGTCATAACGAAAGTAGCGCACTGGCCACGATGGCCGGCAAGAAAGTCTGCCGACCCTGTCATTCCTACTGCAAAAAATGCCGTGACAACACGCAGTACAACTGTGAAGAGTGTACATACTTCCGAGTTAATGGGAAATGCGAGTTAACGTGTCCCAGCGCAACACATTTCATTGACTTGCGCACAAACCAATGCCGGCCCTGCAGTTCAGATTGTAGTATCCATGGATGCAGCGGACCGTTGTCGACACAGTGTGTGTCCTGCCGATCGTACCGTGATTATTACGATACGGATCATCCGGATTTGTTTAACTGTACGAACCAGTGTCCGGCGGAAAGGGTGTACAGTACGAATCAGCCAACGGATCCTAAGGTCTTGCTTGACCCATCCGAGAGCATGTGCACGAAGGATGATATTATATCGTAAGTGCTCTTATGCTTTTGGTGATTGTTTTATTTGTTTGTATATATACCTTTTTCAATTACAATAAATTTCCATGTAACTTGAAAGTTGCACGATAATATCAGTGGTTTGTTGCGAATCTTGTGATTAAGTTCGTTAACTATACTGCAGGGCGAAGAAGACGAAGGTTATTCTCATTGGCGTTTGTACATCATTGGGAGCGCTAATCGTCCTTGTCGTAATCGTCGTTTGCTTCCGGCACAAACGAGCGCAGATAAAGATGACTACACTCCAAATTCAAGAGAAATTTGCCGGTATCGAAGAAACGGAGCCGTACACTCCAACAGACAATAAGCCGGATACGTCTAAATTGCGGCTGATAAGTGAACGCGAACTAAGGCGAGGCGGAGAACTCGGACAAGGAGCGTTCGGATATGTTTACAAAGTACGAAGAAAAGGGCGCCATTGTTTTGTAGGGTGGGTTTATTTATCATGTTCGATTACAGGGATTTTGGCTGCCACCTGGCGAAAACTTGAAAATCCCTGTGGCGATTAAAGTTCTTAAGGAAGGCGTGGGCGTGGGTGCCGCAAGAGAAATTCTGGACGTAAGTAACTCCAAAACAACTTAGCTTGCAGAAATGCGCGGATAAACGCAAGCGTTGTTCTTGCAGGAAGCCCATGTGATGGCGTCGGTGAGTCACCCGCATCTGGTGTCGCTGCTAGGATTATGCATGACGTCGCAGATAATGCTGATTACGCAGTTACTTCCGCTGGGATCTCTGCTAGATTACGTCAAGAAAAATCGTAAAAGCATAAAGTCGCGAACCTTCCTCAATTGGTGCTCACAGATCGCTAAGGTAATAATGTAAATAGATTTTTCTGAGGAAAACTCACAATTTCTAATGTTGCATGTTTCAGGGAATGAAATATCTGGAAGAACGCCACATGATTCATCGAGATTTGGCGGCCCGCAACGTTCTGGTGGAACGACCGGAATGGGTAAAAGTCACTGATTTTGGGCTGGCCCGAATCCTGGACTGTCATCAAGAATCAATGAAAGCGAACGGAGGAAGGGTAAAAAATGTCTACTGCGTTATTTAACATGAATTGAAAACATCGGAAAATGAAAAGCAAACATATCGGAAGAATTAATGAATAAGTACCATTTTTTCGTTTCTCTTGACCTTTGTATATTCCTAGATGCCAGTGAAATGGTTGGCCCCAGAATGCATCGACCGTGGAATCTATAGCCATAAAACGGATGTGTGGGCATTCGGCATCACAGTGTGGGAATTGTTCACCTACGGAGAGAAGCCCTATGAGCATATACCGGTTAAAGAACTATACAGTTTCCTGGAAAGCGGTGAACGCTTACAGCAGCCGCCGATCTGCACACTGGATGTCATGATGTTGATGCTGAAATGCTGGAGTTTTCCTCCCGAAAGTCGGCCAACTTTCCAAGAGCTGGCTTCGGAATTCGCCAAAATGACCCGTGACCCGGGTCGATATCTAGTCATAGTGGGTGATGATTATATGCGCCTGCCGGATTACACGCGTGAAGACGAGCAGCGCATGTTCCGCGACATGGAAGATGTTGGTTCGGAACGTTTAGTTTTGGCCGAAGAATACGTTAACCCACAGACCTACTGTTTCGACACGCAACTTTACCTTGATGGGACCTTAAAAGTAAGGGTAGTATGTAGCTGCATTTATTGAAACGACTGCCCATATGTAATTAAGTTCGCGAAAGAGGTTCTGGCATGATTCACATTTACCAGTTAGTGCAGTGGGAGTTAACTGGTTCCTACTTCTGCTTAAATTAACGCAAAAAATTGAAAGTTGTATTAGCTTCCACTGAATTACTTTTTACAACAGACTTGGTTTTTATATACAGATTGTGAATGTTGTAAACACGGATGTAGATGCTGATTTGATTTATTTTACATAGCGCCCTATGGCTAATGGCTACCGAAACGGCCATATATCCGATGGAAGGCAGAGCGCTGCTCGATTTCCGCATGTAAGCGCTCCGTTTTTGGATCGTGGACGTTCAGTTGAACGAAAGGACAGTCCGCCACATTCACGTTATGAACAAGATCCCGTAATGTTACGGAAACGTAAGGACCATTTCCTTATGAGATTGTCTTTTCTGTTGGATGAAACTGAGATAGAAAAACCTTGCAGTTATCAGAATAATATTTTACAATATTCTTACATATAGATGTGGATATTCTAAACTTGACGCCAAAGACCACCTCGATTATACTTGACTCCGATGGCCAGTATCTCATCCCAATCCCTGCAGATGGTGGTGATCCAAAGTCTGAGACAATGTACCTGGATCTCACAGATCCGCTCAAAGGTGCGTCGGTTGCAGATTCATTTATTTATTTGATTCATTTGGTTTTTGTAAAAGGTGAAGTTGGTAAATTATTGTCCGTTTGCTTGTGACCGGATTCTTAATGATTGTTTTCGTTGGTATCGGTAAATCTGAAACTTACGAGTGATTAATATTGTAACACAGACTGGAGAGTTCCTATCGTAGACTTGTGTCTGACTTTTTCCGTTTTTTCAGATAAAGACGCCAGTTTGGCGGAAGAATACGAGAAGATGCCGCAGTCCAGCCCGCGGCGTCGTGTGCCTTTAGTGGGCTATCCTACAAGCGAACTAACCGCACTTATGGACGGAGAGGGCGCGATGCAGGTTCACAATCCCGAATATCGAATGATGTCATCCACGGCCAGCAATGCCAGCACGGACAGTGCTTGCAATATTCCGCTGACACATAGTGATCCCGAATCCGATCATGACTACTACAATGACCTCAGTCCGCGGCGGATGGAGCGGATGCCACTAAACGGTTCTGTTCCGCGACGGAATGAAACAACCGTGTAAAAATGGCAGACAACCATGTGTGTATAAAGTCGTCAGGGTAGTATTTAAATGGAAATCTTCACTGTTGTTATCATCTGTGATCTGTAATCCGGACAGTTTTTTTTGATAATTCGAAGTGGAAAATTTTTGTACTTGGATAACTTGCGCCGCTTAATTGGGTATATTTTTCTGCGGGGTTTTCTATTTTTATATGAGCTTTTTGTCTGCTAAAATGGGCGGGCTGCATGCTTCTGTGTAAATTATCTTTTCGAAGGTGTGCTAAGAGTTTCAGAAAAATTCTTGGCCTTTTTTGGTACGTTTTCGTACCAAATTTTATGAATTCGGTGATTGTTTTAGTTAGAATTTTGTACGATATACTCATTTCATGCTTGTTGACCGCAGTATTGCTTTGTTTTGCCCTTTGAACATTTCAATGGTATTGACTGTTTTTGTTTGCGAATGTTAGGTATTGTGCAGTAAAAAAATGTTATGTAAGGCGTTCACGAATCTCTGCTTTTATTGACTAGTTTCTCAGCAATATGCACCGAAAAATTAGCACCAAGACACCGAACTTATATACTGTAGCATCAAGAGCCAAATCATTAGCACTATTTGAGGTGAGTATGCGACACTGGACACGGCACGAAGTTATGGATAATTTTGGCGGTACATGGACGGTGTATTGCATCTCGCTTGCAGCGAGAAGTTAAAACCACTTCCGTTGTACTATAATTTTGGGTGGTTCCCGACGGTCTCCACCCCATTTACTAAATAACGAAAAGCTGCTTTATCGCGTGCCCCGGCCCGCATTGTAAAACCTGAGTTGAACAGAGTTGGGGTTGGTTTGAGTCAGTTTGACAATCTTGTTAATGTTTTACGTAATGTCAAGCCTCTACGCTCCACGTGCAGTTTAAATTTGAAGGAAACTTTTTTTTGTAAAACTTAATGGTATAATTGTTTTCCGATCGTCAGGTAAACTGTCTTCTTCTGTAGCTTCGACCTACCTAACGTGTACCTCAACAAATCTGGAGCAGTGCAAATCGCAATATAGCTCGACGGGATTTCAAAAGCGAGCGGTTAGCCGGTTAAATATTACACTTTCTAGCACGAGATATATTTATTTATTGTTGTTTGACTGCTTATCATCCGCAGTTTTTGATTAAAATTGCGCATTTGCATACCGGTGTCCGTATTTCGTGAGAAACCGATATGTAGGGTTTACATTAGGGTCGAGAGATATCGTGGATGGCGAAAAATTTTAGGTTACAAAACCAAAAGCAGCGCGCGAGTACACAAACAAAAGTATGGAATAGTTTTGACGCGCCAGCGACAAGCGGAGCCAAGCCAAAAGTGTCATATTGACATTTGAGCCAGCCACACCGAAAACATATTTGTTCAGTTACACTAAATACGCATTATATTGCCGCAGATAGCCTCAAAATTATGAAAAATTGCAAATATGCAGGACTGTGTGGGACGCAAGTATTCTTGCAAATTTACGATCGCAAGGGCTTATATGCAAATTCAAAATGTATAGGCACAGAATTAATGTTGCTAACTGTTGTGTAGATGTACCATATGTATCACAGATATTCACAGCACAACCACTCTAAAACAATTCTGACTGCAATTTTTCTCGTGAAGTATATGTCAAGCATATTTTAGAAAAATTAACTCAATCAAAATCTAAGCTGATAAAGGAGTATTATCGCAACTGTAACGTGTCGAACAAATACCAAATTAACAAATGCTTGTCTGCTATGATTTTAGGGTGATGGAATCACTATGGTTTATTTACGTACAGAACCTACTACAGCCTAAAGGTCAACAAGTCACTTTGGGGAAATCAGGTGTATATTGAGATTTTTGAATGTAATTGAATGCTGTTTGTTATTACTGTCGCTTTGCAAATTTTGTTTTTTTTCTGGTTGATTATACAGTCATGAAATCGGAAAAAACGCTCTAACCCCACATAGGTACACAACATCCAGAAATGAATATAAAATGATATATTGGGCAAACTAACAAGTTGGGGGTCACATACAAATAGTGCACGTGATTACTACGAGCCTCATGCCTCATACATTCCTCATTATGAGCATGCGCGCAGGAAGTGTAAGTAAGGGTCACGCTTTGAATATTTGCGCAAAAATTGCTAAAGCTAAAGTAAATTTGTGATTCCCACCTGAATGCCAGATGGTTTCTTAAAAACCAACTACAAAATTGATACAAATTGATACAAATTGGTTGATACAAAATTGTTGTGGTGAAAGAGTTTGGTGAGAGAGTTATAATCTAATTAAAGTGGTCAATATCACACCGTCAACAAAAAATAATACACAAATTCTTGCTAAAGTTATAATCACGCTGTACGGCTGTAGTGAAGGCGATATAATAACCATTAAACAGACTTTAAATTAAAATAATTCACATACAGTACTACTTCGAGCACTCGGCTTGGCCACCAGCGGTTTCATTAAAATTGTTTACAGTTGTCTATGCACATGATAAAAAGAATCTGCGCCAAATGCATCCTTCTTTTAAAACATATATTACGCTCTACTTTCCTTTGCAATTAATTATCATGTATAAAACGGCTGAATCGCTCCTCAGTGTCGTTTAAATACGTACATGCAATCCCGAATGGCGATCACCAAAAGGCGGAAAACAGAAACCGGAAAAGTGGCATTCAACTCAATCGACGGCCGTTCCAGTCATCCGTCATACTCCAAACGACACTAGATAGTTTACTGACGGCAATTAGGGTGACATTGAGATGAGCGGAAAAGGTGAGCGCGCATCCGACGAATCCGACGTGGCCGCAAATACATATGTTGCGATCGACGAGCACTGCCGACCGGCACCGATTGTCACGTCTAATCAGTACCGAAGCAATACTCATAGATCAAAAACATACCGACCGTGCGGGCGCTCGCATATAGGGTAGCCTTCATTATGGCTTCATATATGTAAGGTAGAATAATTATATAATATACACAATATCCATCCGCTTCCGTCCATCCTTGGTGATGATCCCGCGATGTAATCTAAAAAGAATGGAGCAATCCCATCTGGTAGCGTGAGAATTCAATGGCAAAATGCATTTTCGTCATCGAAACGCATATGCTACGCAGCACTACCAGGCTGAGATTAATCCATGCTAATTATATTAGTCAACACAATTGCACAGTCATATTTGTATAAGTATCAACACGGATCTGCCGGTGATATCATTCCCCATTTCCATACAATACATATACATATTCGGCATGGAACATAATTATACCGAAAACTATTAAACCGGAAAAGTGCCCTGCGCCATTTGGCTGTAATAAATCCATATAGGCGAGTTTTATTTTCTGTGGGCCATCACGAATTACACTCTACTGAAATGCGCAAAGGGATCACGTTGTTGCATGACCGGCGCAATGATCTGTTGCCGAGGCTAAATCAAAAGCCGAGAATTCTCTGTCCGTTGGCAAGCTGTCACCTTTCTCTCTCTCCCTCTTTGTCATAGCGCGGTAACTTTTTAGAGCTCTTGAGAGAATCCCAGATAAGGGAGTTTGTATTAGAGCCGACGATAAGATAGTTGGCACAAGAAGAGAATTTTACTGTTTCACTTGATCGTTAAAGCGTAAACAATTTCAAATCATAAAATTGTCCCTGCAGCTGCAAGTTGCCAACGAACGTCCTGGACATGAGGCGCTTATACAATACGTCTACCATGGCGGATCGTTTTTATAATGACGAACCTTACCAAATGTGGCTTCACAGTTTTCTACCGCGACGGTCTGCTCGTGTCGTTAGCTCGTTAAGCGCTAAAGGACATTCTTTGGCGCTCTAGCGGAAACACCTGACATTTTTTGGCGGCTATGGAAAAGAATAGTGCACGGTCGTTAAGCACAGCAGCGAATCCGAAGCGCACATAAAAGACATGCTGCAGACGACAAAACACGGCATCGAGCCGAAGCGATACACGAAGTTGGGTATAAACAAAACTGTGCTGACAAAATGTGTTTATAGCCTTTAATGCCAAAATCACAGAAAACGTTCAGGTGTCCATCGTAAAGGTGTATCAAATTAATCCCGAAACCTACCGCTCATTACTCTATGTAATAATTATTATTATTAAGCTTAACATCCGCATCCGTATTGGCAGCTCACCTTAACTCCACCGACCTTTGCTCCAGAAGATGCTGGAATTATGCAGGAATCCAGCATTATACGAATGATACACAGTAACTCTTGCAACATCTACGGTTGTATCGTAATAATTACTGAGGTCAAGAGAACATTGGCTGCACAAGAGGAAAAACAGGCAACATCATTTGTTGGACTTCTAGATTTTGAAATTTTGTTAGGAGAAAGTTATTAAGGGCCATATAAATTGCAATCAGAAATGCAGTTCTCAAAGATCATGAACGATTAGTTGATCCGTGCATATATCACGATACGAATGGCTTGAGTAAACCAGCGGTCGAAGAAATCAGCGCCGGATGCAAAGATATACTGTTACATTTCACCTGCCGACTACGGCACTTGACACAAGTACTTATAGGGCCATATTTGGAGCAAAAGAGATTGTATGTATACTTACTACAATATATACTGCCTTGGATAACATTTTTGAACAAATTTTATGCGCGTGTTATAATATATATTTATTACCATTTGTAAACGGCAGTTTAGCTTGGGTGGCAAAATACTTGCGACGTATGTTCAAACTCAGAAACCGGAACAAACGTTCTTGATGGACACCAATGTCCACACATTCTCCTACCTTTATAATGCAAACGTCAACAAGTCATATAACCATTGTTCAGGGAGAAATGATGGGTTTGACCGTATTTTGACGTGTAAAATCGTAGCAGCATTATAGCGCTAGTCGTCGCCAGACTGGATGTGTAATAAGTCTTGAGCATGGCTCATTCTTGAATTACTTTATGCTGTTAATCCGTAAATGCGTTCGATGTCTGATTTTCTGTTGAAACAATAATTGTGCAATCTAAGTTTAAAAACGCCCCGGCATAAAACGATTAAAATGCTGCTCAATTAGGCATAAAATACTTGCATGACCTAATACTGTAGCAGTCGGAATGTCGGAAAACAAGCGTAAAACAACATTGATCATGGCCGTTAATGAGCGGAAGGACATGTATATAGCTGACCATAAGCCAATAAATGTAACTTAAACTGAAGTATTTGAAATTATTTATGCATTAATTGATAGACTGCATGTATATTCATGGCGTTTTATCTTAGATTCACATAGACTAAAATTAAAAACACATTTTTTTCATACTTGAACACGCTCAACAGATTACGTGCCTACAACACATCTCCAAGAACAGAACGATTTACGCACAGAACAGAATGACGCACGCCAGAACATACCTAATTCCATTTACTACTTCGCACTAATATTATGGTCAATACTCACGTGCAGATGGTAATTCAACACAGCCTTGCAGCATGACTCATTATATCATCAATGACTGTTGTACTATTTATTTAGAAAATATGGAGTCAGTCATTGTTCGTCAAATATATAGTATAAAGGAAGCAAAAAATATAAAGCAAAAAATCGTTGCATTTTGCATGTCCCGATAAGTAACGTTGCAGCGGACTTCATAACCGAAGTTAGGAATGGTGTACTTCGATAATACTGTATTTTTGACCATTGTGTCTTCTGATTTCGAAAAGGAGTAATTCCTGGCATTTGCAGACGTTAAGCAGTAAGCCTAAACCTAAACCGAGAAGGAAGAAAACCGGAAGCTAAACCGTGCTAATATCTGGTACTTACTGGATGCTCACTGCACGTTGTGCCATATGATGATATGCGTGCTACAGGGATCTTCAACGACTATTTAAAGGGGCTGAATTATTTTATTTTGGGCAGATAAAACGAGTTTTTTGGTTGTATTAAAGTATTGTGGCAGTACATGGCTCCATTCACTTTCAGTACCTAGTAATCCAGTATACCGACAACTGGCAATGACATACTCTGTTTCATCGAAATGAACGTAGAACAATAACACTGTAAGTAAGCAAGCACCGTAACCAAAACGTTTATAACGTTTATTGAATAAACAATTATACTATAACCAAACCATGCAGCTAGCCAGCGGAACTTGCTTTGGCATCAAGAGTACAGGAACAAGAGTTCGTCACAGAAAGAACGGCACATCCGGTCAGCGACTGCACGCTGCAACCAGAAGAGAATGCCAGTTTGAGTAATTTCTGTACCGCGAAAACATAAAGGAAAATAAGTTAAAGCTAACGCATTAACTCAGATCTCTCACACCCAGAGATTGCTATAACCATAAACCAAAAATATAATAACCACAACGAGAATCCTTTAAACAGCTGCGCAAAAAAATGCACCCGTGGTTTGATTACAACGGCATAACGCTCATCGGCTACGATGAGTCCTCAGTGCATGTCTATATACAAAGCAAAACGATTGATTTTGGTTAAAGGAGACTGAAACGGATATACAACGATTAGCTAGCTCAGAGGAATTCCACTCCACCGGTGCAACTTGGCTGTCGCACACAGTCCATTGGCAACATTCAGCAATATCAGGAGCAACGTTCAGCATTTGATTCTTCCCCCGCACACACAGTCAATGGCTTATTCTTTAGGCATCCCTCAAAACCAGGCCGATGTCCCGTTGGGCGCTTGTGGCGTCGTAGGATTCCAGATTTGGGCCAGGGCATGCCGATTGAGCAGATCCACCTGGCTAGCTCCCAGTAAATCCCGGCTATAACTATAATGAGCACAAAACATTAACCGCGTACACGGTCAAACTGAATGTCATAATATGGTTTCCGATTTTCGGTACTATTTTTTCGGCACTCTTACAGATTTATTTTATTTCGTAAATGTGCATCAATTTAGAAATGAAAAACAATTTTCTGGTCACAGCTAAATACTGAACAACAAATTATTTTTAAATTTCTCAATAATGCAAACTATCGTCACTCTCTTTCTAATTTCTAAACACTTCCTACTAAGCAAACGGCAAGTGCATTTTGGAACATTCTTCGTTTTTTGAACAATCAAGCAAATTTACAAATACTTTGGTCCGCTATACCGCTTACCCGCCCAGTGCTGCTGCATTATTCTGGTAAGCACCCAATGCTGCCGCGAGATGCGTTGGCAATGATGTTGCCGCTGCGGTTAACTGGGTATAGGGATTGGCTCGAGCACTGGCCACCGCGGCCAGATTCGTCATTTGCTAGACACAAAACATTCAACAAAATCATTCCCAATACAGACATCATTTACAAAGCAATTATCCAAGCTTTCTGCGTAGTTCACTACAAAAAATCGACAAAATACAAGATGTATTCCATAATCAGGCTAAAACACCAGCCAAGCGCAGCATAAAATGTGTAGCGATTGAACTGGACCGAAAAGCTTTAATGCCCAGATCCGGCGCATCAGAGCCGAAAGAGGAAATGGCCCAAATGCTTTTTATTTATTGCCATGGCCAGGAGTATTCACACCCTCGCGTCAATACTCAATACGTGTACATTTTAGAAAATTTAATGGTTACTAATTCAACAGTAAATTGTGATAATCTAAGCCTTGCAGTACCATATTATAACATGAAAACATAAATTAACACAGGACGTAATTATGGGATCATGGCAGCATTTCCTTGACTCGCTGTTGTATTACGTTGGCTATTTGCCCGATTTAGTATTAACAAAAAAATTATGGAGTCAGTCATTGTTCTGATATCATACTATTTATTTACCAGCCCTACTGATCACATGCACGGACTGGCGTAGATCATGCTGAAGCGTAAATATATAGTATAAAGGAAGCAAAAAATATAAAGCAAAAAATCGTTGCATTTTGCATGTCCCGATAAGTAACGTTGCAGCGGACTTCATAACCGAAGTTAGGAATGGTGTACTTCGATAATACTGTATTTTTGACCATTGTGTCTTCTGATTTCGAAAAGGAGTAATTCCTGGCATTTGCAGACGTTAAGCAGTAAGCCTAAACCTAAACCGAGAAGGAAGAAAACCGGAAGCTAAACCGTGCTAATATCTGGTACTTACTGGATGCTCACTGCACGTTGTGCCATATGATGATATGCGTGCTACAGGGATCTTCAACGACTATTTAAAGGGGCTGAATTATTTTATTTTGGGCAGATAAAACGAGTTTTTTGGTTGTATTAAAGTATTGTGGCAGTACATGGCTCCATTCACTTTCAGTACCTAGTAATCCAGTATACCGACAACTGGCAATGACATACTCTGTTTCATCGAAATGAACGTAGAACAATAACACTGTAAGTAAGCAAGCACCGTAACCAAAACGTTTATAACGTTTATTGAATAAACAATTATACTATAACCAAACCATGCAGCTAGCCAGCGGAACTTGCTTTGGCATCAAGAGTACAGGAACAAGAGTTCGTCACAGAAAGAACGGCACATCCGGTCAGCGACTGCACGCTGCAACCAGAAGAGAATGCCAGTTTGAGTAATTTCTGTACCGCGAAAACATAAAGGAAAATAAGTTAAAGCTAACGCATTAACTCAGATCTCTCACACCCAGAGATTGCTATAACCATAAACCAAAAAATATAATAACCACAACGAGAATCCTTTAAACAGCTGCGCAAAAAAATGCACCCGTGGTTTGATTACAACGGCATAACGCTCATCGGCTACGATGAGTCCTCAGTGCATGTCTATATACAAAGCAAAACGATTGATTTTGGTTAAAGGAGACTGAAACGGATATACAACGATTAGCTAGCTCAGAGGAATTCCACTCCACCGGTGCAACTTGGCTGTCGCACACAGTCCATTGGCAACATTCAGCAATATCAGGAGCAACGTTCAGCATTTGATTCTTCCCCCCGCACACACAGTCAATGGCTTATTCTTTAGGCATCCCTCAAAACCAGGCCGATGTCCCGTTGGGCGCTTGTGGCGTCGTAGGATTCCAGATTTGGGCCAGGGCATGCCGATTGAGCAGATCCACCTGGCTAGCTCCCAGTAAATCCCGGCTATAACTATAATGAGCACAAAACATTAACCGCGTACACGGTCAAACTGAATGTCATAATATGGTTTCCGATTTTCGGTACTATTTTTTTCGGCACTCTTACAGATTTATTTTATTTCGTAAATGTGCATCAATTTAGAAATGAAAAACAATTTTCTGGTCACAGCTAAATACTGAACAACAAATTATTTTTAAATTTCTCAATAATGCAAACTATCGTCACTCTCTTTCTAATTTCTAAACACTTCCTACTAAGCAAACGGCAAGTGCATTTTTGGAACATTCTTCGTTTTTTGAACAATCAAGCAAATTTACAAATACTTTGGTCCGCTATACCGCTTACCCGCCCAGTGCTGCTGCATTATTCTGGTAAGCACCCAATGCTGCCGCGAGATGCGTTGGCAATGATGTTGCCGCTGCGGTTAACTGGGTATAGGGATTGGCTCGAGCACTGGCCACCGCGGCCAGATTCGTCATTTGCTAGACACAAAACATTCAACAAAATCATTCCCAATACAGACATCATTTACAAAGCAATTATCCAAGCTTTCTGCGTAGTTCACTACAAAAAATCGACAAAATACAAGATGTATTCCATAATCAGGCTAAAACACCAGCCAAGCGCAGCATAAAATGTGTAGCGATTGAACTGGACCGAAAAGCTTTAATGCCCAGATCCGGCGCATCAGAGCCGAAAGAGGAAATGGCCCAAATGCTTTTTATTTATTGCCATTATCGTTCCTTCCTTTTATTCTTACATTCAAACCGGCAAGCACATAGGGATCCGTATAGAGGCCAGCCGCCGAGTATAGTCCATGCGCCGCCAAGGTCTGTGCATTGCGGGAAAGCAGGGCCGCTTGATACGGTTGGGTTCTCAAGAGACTCGAGGATGAACGGTTCCTCTGAATAGGCGAGCCAACAACATGCACTCTGGCCGCTAAAATCAGTCAGTCACACCATCAGTGAACAATTCAAAGACAAGTTGCAAATGCTTTTAATCATATAAATGAAACAATCCGGCACATTTCACCAGTTTAACCAGCCCCGTCAGCTTACCAAGTTAAAAAAAAAAACAAGAAAACAATGGTTAGGATGTCAGAACTAGAAAATATACCATAACTATTACAATAATTAGTTCGGTTGTACATAGAGCAATAATATATGTACAATATCTTACCGTATGGGGACGATGACGTCGGTTTAGCTTTCGTGTTGGTCTTGGCGGTTGCGTCGTTGACCTTTGAGAGAAAGTAAGATTATACAAAACTGATTAACATTAAAAAAATGTTGGCGTGCATGACACTCTTCTCGGTAGTGCAAACGGCAATCCCCTTTTCTTTTCACTTTCTGCCTCTCATGGCGCTAGTAATTAATCAAATTGGCTCTCCATGTCTAGAGACCATTACCGGAAAACAGCTATGGCTACAAACGATTTGGGAAACAGATAGATGATCTTAATTATGCCCTTCGGACAGTGTAAAACTAACACGAACGCTTACCATCCTCCAGTGCACTTGGCTTACCGTTGCTCGTTATCCATACGCAAATCCGGATACATCAGCTAATATTCTAAACGCAACGCAACTACAATTTCAGCAAAAAAATTTGAACCATACACATTTTCCTAGTGCTGTCGTAAATTTCCAGTTGAAAAAGACGTAAGTACGCAATGCAATAAGAATACCCAAAGAGAAAAGGTGTTCAATTTTTTCAGAAAATTAAAAAAAATTCGAAAATTTCCAAACAAAACCAGACTGATTTTGTAACCCGGAAGACGAACGAGCAAAACCAAAACCTCCGCCAATGCAGTGACCGAAAAGCACCAAAACACAAGGCAAGATGCGCTGGCTGTTAAAAAAAACTGAAACCCACGCCAAATAAGCCGGAAGTACATAAATGCGATGCTATGCAAAAGCACAGGAAACGCGCGACGTAAAGTGAGCCTTAATGGCCTGCCATGGCAATGAGGACACTGAATAAAAACGTTAAACCGTCAGTACAAACTCATCCTAGTGTCACTAGGGTAAAAGTCAAAGTGGAGCCATTAATACAAACAAATAATTACCGGCCAACTAATTGAGTTCAGAATACAATTCAAAATACAAGGGAGGAGAACTGATTAACACGCTCAGATGTACAATGCATAGTAAAAGGCTGCCGTTTGCATTCCGAATAAGATCGTGTACCATTGTAGAGTAGATAGAGAATACCACAAAATAATAACCATCACAAGCACAATTGAACCATTCCGAACTTGTTTCATCACTCATGCGCACCTCTATTTTTCGTCCATCTACGACAGACCCGTTCAAGTGATCTTTGGCGCGGTCAGCATCGGATGCACTTTGAAATGTCACAAAACCGAATCCCTGAAGGCATGCAAAAAACAACAGGCACCGCATTAAGGCCGACAAATGTAAAGAGAAAACAACAACGTGTCTCTCGCAAACCACCACACAACAGCGACAACAACAAGTTAAATCCAAACAAAATGAGGGTAAACAATTTACTATCCCAAAAGTCTAATTATTTTTAATAACGAAAAAGCCGCTTACAACTAATCTCGATTATTACATAAATATTATGACATAAAGGCATTCTACGAAACATACGTACGTACATGGTGCAAACTGATCTCAAACTTGATGAAATATGTGTTATGGCTTTCTTGCAGCCCACTCACCTTCGATCCTCGGTCATTAAAAATAATCTCAACTTGCGTCACTGTTCCAAATGGCTGAAATGAAACAAAGTCAGTCACGTGTTTTACGATTAATTAAATCCTTGCACACATGATACATCACAACGCATTCGCGATAATCGTCGTTATTCCGGTATTCACCAAAGACCAAGGTGCCTCTACAGTTAAATAATAAAATTGTGACATCCCAATTTAATCCAAACTTATACCAGCCATAACATAACATGTAATAACCTCTGTTTAATTCAACTCGACACCGCGAGTTGTACTACTGTAAATTTGATGACCTTTTACACAAGTCTGTCCATATCTCAACACAGCACGTACAATACTCAAAGTCAAAGGGGCGCAACATCATCATTCACGTAAGTGCGGCATTATGGATGAATAATAATCTTTACTCTTAAGCGTTCATGTTCAATAATTTGTATAAATATAAACCATAAAGTATCAACAGAAAATGAATTTTACCACCAGTTTGAACTTGTAACAGTAGGTGCACGGTGCACCGTATTTCTTGATCTTCAGATTTTTTGATATATTATAGCAAAAACCACCCAGTCACCCACCATAGTCGTTGAGTTATTAATTATCGGAAATTTTTAGTAAATGAAATGGTGGTATGAGGAGTTGAAGGTGGTTCTGCAAAGGTGGTAGTATTACGAGTCGAAAGTGGTGGTGTGCAGAGCCTTCACCTAAACAAAATTCGCAAGTTGGTTCTCACCTCAAATAGCGCCTTTAGATCAGGATCGCGGAATCTAAAGGGAATATTGGAGACATGGAGTCTTTTCGGTGCCGAATCCTGCAGCCTCATGGGGAGTTGTGTGGCCGCTGGTGCGGTCGTCTGCGTGGTGCTTGTCGGCATCATATTGCCCGCGCTAACACCACTCGTCAGCGCAGAATTGTCAATATTGTTGGTGGGTAAATACAGCGGAACTTCCGACTTGACATCGTCGTTCTCCAGCAGATCCGTTTGCTAAAGAAAAGGAACGGAAAGGCTCTTCGTTAAGATTAGTCTCCCCCACATACCGATGAGAAAAATGGTAATGTCAACAGTTATCACTTGAAATGAGTTATCGATCGCATATGTAGAAGGCTGTTAATTCTGTTGACTATTCATTATTGAAATTCCACGCTATATACGGCATTAAAATATTAGGATTCTTAGCACACAATGGCAAACGTCATCGTATTTCCGTAGCTTGAAGAAAAGAAGCCACTGATTATGTCAACATGCAATGTCTCGAGATACGACCAAAAAGAGTCTGTATAAAGCCACATCGTCCACCTACTGTTCCTGTGCATAAAGATGCTCCCAAGTTAGAATTCGCATTAACTAATGAGTCGCTAAAATGCATGCCAAGCGGCAATGCATCTTCTGGGCGGTATGACTGGAGAAAAAAATCAAAATGAGCCATTTGTCCAGAGAATCTGCACTAAACCGATCATAAAAAGTCGAAGCAGCAAAGTCTCAACTGTTCAGCTTATTATGGTAATTTTTCCGGGCGCACGGCGTAACAAGCGACCGCGTCCAACTGTTCGCCGGAACAGTTGCAGTTGAGTGCACTTTCTTCTCTTTGAAAATGTGGTCTGTGCGCCACAAACGCCGTGGCTGCCGTTCATATATCCTGCCATTTAAAATGGTGAGAGCCAATGATTAGTTCGACCTTATTTTTCATGCCAACTAGCATTTTGCAAATTCCTCACCCTTCTAAATATAGATTCAATTTTCAAACAGTCACCACACCAGCACACCACTGCTGCTTCATTATCACTACGCTAACTCTACCATATTAAATCAGCAAAGCCTCCCACTGTTTATTCATTCGCCTAGAAAAGAGCCTCGCTAATGAGCAGCGCGCCGTGACTGCGTGCCACACAGATCGGTCCCAAATTCAACAAAACCCAAAAAAGTCTCTCCCGTCAGGCAGATCACAACAAGGATCTTACATTGTTTACAATGGACCAATGCAGCAGACTGTAATATAATCGATGAGGTTTTCAGCTGCTCCAAGCAGAAAATGCAATTAATTTACACTAGTCAGGCTTCTTCCAGTTACTGGCTACCCGTGCTGATGTCATCGCATGTACACTTGGATTAGATTAACTCAGTATGTCCCGGAAGATTGCCGAAAGTGGACAACTATCACAAGCATTTACATCACTAACGCTGCAATCTTTACAAAAAAATATGCGAACTGAATTACATAAATACCATAAGCGAAAACTTTGGAAATTAACTGTTGTAAATCAGTAAATGAGAGTATTCATTCAGTAAGCATAAAACCATATGCCGCTCTGCAACACGCACGTTCCACTTGCGCAATAAATTAGAATGCTGTCAAACAACTCAAACAGAATCATCTCTGGAGTGAGTCCAACCTCTGACGTAAATAACGAGAGAGATGAGTGTGTGGACGAGTTGGCATAATACCAGCTCTTCTAATTAACCAAAAGGACTCACATCTCGCGGATGAAAATACACATTCGTCATACTCGATTGGGCACCATCTTCAGCCAAATTGGTCTAATCAGACATTTAATCTATATTTCGCAAATCTCGATAATGCTTACCGTTTGCTGTTCAACACCGGCTACCGATGAGGACGCTGATCCAACATCTTTTATTCCGTTTCGCGCGTGATCTATCTGTACGTTGTGCGTTGCCGTAGTTGAATTGTCCATTGATAAATTTCCTGCGGTCACTGGAAAAAATGAAGGTTTCACCATGGTCCCACCCGCAACAACTTCCTTTCGGCCAATAACGACGTAGATTTAAATAGTAAGGCCTTGAGGAACAACCAAAAACTCTATTCGATCATCAACTATACAAACATTAAACACAGAGAGCGCTCGTTTCTAACATTTGACGAATGAAAATATTAGTGCGTAGTCCAAACAAATTTTTAACTAACAGACAAGTCTGTCAGAATCGGTCAGATGGGGCATGATGCATTATCGACTACTTTGATCTCTCCATAACGGAGGAGAATTTAAATAACTATAACAAATGCCTGCATGGCTGCAGCGTCCCTTTCTTCGTATCTAGAGCGTGCAGCTCACAAGCTAATGCTTGGGCTTCCTTCTCGCTCTGTCAATCCAGCTCAGTGCAGCTCATGGGGATGTCTTTGTCGCTTCCTTAGCAGAAGCAATTGGCTTACAGAAATAGGATTTGACAAGCTCAGCAACATGTCCAATGACGCCCAAGAAAAAATCTTTCCTCTTCCCCTATATTTACAGTGCACTAGCTGATCGCGTACGTATAACGGGACCAGAATGCATACTCCGCCGGTCAATATGATAACATCATCTCTGCCTTCGGCAGAATGCGTTAACCGTGCGGTAGCACCCCATTTCCGTAATTTATATCCTAACTGATCAGAACATAAGAGTCCTTATAGCAAAACTGGATGACTGATAATAACCATACTTTACTTTTCTTAACGGTAAATAAACACCATTGCATGAATATAGCTTCGGGACCGTGTTATCTAATGAGGCTTTCTGTCCACTATACGAGATAACTGATTTCTTACACCGCAGAAGAATCTATCTGCTAAACATACCAGTAAAATCCACAGATCCTACGCGTAAGAAAAATATGAGTGTCCTGCGCGGCTACGCCTTCAAAGAAAACGGAGCAGCAAGTCGACAAATACTATAATAACCATAAACAAATGAACAATTGAAAAAGCGGGCTACTGGTTTATGCAATGGCAATGAGGGACATCACATATCTAATTTCTAAGCGAATAAAGTGCGAAGACAAATCTGTTCTCAAAATCCAAAAAATTCGTGAAAAACTACGTTACGGTCACAAGAAACCACAAAGATTTTCATGCTGGTATCAGCTGGAGAGACGATGCGCGAGAAGATCGTTTCCCGATCCCTTTATAATCGACCAGTTCCATAATTGAACGGCCAAGCTATTTTTCAAATCGATTAACCCTTCTGACTTGCCTACAAGTTAGCATTTAACCACAGAATCAGTTAGGCTAATAAATAGTCGTACGATAACCAATGCGGCTGGCTGCTTCTTCCTGCACGAATTCTATTCGCCAACCGTACATCAGAAATGTAACTCCGGGTGGAATCTGGACGATTTCGTACAAGCAAATACCACGCATGTCCGCTACAAGCGGAAGCCTTATTTTAAAGGACGGATGTCCAGGTGCCCATTGCACACATGCCAATAAGGCACGCATAAAAGTCAATCTCGACACCAAATTAGCTGATCATGCAATAATCAGACTGCTCCAAGTTAGCACTATTTTACGAATTTTTTCGTATTATCGCGTACCAATCTGTCCACGCAAGCATGAATGGGAAATCTTACTTCATTTCCGTCTTGTTACTCCTTCTGTGTAACACCTGCCCTTTCCTTGCACTCACGCATCCGTAAGAGCAAAGCAGCAGGAAGTGATATGTGAAATTCTTTTTGGGGAGATTTGAAAATATCGCCATCACTAAATGCAAAATAATTACCCATATTTTGTGGAGGGGTAACGCGAGCTCTGTAATTTCCTCTGGATGCGCAAAAGCAATCAAAGCGCCAGAGCGTACACGCAACCTGTCACCGGAAAATCCTTTTAGACAGGCATGACTACCTGATTTCCCTAAAGTAATAATCAGCAGGGGAGCGGCTAAATTGATATCATTACCGTATCGGCCTGAGACGAACAAATAAAAACTGGGATTTCATCCTTGAAAAGACGGACGGAAAACACATTTGTCATGTTCAATATTCCAGAAATGCCTTTCGTAAAAGCACTAAGCTAACAAGACCATCAAATATAAATGCAACTCCCAGAGATTTCGGTTATATTAGAGTCACGCATAAATAAAAAAACTCTTAAGCTAACGCGAGTACTAACTTCTCTTTTATAATACTGCTTTTAACAGCAAAGTGCAAAGCCAGTTTCGATTTACGCTTGGAAGCTGAATAACCGCTGAAAAAAATTGATACAAACCTTTTGGGATATCTAATAAAACTAAGTATTCTATCAGCGATGCTTCCCAATATTCATATTGTGTATAAACGAATATGTAAATGTAAGTACAAAAATGAAATAAATTATGAATAAAGGTTTTAACATGTCTCACTCCCACTTCTCAGTGAGTATAATTACTCCAATCACTTCATACAATTTTTTAGGGAAGAACTTGCAGACAAATTTCGAGACGGCCCATAAAGGGAAGTAATAATGATCATTTATAGCGATCGAGCGTTTTATTCCTTTCTGACCGCATGGCGCATCAGGTCTAATTCACAAGCAAAAACACTTTTCGAACTGCTACCATCCAAAGAAGTCTAAAAACTTCTTTCGAATTTTCAGCGTACAATATCACAGATTATGTCCCAGAATAACTTTCCCCAGAAACATGAAAACTCTAAAAACGGAAAACTGTATTCTAGAAATTTACGAAGAAAGCAACCATATGCCGTTAAGTCCAAATAAAGAAGGCAGAACTCTGAAGCGTAAGCCGAACAAACTAAGCGCAGTAAAGCAGTTCTATGTACCCCGAGGCCTTATCAGTTCGAGTAATACGATTTGCACAAGCTTCTGTTTCGATAAAACACGTCAAACTGCCCATTCTTAAATAAAGGCCGTAAATATAGAAAACATACCTCAGCTGACAAAAGATCAAAATTGCCGGCAAATCGCAACAATGATCCACCAATATCGCTATGGCAGAGAACAGCGTCACAGCATCGCAAACAAATCCATCCAAAATCCACAAATCACAGCGAAACACGAAACGACGACTCCTATATCCACTTCTCCAACTTTACCCTAAAATTACCAATTACATTTTTTGATTTTTATTAGACCCAACCAAAACAATTTTGCACGCACGGTAGTTGAGATCCAGAATCCCGTCCACTGGTTAAGGAGGTTCTTAAGTCAATATGAGTAGTCTAGGAAGAAATTATAAACTGATCAATAAACATTGAGAACTATTTTCAACAACGACTCATCACACACTCAAGATACATAGATCGCAACGTGCACGTGAAGAACATTCAAAAAGATAAAAAATTATGGCATAGACTTAGAACCACTTTTACTGTAACAAGGACACCCGAAGTGTAGTGATGCTGGTGGTTCAAATCAAGGTACGTATCTGATTCGGGCCATCAAGCAAGCCTGCAAGCGCAAGCAGATTAGCATGCAAATCTCAAAAGACAAGGTTACCTGCACTTCCGTTTTCAGTTCAAACAAAACAACCACATCACTGTCGATGTTTTTTTTTCACTAAATGGATTATGATCTCGAGACAATTATAGAACTGCCTTCGAAAAACGCATCGAGATGGGAATGATCTTAGCAAAACTGCTTACGATCCAGTTTCCAAGTCCAGGAGCTTGACGTGAGAACTTTGATACGACGATTGGTAGCATCCTGATAGGAGAGTGATAATTTACAGCCCGAGGCGCGCTTGGAGATTCTGACTCATATGGGATGCTACGCAATGCGTGCTAGGCTGATTTGGCTAAAATTTAAGTTATGGATATCGAGCACAGTGCATGGTGCATGCAGAAGACAGTGCGCTGAAAGGAAGTGCAGTACTTTATTCACATACTCTGCAGCGGTTTTATCGAATGACCACCACCCGAGTAGGGTTGTTAACTAAAATTTCACCGCCGGTGCGGTGCGGTTTATGAAATCGCACCGCGGTGTTTTTCACCGCACCGTACCAGTGCACCTCGGTGTCCACCGATTACGTTAAAATACAGTGAAATGGCTAACAAGTTTAAGTAAAACAAGTTGTTTTCGCCCAAACTAACGAAAAACGACACCCAAAACAATGATTTCTTCACTCATCACATGCGCCCAAGCGGTAGGTGAAAACAGCTCAAAAATACAAGAAGTTACACCCAAAAATTAGTTTTTCTGTACATTTTTTTTGTTCTATTTTTCTCTTTGCAGCTCGGCAAAGGTCATGTATAATCTTCATGAGGCGATACATGGCAGTCAACCGGACTGAGGGCAAAATCGCTATGCTTCCATGTATGAGTGTTCTTTCGTCTTTTTCTAATTTCAATAGGACAAAAAAGATCACTGGCGATTTTAAGGGGGGTGGACACGGGGAACGTGCCCCATCCGGAAATTTTTCGAAAGTTGGTACTTCAAAAAAGTAAAGGGGGAACTGGGGAAGTATTGCTTGGAAATGTCAACCAGCTTTGCAAAAAACTGTAAAAATGACTATTTTTAGTTGAATTTATAAGGAGTTTTGCAGTAAATTTTTTTTATTGATTTTGTATCAATTGCGGCAGTAAAAACGTACGCGTGCGTCGGCTTCGAGCCAAAAACCACTTTTTCTTTAGACTCCGTATGAAGCAGCGACACCTCTGACTTTTTTACTTCCGCTGCAAGGCATTTGGAATATTTATACTATTTTTAATAAAAGTTTAGCAATTTCCACAGTAAAATCGTTCGCTACCGTCGCTCGTCGCGTGCAAGTGGACATTCGATTTAATTTTAGACCCGGCACCTTGCTTTTCAATGCAAATTCAACCAGTATCATAACTTTTACAATATTTTCAGTAGTTTTCTACAGCAAAGTATTTCACAACGTTTAGCACTTCCTTTCATTCCGTGCGCATCCCTTTCCGACACTGCCTGTAGGCTGTAACTCCCTTAACTGTATTTACTGGCAAGTGCAAAACGGATTTAATTTTACTTCTTATTTGAATCTTGTCACAGCTGTTTGTTTGAAAGTTTTTCGATCCAGGTTCTGTACATGTTCCCTATCCTAAGATGCTGCTACTTCCAGTTAAATAGCGCACTAAATGTCGTTTGTGTTGTCTCCGCAATCAATTCATGGACGCAGAATCCAGGAATTTAGGTATGTATCAGTATATCTATATAATATTACTAATTGATCTATTCGAACTTTGCAAAACTATGGTGCGGCAAGTAAAGTGATTATTCTAAACGTTTTTATATATATTGATCACTACTGTCAACTAGCAGATGCAAATAGACAGTATCGATCTTTTCCAACATTAAACGTACAAACCAAGAATTAGTAACCGAATAAGACTTACAATTTTGGGTTGTTTCTTCATTATAATTTAAGATAGCTTCGATCCATTTCAACTATACTGCGTTCGGAAATGTTCTTTTTTTGCATCTAGAATAGCATGTGCACACTCTTGTTGTCTGATTTCGATTAAATACTTCTCGTGCAACTCTCTAGCTAGTTGTAATGTATTTATTTTTGACATGTACTCGTTCATTTAAGGATTAGAATCTGTTTTGGTAATTTCAGATCCCGACATAGTACTTAAGTATTTATATGTGCGATTTGGAGATCTAGAATATTCTTTTTGCTTGATATGCTAGGAATGCAAATCTGAACTATGTCATTTGCCGCAGTTATGACAAAATCAAAAACTACCAACAGTTTCGAAAACACCCGGAGTTTTGCTAACCGCAAATCTTGCCGCAGTCACTGTAACTGCAATGGCGATTTTTTTCGATTGTGATTTTTTGAGATGTTGCCGGCTGATAAGATATGACCACCTAGAGTACATTTTGCCACTGCATTGTATTAATTTCAGCGTTTCCTATAGTTTTGGTGTGTACGCACCATAACCAACATTTTACGGTGAGTTCGTTTGTCGCATATTATATATCGACAACAAAACATATGTTGTTAGATATCTCCCGAACAGCAGGAGAAATGTGAAATCATTTATATATTTTGCAGTAAGACTATGATCATGCAGTGCAGCGAAATTTGTGTCAGGACGATGTTGCAAATTTGTTGCGTTCATCGTGGCAATCTCATAAAATTAATCGTTTTAGCACAGAGAGTATGCGAAACACATAAACTTGATTATTATAATATACAGGTACAAGATATAATTACTACTCGTTGCAATTGCATTTCATAAAACTGTCGATCAGTATGAAAATATTACTGACAAAGTGAGACTACCACAATATTTAAATAACTGTAATTATTAAGAAAGGCCTTGGCACTCAATTCCGTACAAAAGATCGCGATAACAAAATTACATAGATTTTTGTAGCCAAACCATAATATAATGTCGAGCACGTTCCCAACGCAGCCCTACAATAAGACGGATAAAATAGGAACGGAGAGTTTTCGAACATGCATCACTCGGTACGGTATTATGAAAAATCAGACCAGCAGCGGCAGCACACTGTACATCTCGCGGCAGAATGCTACTGTAGAACTCGCGCTAGCAGTCCAAACGAATTTCTGGCAAAAGTGTCGTTCAAGCTAACGAACCCAGCTGGCATCGGCTCTGGCTCTTTTCAGTGGAGGCTGGTCGGAAGCTTCCTCGGACGGTGTGATGTGACCGCCGGGATCGTTGGGAGAAGGGTGACCTTTAGGAACAAATTTATTCATTGTTCATTATGATGTTGTGCATTTTGTGTTGACAGTAATAATATTTGGAGGTGATACCATATCGTACAATGCGATAACTTCAATAGGTCAAAGCATCAAATTATGCATATTTATATACATGTACATACATACTATGAAAGTGCGCACCGTCGCGCAGCAAAAGTTAGTATGACAGAATGAAGATTTAGCAACTGTTTTTAACCAAAGATACAAGCGAAATTTAATGCAGAAAAATCGGTAACTCCATCCGCTGGTATTTGGATTTGAAAACAGTGGATAGCTCTGGTTATAATGGTTAATAATTAAGAGAGTAGATTTTAACATGTAAATTACCCATCAAGAACGGCCACGGCACGCATTACAATGTCAAATTACGTACCTGGTGTTGGCGATGGCCTTAGCTGTCCCGTTACTTCCTGGTGGGATGGGGATATCGGTTCGGTCTTTACGAGCGTCACGGCTGGCACCATCTGCCCATGAGCATTCAGCGCACCAAATCCTCCGGCAAGACTGTCGACAACAAAGTGTCAAAAAACTTTTGGAAGCATGTTGGCAGACATACAAGCCATGTTAGCTCTTAAGACAGCGACCTACTTCGGGTGTGGTCCACCAAGTGACGGCTGATGCCAACTAACGACATTGGAAAACATTTGGGTTTGCTGATTCAGGCTGGCCAAAGCTGTCAGATCAGCCGAATTCAACTGAAAGTCCCCTGTAAACGAAATGCGTCAAGATCCTTTAAGTGCTGGTCAAAGTAAATATTCACAACAAATCGCTGTACAGCGCGGGATTACAACTTTTATCCGATGGACAGCACCCGTGCTGTGCTATGCATATATGCACGCGGTTATGATGCCATTTGACGCAGGCCTAATAGTCTGCACTAACCAGTGAAATCATATTATGGGATCTACATACTCGTATATATGATATTATTGTAGTAAGTACTTATGCATTTCTGTACATTGTACATCTTAACAGTTAAAAACGGTTGCATCCGGTCATTACTAGCTGGCATAGCTGTAGTTGTGCGAAAGATACTGTATTGAAAGTAAAAATAATATGATTTTTAAACCGTCTGAGCAAGTTGTTCTGTTGTTCCAATTATCCATGCAGAAGTTTGCGGTACCGGTACCACACCGGGGGAATGCACAATGATAAACACGACCACTATACGATCTGTGGCAAACAGTCTGCTCTTGTACGATAATTTTAATTGCCCCGAAGCTAACTTTTAATTGGGTACTACCAGTTATGAATCTTTATTAAATCACTTTTGCGTACCAGGATTGAAGGAGACCGTTGAGGGATACAGCCCAAACGCTGCTGCGTTAGACTGGCCGGTGGCATTCCGCATGTTTACCGAATTGGCCAAGGACGGTCCATTGGTCATTGGACTGACGGACGTTGTGTTGGAGATGAGTTTCAGTATATTGGAGCGTCCCAGTGCATTGGCATTAGGAGAGCCCCCAGCTGATTTCAGTACCAAATTCTGAGCAACTTCCGGTGAGACGGATAACGGTGAAATGCTCTGGATGTGTTGAGACGCAAAATTGTTAGCACCAACCGGCGTCAGACCTTCCGACACGCCGCTGTTGGAATTGGAGGCCGGCCGCGGACTCAGATTGGACATGGTGGAGGCCTGAATGACGGTGCCGTTGACCACCGGTGCAAAGTGTGGACTGCCTGCGCCGGGCACGGTCAAATATGGATTTCCGGCGGCGGCTAATGTCATGGTACGCGGCCCATTGCGCTGCTGTTGTGACTGTTGTTGCTGCTGCATGGCGATGTCAAACATTTCCTCCTTATTGCCAAGATATTTATTGGGAGTGTTCTCCACCCGTTGTGTGGGTGTCATGACAAAGGCGTCACTTGAGTCTCCATCGGAATTCGAGTCTCCGTTGGCGGTCAGACTATTGCCAGATCCGCCGCTCTTGTGCTCCTTCTTATTCAACGCCTAAAAACGAGAAACTAACGATTACTTTGAATTGTTTCTGCATTTAGTACTTTATCTTCGTAATCGTATGGCGCACAATTAATAACTCGTGCCCAAATATAACTATTATTTCGCGACGCACTGCAAGTGTTGTATTGAGTCTGTTGACCATTTATATTATTACATCGCGTGAATCAGGGTTTTGACCTTTTCTTAACATGCATGTTTATCTATACACTGATGTATATCGAACACGCATCTTTCTACGTCATCTACAAAACTTTGATTTGGTCCGAGATTTCTTCCTTTTGTCAGCAGCCTGAGTCGACTTGAAAATTTCAAGTTTTAACAGCTTTAACGGGTAATTTTGAAAACCAGCTCATTGTCAGTTGTTGCAATGACATCATTAATATGATCGAAAACAACACGGTGCCACCGGACTGTGTGACCGGAGCACAAACACCAGTTATGCTTCCGATATTTTGTTCTGAGCTACTGGACAAATCTATTAGCCGTCCGAACTGGATCATAGAGATCAAGAAGATAAACCTGCGAAGAACGGATGCGACTGACAGCGAATCAACCAGATCATGCGCACGAGCGTAATAATTTGGAATCCGTCTGAATCATGCCTGTTTGGAGTTTGGCCAAGATTCAGCAAGAGAAGATCAGAACGACAGTGTCATATTTCTTCCATCTGCTTTCTCTCATCTTCGTTGCTCACCCGCTGTGGAAAATCGGAATTCCAGAATCAGATAGATTTGGTCAAACTCTGTACTTTGATCATTTTCTTTGGAATATACTATGCTGACGACCGTGATACCCTTGTGACACTCGAATCACGTTTCAAAAATGCTTGAAAAATTCAGAATTATCGGTACGCAGTGAATAACACACATTTTAAACTTAATGGGCGCCGGAGGTTATAAACGGTACTCAGTACTCACTTACTGGTCGAGAAAGTCAAAAAATGGTAACCTCGTATACCGGTTAAAACTTTCCCCGATTCGTCTACTTTTAATTATCGATGGGCGATGGCTAATAAATCACTGACCAGGACAAACTGGTGCCAAAATAACTTCTATCATACTTTCTAATGTAAGTATAAAAATGCGCAATGCATAATAAAGAGAAATGCAGTGGTGCGAATGCCGGGATGTTAGTAAGTATATTCTATGCGGTATACAGAGTAGTACCACGGCATGGTAGTACTAATAAGTCTTTGGTTTTGAATAGCCTTTTCAATCAACAACAGGCTTACTGAAATTAAACACAGCGGTCAATATTTTAGTGCTCGTTGCATGATCACGAGAATTTACGCGCCTTTACGGTAATACATATAAGGCACTATAATAAATGGTCTCTTAGATCACCGCCTTGATTGCTAACGTAGAAATTATCGCCGTTGCAACACAGCGATGGGTGCTCCACATGCGGAAGATCCCATATCGCGTACCAACAAGGTAATATCCGTTTTGTTAAACAGTTTAGGGATACTACTAACCTCTACAATATCGTGATTTGTGCGCGACTCCGTAGGCTCGTTGTATTCGGTGTATTTCAGTAGCACTTTGTCCATATCCGTACTGGCATATTGGAAGAGGCGATTCGTGCTACTGAAAATTATCAGGGCAATTTCGCAGTCGCACAACACCGACAGTTCGTATGCCTTTTTCATCAAACCAAATTTCCGCTTTGTGAAGGTAACCTGCTTCCCAAAAATGAATTAGCAATGCATAGAAATAAATGGCCGTAGTAATCTCTCTTCTATGCTTACATCTTATACAAAAAGTGCGGCTTCTAATGTGTTCATCGGCGCAAGACTATCGCTGCATGAATTAACAATATGCTGTTGTTTACAATCTCATTCACACCGTTAATTTTCTCTAAAAACATACTTTGTTCGTACTGACCTGTCGATTTCTTTCATCCGTTATCCGAGAAATCTGGATTTTTTTCCGGCCCATTATGCTCAGTCGAGGACGTTTCAGCTCGAGAGAAGAAAACAGTTGTAACGCAATAAGGAAAGCGATGACCTTTATCTGTCAACAGCGTTGGTGAAGCCGCTACAAAGGCGAACACGGCCGTTCGTTTGTATCCAAAAGTATGGCAGATCGTGGTGAGAAAAACTGCAAGCAAATAAAGAAACTTATGTGCAAGACTCCGGCGCCGAACTCGTTCGGAAAATTAAAAACAAAGGCTATCAGCAGAATCTTTGAATTACTGTACTGGAAGAATATGCGTATCGGCATCCGCCAGTAAGTTGCTGGCGACTGCTGAAATAATGGCTCAGCTTCCAATGTGCTCACAAGTGCCGAACCAAGATTGGCTGACAGTAGCCTGAGTGGGCGTCATGTGCAGCAGAAAGTCCAATTGTGTTTCATGCGTCATTTAAATTTTTTAATGTGAGCCGTCAACGAGTACTGTCTTTAATTCGGCATTTTTCGTAACGAACACAATAACTATTAGCACTAAAAAAGAGGGACCAAAAAAGGGACCAACGTTATATTCCTTTTTTATGCTTTGTATAAACAAATATAATACGACTGGTAGCATAAACGAGATTGTAACAAATGAGCGTAAAACATATAATTATGTCGCAAAAGTGATACCGTTGTACTAGTACAAAGGGAACAAGTTAATGGTGTTATTAAGCTAAGAATATCTTAGAGGCGATCTAATTATCAACAGGTCTTGGCGACGAAAATATCCAGCTTTTTCCCACCGTCTTAATTTCAGCACACAGCCTATTTACAGAAGAATCACCAACTTATTTCGATCTTCGGTAAAATCTATGTTTCCCCACTCATAGTCTTGCAGTTGCAGGATGCTATAAATGATCGCGGCACACTCAGCTCATTGCTTCTAATAACTTGTGTATACATAAGACTGTCGTTCCTGGCCATTCTGTGTCTGGCAACTAATTTTGGATATACCAGCAGAGGTTAAATTAAGGAACAACCAAAATGCGCTAAATAAAATCCAAATAATCCAGAATAGCTCCAGACAGAACGTCATATGGGCTACTTGAAGGCTTGAAGCTATGAACGCTTACATCCCCTACATGCTTCCTAATGCCCAATAATCTTCTATGCGCAGATAGTCTGCTATTCAAAAGTGCCACTCACATCAATTTTTTAATTGCAATTTGGTTTTTTAAATTACGTAAATTAAAATTATCTGACCATTTTTAGCTATGCCGTATAGACCGATGAGGTTATAATTCCTTTTAATAGCAAGTTCACTCAGATGACAGAGGTATTCGTAGAGATTTGTGTCAACAGAGAGCGGTTAATATACTCGTACTATAACGATATTTTTCAATTCGAAACGTACACAATTTAAGGGTTCATATATATTGTATTCGCTCAGTACATACAAATCGCAAATCGCAATCACCGCAAAATAAGAGATAAAAATTACGATAATCTATAAAAAAACACAACAAAAAAACTGCACAGGAGCTACATGACTGTTTATAAAAACGTTATATTTTGCGGTCTGTGGTGTGCCTTACAGTAGATTTGAAGTGCCGTTATTGAATGCGTGTATGTCTCTTGCAAATTTGCAATTTTTCTGTCATTAGTTCTATACAGAGAACACAATGATTTTTATAACACTTAATTTCTACTTTATGGCACATCGGTTTAGCTTTTTTTCTGCAAATAACATTATTTTTGCATATTTAATGTAAATACATTTCATGTATATGAGGTCAAAATTACATTTTATTTGTACTGAAGTAGCTAAATACACGTAAAATCTGCCTAAGTATTAATAAAAATACGCACAGACCAGTGAGACTACTCTACATAGTAAAAATGTACCGAAACATTAATCGATTTGTGGTAAGTTAAAGAACCAAACACTTTAAATTGAGAAATCGCAACTTGGTAAACAACTTAGATTGTCAAGTTTGACAGTTATGAGTATTTTCCCAGTTGCGATTCTTGTTCTCACAATCAGTTATACCGGTCGCAGTACTTCAAACCAGGCGTACAAGTTCGGAAACGTTATGTAGATCTGTTAGCTGCAAACGATGCTAATTATGTAAAGCTGGCGCTAAACATTACGCAATTTTGTTAAGGTTTAACACGAATTTTAATATCAAAGAAAACGAGAAAAGCGTATGATCCAAAATTACAAGGTTACCAACCATTCACTACTACAGATAATTCGTAAGTTCAAGTTTATTACTACGTACATAATACATATAGCTAGTGCAATATATATATGCAATATATGAAAGTGTGCAGCACCCCGTTAAGTCAAAGCTCGTACAGGACATTGCAGTGTAGAACAGCCGATCACGAATAAGTAAATAAGCGCATCCAAATTTGGAAATTGCGATCGCAGCGTGCCATTTGATATGGTTATGCCGCTTGCAGCACACCAGTTGCGCTTTCGCTTCTCGTCTCATGTACGAGAAATATGTTGATTTGCTCGTACATATGTTGATCTGCTCTGTTCCACTTTGCTTGCTAGCTTCTGAAGAACAACTTCCTCCAAGTCTTTATGAAATGATATTTTGACAATCACTAGGATCATTCTGCCGCGTGCACATCCTCTTTTAATTTACGGAGACGATCTATCTACCATTAGAGACGCTCTTGGCAGACACGGCTGGCTGACCTCTTTAGTACTTTCTTATTGCCACCGACACAAAATCTCATTAAATCTCTGGAATCTGAAGGACGTCATTTCTGGTTGCAACAACATCGGGCCTGAAACAGTTGCTGTCGAAAGAATTACGGCAGATCGGTGGTTCCTTTTGCTGGTTCAAAATCTTTAATGAGGCATTTTTTAAAACGTAACACGGATAAGATCCAACCTTCCGTATCTGTATGTCAAGGCATACTTTGATACAGTAGATACACAGAACGCAAAATCTGATTAAGTCAGCATTATTTCGGCTTTATTGTTAGCTGCGTTTTACTCCGCTTAAAAGTACAGTACAATTGTAACTACACATTCATAGGTAGTACGTAATTCAAGTATATATTAAGTAGTATCGAATTTTAAAAATCTCAAAACAATAGAAAATAGTTTTTACTGATATTATATAGAATATTGTACAGTATTCACACCGAATACTTCGAAGTAGCTACGGTATCGGTTAAACGTAGACCGAAAATTCTTCTTTAAAGGAAATAATTCGGAAGTGGAACACTGATGCAATGTGCCTGCTTCCGGCAATGTTCACCGTTTTCCTACCGGAGCATCGCGCTTAAAAAATTCCAAATTAATTTCATCACTTGCTTACCGAAGGCGCGCGATAGCATTGCTGCACTGTTGTGGGGTTTAACTAAGCATAAATCGTGTATCCTACCATTGCACAAAAAATCAACAAAGAACAATGTCCACCAGAAACAATAAATTAAATAAATGCACCACAAAAAGGATAATATGTAAGCTGAATAATCATGGTTATCAAAAACGTAGGTCATTCATAACTTGTGCGCAATGCAGAAATAAGGCACCGGCATGCGCAAAGCCACGGACAATATAGTAAAGGTATTTTTTTATTCAAAACAGAAAAATCTTGGGACATGAGATTTTTCTCCACTATTTTCCTAATAGTGTACTAATGCTCTTTGCAGCAGTCAAGATTACATCTCTCTGAGCACAGATATATGCAACAGATTGTGTAGTTCTGTTTGTAAAAGCTGATGGTGAGCAAGAGGAAGAGCGCAGGATTCTATTAATAATGTGTACGTTAAGACATGGAGTTAAATTAAGCTAAAGTGCTAATTTTGTTACTAGTAAAAATACCTATGGTATCAGACGGATATATTATGGATTCTGCTTATAGCTCAGAAAATACGGCATTATATTTTGGGAACTTTGCAGTTTGGCACGAGAGTTAGATCGAGCTAAACAAATTGTGCCATGTAGTGCATGCGGGTCGTTTTTGAGTACTGTACGGCATGGTGCTCACAAGTCAGACGGGAGCAAGTTTCGCCAGAATTAGGATCAAAAACAAATTTACTATCGGATTTTCTTTGACTTACATTATGCTCAGTTGCAAAAATAAACATATTTTCGCACATCTGTCGGCAACATGCGTTTATTGCCGATCCATAGGAATGAATGTGATCTATAACGATGCCATCTATCTTTCAGCAAAAGTCTGACATCTTGACTGTGTGTATAAACGATTCTCCAAGCTGCCATGCAGATTTCACAAGAAATTTACCAAAACCTTTTATTATCGTAAGTACATGCCTCAGTATTGAGACTTCGGCATCTGGTCAAGTGGTTGAGAGAATTAAAATTTGTTAAAAAGTTGTTAATTAACACTAACGATGTAGATTACTGCAAGTATATCATAAAGCACGGTACATTTTATAGTAATTGTTATGATGTACATACACAATACACATACACATTGTAATGATGTACAGTTACACAAGCATTGTACAATTTACATTGCGTAAAAAGGTCATATCAATATTCTGTTGAGGAATGACATAAGTCTTGCAAAACCATTTTTTGCCTTTGTTTAAAAATCGTGAATTTTTGGTAGCTTTGGTAGCTTAAGGCACAAGAAATAAATTAGTAGATCACCGACACAGTGAGAAAAAAATAATAAGCTCTTCCCATCATTGATTGTAATGTAGCTAGTGAATATATGCATATTTAAATGTTTTTTGCTAATTCCAACTGTGCGGCATCTTGTCGAATTGCGTACGCTGTATCTAATTTTTTTTCAGCAAGAAAGGTAATAATTCTGGCAGAAAAAATCATAAAAACACGTGCCTTTTACAAGAGAATACCCCTCCGGAATGTGCACTCTGGTCAGTCCGAATCTACATTTTGTGCACATTAAACCAGCTCAAATATCATCCTTCGACGAACAAAAGGGGTTGCTCTCACAAAGCACCTACGCAGAACTCACGTGAAGGAAATGGCTTTCAATCTAAAGGGCATCAGATCCGATTATTTTAACCTACGTAAAACCTCATTGGCTTCCAGCGATAGTACAGAAAAATATTTCTGGATTCAATGAGCTATATTTACCAGATTAGGGCTAGCCAACAAGGTATTAATATTCGTTAAGTAAACTATTTTCGTGACGAGTTACTATTATTATATCTATATTATAGGCAGGCACTTGTTGAGTACCAGAGGTCAGATACAAATTATTCCAGTGTAAAAGAGGTAGGTGGAAATGTTGCCGAGCGGAACTCTTCTTCGTCAGGCAGATGTAGGCTCTCAGTGACGCGCAACACTAACAAATAACCATCGGAACAACGTAATCACCCTTATTGCAGGAACACTGCGTTATAATTATGCCACAGAGAACAATAATGCGTACACATACCGTATTATTTCTTACGAGTCACGACCATAGAAAAATCAACCACAGTCATCTCAGATAACTTTGTAAAACTGTTTAACACATGTTGTACGTAGAAACTCTAATATTTTCTGTTGTAATTATTTGTAAAGAAATAACACGTTGTGCGGGCCCGAACTAGAAAAATACAAAGTCAGCATTTGCGCAACATGTACATACCCTCTGAAGCATGAACTCCACTAAAACGGTTTTGTAATCCAAATAGTGTTTTTTACAGAATACTTACTTTCAGAAGTTTCAGGGAAAAGTTTTGAAGCAGTTCATTTGAAAGTAATTACACAAACTCAACCGCGCTATATAAAATAAATATCCCCGGTTTACTTGGTAATGAATAGTATGATGTTACAGTACTCGTTTTAAAACTAAATGCTAACAGCACTTTGTTCGAAAAATGCGGTAAAATCATCCGAGAAAAAGTGCTGCAGCAAAAAACTGGAATGTTCCGTAAATTTGTTAGTACGCTCTATAATACGGGTTAATATACAGTACATGCAATACATTTTTTAAATACTTATTAGATATATGCTTGCGTACTGCGCCACATTAAAGCTGGAGAAATCAACCATATTTTCTCGCGCATTTAACGCAGCGAATCTGTAGCGATACACTATCCAGGTAGTGCGAAGGGTAGTTTCGCTTTATAATATTATGCAGAAAGTATTACAGATACACAATTTATACTCAACAAAATTTAAACGATACAGGATTTTTTATGCTTCACCACTAGTTTCATTCATCTGTAAAAACCATAAAATCTGCATTGATCGCATTTATATCATGTTGTAAATGTGCATTTGAATGATGGAGTCTAAACCGAATTCCCAAACACCGCATCGTAGTGCGCTTGGAAACTCATGTGACTCGAAGTTCCAATATACAAATACCTGCGGGTACCTAACGGTAGATACTGCTCTAATATTTCTATATGAAAAGCCAGTGGTATATTTTCAGAAGTACAGAATGTACGCAGTTTACATCTGGCGCATGGAAGTTTCGAACGCTGGAATCTTACCGGTAACACTGCTTAATTACGGAACTTCCGGAAGAGGTATAAAATCAAACTGAATCCTCACTGTCAGTTATCGATTTGGCCGTTGCGGTCATTATTTGTTTAGAAGAACTAAAAAAATTCAATCCGCACCGAAGATTGTTTGATTTTAACTGATTCGATAACAATTTAAGTGCTCCTCTTTTTAAGTACCACACGAAATTATTGTGCACTTTCAGTATCGGCCGTACCACAATCGAGTAAATACCAATGCATAGATGACAATCATCAGTAATATCAGAAAAAGCAAGGTAAATATATTATTTGATTTCAAAAATTATAAAGAAATCAGCGGCAGGCGAACAAATTACAACTTTTTTCAGTTCACATCGACCACTTATACTATTTAACGAGAACAAGTAAACTGATAAGTTCACTAGACTGTTGAAAAACTAGTGTCCGAAAACTCAATCCCAAAGTGTCGCATGCGCGTATCATCGCAATAGGTCTAGTTCTGCACTTCTTTCGGACAATGTATAAATTAAGTTCCGTATTGTACATTAACTCGTAAGATATAAAAATTAATGTACTCCAGTACATAACGTAAAGTAAGTACTGGAATCGAATGCAGCACATTTAGGATTACAGTAAATTCACTTCCGGGTTGCACCACAGGTAATTTTACAATAAAATGAAATGCTTAATAGTTAGACAGTTAGAACGCGCCCGTAAGAACCAGCATGAAACAGTGATCATGACCTTGCAGCGGCGACAAAATACAGCTGCATCGTGCTTCAACGCTACTAGAGTAGGAATCGTGCTGAAGCACTGAAAAAGTGTGACTGATGTTACACACTTGTCCACAATCAACTAAGAGGTTAAACCGTCTACAAAAATACAACTCTATTAATGGACTTACCCGGGCAATAAAAAAGGGGAGACCGGCTGTAGTGGCGGAGTTCTATTTTTAGTCCGGGAAAGTATCCGATTTAAATCTGAGACTTGGGATTCCGCTGAAAATAGAACTGATTGCAAATTGACGATATAAATGCCTCTACCAGCAGAAACAGGAAGCCACAGACAGGAGTCAAGCCCCGCGCGCGCTCGCGATCGAACCAGGACTCGGAGCAACAGTACAAACACACGGGACACGCGCGTCACATGCCTGCGTAGCGCTCCCCAGTCCGGGAACAGCTGGGATCCGGACACAGCTGCAGCGTACCGTGCCGCTGTGTGTGTATGCGTATTACGCCACTGCGTTACCGCACACAGACAAAATGCCCTGCACACATACACACACGAATACACAAAACGGTAGCCGATCCGCGGCCGCCGGGACAACAACGTGGTCGATGAGAAAATTCGATCCGATCATATTTTGCAGCAGTCAGTCCGACAGTTGTAGCCATGCAGAAAGAGAGCGAGAGAAGGGCTGTATAAAAACACATTGTGTTACCGTGATTACGATGCGAAGGAAGATCGATGATGCGTGGTTCCACTGTACGCGGTAGCACGCTTCAGAATCCGGCTGCATTTGGATAAAAATGATTACATTGACAATGGAACGAGCTGTAAATACTTAACAGCATGCAACCTGGCATGCCGACTGGGTGCGCGCGCGGTGTCCTTACGACGAGACCGGGGAAGCCAATGCGCGCGCGCTAACAATGACGTCAATAGGGCATACCTAGAATGTACCTCATAATTGTGCAGTCAGATTCCTTCATCCGCTGTTTTCCAATTTTTCCACCGATGTCCTTTCATTTTATCCGCTTAACTGGCGCTTCATCCTGTTTTCTTGAACTTAGGTGAACGCCCCCAGCTGCCTCCATAACACTTCCGGCGCGCGGACAGGCAGCGCGAGATGCATGGTGAATTTCGGCATTAACGTCATGCTGGAGCATTAAAGACAAATTAGGGAGACATACGTGATAGTTATTTGCTAAAGGTCACGAGAAAATCACTGCATATACATGGCTATTATTTTATTAAGCCGTTAGCTAACCTAACTGTACCCACATAATCTGCACCGTGAATGTAAAAGTGTAGCAACGTGATTGTTTTCAGCACTCACCATTTGAGTACTGATGTGGCATTCTAAAGATATTTTGGTTCTGGAACTAGTTAGGGTGGTAAATTGCCTGTTAATTATTTTTAATACACAATTGCTGCATTTAGGCACAGCACCACATTTAGGCATTCGCTTCAATTATGCTACTAACGATAAATTAGTTAACAGATGAAGTACGATTACTTAGTTTATACGATTAACGTTTTGTATCGTTTGCGCGGTTTAATGTCACAGTTTGCATACATCAGAGCGATGAGTTATTACTATACTCCGTCACTCTTCACCATTACCGATAGTTTGCGGGCCTTACGCCGCAAACGATCGAGTTTCTTTCTATTCCAAGAGTAATAATTATTTTATTTTACAGTTAACATGCTCGAATTTCCGTGTAATACGCATAATTTTAGAATTCAGTAAGTGAATCCAGATGATAAATTCACGCTTACCGGTGTACGTCGCGCTAACTACAGCATTTAAAAAACAAACTTCCACATTGGCCTTTCAGAGACAGCACCTACCAAAGAACGTGTAAAATTTTAAACAACAATTGCTAAATACCATCAGATATCAGATACTTCTATCCCATCTCGGCTCTCGTACAGAGGATTACTTTTGTAATTATTTTTTCAAGACAATGACATAATTTGCAGTTCAAGACGACTTTGTATTCTCTGCCATAAGTCATAGTAAGCAGTTCAGTTGATTGCACTATACAAAAACCATGGTCGTAGCTTGGTCGTTGTTACACTTAATTACAATCGTCATATACAGTACAATACTGGAGTAGTCCAGTTGCCAAACGGTACTTGAATATAAAAATTAAATACGTACACTATTATATCATTTTTTATATTACCATTTTACCCTTACCGTTAGTAATTAGAAATTACAGATGTATAAGTGCGAGTACACATTGTTTTCCGGCTGGTAGCCTTATGGCTGGAAAAGAAGATTCCAAACAATGCCAGCCAGCAGCTCCACCTGCTCGTAAAATTAGTATTCGGGATTGCCTATCAGTCTATATATGTAGGTGTATGTAATACTAATAAATAAATTAATTATATAATAATTATCATATGTTTAACTGTTCAAGTGAAATTAAATTATATTAATGTTCAGAACTTCAAACAGCAAAAATATACGAAGGTTTGCGTATTTGTGTATATTGAGTGTATTATTCCCGTAATGCATTCAATACTGCTTTACCACTTCATCGTATCAACTTTACAATAATAATTTACTTTAAAGTTTAAGCCTTATGGTTACTTACGTGCAAATATTGTACGCCATACATAAGTGTTATAAAAATAATAATTCTAATCTAAATTTTAGTAGCAATATTTTGTGATTACGATCATCAGATTTAATCATATTAATTTTAGGATGTACTAATACTGTGTAGTAATGTAAATGTCTACAGTGAGCATAGTGAAATAAATAGATATGTACGAGTAACTCTAACGGTAAAAAGATGCGTTTAACCTTCCACAGTTAATGTGCATCCTATTCCAACCTCAAGAAGTACTTACTTTTTCTGATCGGCAGTAATAGTAATGCAAGTTGATGTTGCAATTAAAAACTTTCTTTCTTTATTCGAATTATCAAAATATGGTTACTACTTACGTAACGGTGATTTTAGGTTTTGACCATTGGGCGCTCTACGATAGCGCAGAGTCGCAGACTGCTCAGTCTGACGAGTATTGTTAAATGTAAGTGAATCACTATGCACAGTAAAATAGTTGATTTAATAAAATGTTACTTTGCAGCCGTACAATATTACCCAATTATGAATTCGAAATGTTTGCTAATTAGAATGAAAATTTTCTTTGGTCTGAAATATAAATTTATTAAAAAGCCAGACGTTTTGTGGTAGGCACCAGTAGTAGAAGTATACGACTCGAGCGGTGTCGCACCATGTATGCCTCGCATTAAAATGAATCGTCTGCTTTTTGAGACGCACACAACTTACTCTGACACCCCCGGGTCTTAGTCTGCTGCACCGAGGTTGCAAAACTAAACGCTACTGTACGACATTCCCGGTTTCTGTGGTATTTCTTCACGTGGCTCCTCACCGCGAAGTTGTTCCCTTGCGTTGGATAAAACTGTTAATTGTGTTGACATTGCCAGTAAACTGGGCTCTACGATGCTCAACAAAATCCTGAATGAAACTGTATGACTTGATGAAATTTCTTAACTTGTCAGTACATTCTGCAGAGTGAGAACTTTTTCCGTCGAAGTTTTGAGTTCTTGTCGTTTTTTGGAGGTGCGCGGATATGGAGCAAACTTCCCATCCGCAAGTGTTATTACAGCGTCACGAGCGGCGCCGCTGTTTTTCCTTGTAATTTAGCTCAACGAGTTTCCAATTAGATGCAGTCGCCTGTCCTTTTTTATTCCGTGAGCGCGCGTCAACCAGCTTATTTGTCGCTTTGATATCTTCTGTACCTGTATTCCACATTTCACCGTTGAACATGAGCAAGGAAGCCCCTGGCAAAGCTGTTCCAGCGGCCAGAGCGCCAGTTGCCCCAGCCCCAGCGAAGATGCCCGCTGGTGCTGGCCCTGCTGGCTTGGAAAAGGAGCTGCAAGACCGTCAACTTGGTCCCGGTTCCTTGATTGATCGACCCGTCTCCGCGACGGCAGCGGCCACGATGGCGGCCGCCGATCAGCGGGATAAAATGGATGCATTCGCAAAGCGGTCCGCGGCCAAACGGCGCCAACGCCAGTCTTCTAATTCACAGTTGAATGTTGCTAACAAGCAACACACCGAACTGGAGCAACTTCCCTTGCTCAAAGGTATGGCATGGTTAGGCATGTCCTCTATGAGGAATCCTGAAACGATGCCTTCCAAACAATATGATTAAAACTTGTTTTTTTAAACTGCAGATACACCTCCGCATGAACAAGAAGACCTTCTAGTCAAAAAGCTGTCGTTATGCTCACACGTGTTTGATTTTATGGATGTGACAACAGATGTTAAAAATAAGGAGACGAAACGGTACAGTCGAGTAGTTGTTTTCGATGCTTGTAATATTCACGTGATAACTTTTTTGTGAGCCTTTGAATTTTTTTGTAGCGCTCCTCATTTATTGGTGATAAAACCCATTATTATCATCATAGTACTCCATTGTTGATTTTTTTTCAAAGGGTCTGAGCACAAATGCTCGAAGCTGCTTTTGCCCCACTCCATTTTATATTTTTGTGTCTTATAAACTTTAATTCGTACGGTTGTATAATAACTTGTATTTGTATGCTTTGCATAGCGCTATCTTCGGATATTCCTGTGAACTAGACTATAACGGATATTATTATGCACATACAGTATTACATTATCTTAAAATTGTGGCGTATGTGATAATTTGCCTAACAGTGATTTAGTGGTTGACGATTCGTACTGTTTTACAGAGAAACACTGTTGGAACTGGCAGACTTTATTTCTGCATCGAAAAATGTTTTGAATGATCAAATTTATCCTGAAGTGGTGAAGATGGTGGCCAACAACTTGTTTCGAGTGCTCCCACCGGCTGATACTCCAGACTACGATCCTGAAGAAGACGATCCCTCTCTTGAAGCATCTTGGCCGCATCTTCAGGTGAATACAGTAATGACGCGTTGAGAGCTCGCACCATACGTAGGCACTCCTCATTTAGTATGTTATCTCATTATTAACCCATACATGGATGTCAATGCTTTATTGATTTTTTACATACCTGAATCTCCATATTTTACCAGGATGCGGAGTACGTTTTCGGAGAATCGTGATTTAAAATTTTATATTGCCCTTATTTTGTTGTTATCCCAGTGGAAAATAAGGATTTGCTCCTTGTAGATTGTTTATGAATTCTTCTTGCGTGTGCTGGAATCGCAAGATTTTAATCCGCAAGTCGCCAAAAAATGGATCGATGTGAAATTCGTGTCGCAGGTGGGTTAGACTGTATGTGTATGAGAATCGCGTGCTTACCAGTTTCCCGTAGTGTAAAGCATCAAGCGGAGCCTTACGAGAAAATGCGTTGGTAATTACCAACGTAATGATGTAGCGGTTACAGGCGGTAGCGCTTAATCCCGACAAAAGCGTTATCTTTCGCTTGAATACACCGTGCAATCCGCTCCGATTTTCTCTTTAAAACGGATAGGTGCTTCTTGGTTAGCACTGACGAGGAGAACGAGATAGACGCCGGATGGTACAGCTGCATACGCTGCCATACAGTAGTCTATCTGTCCCGATATACGCGTTGTGTAGTATTTTGTGCTCGTAAACCATGGAATATTAAGCCTTCTAACTTCGCATGTGAAAGGATTGTGTAGGGAGCATGCAAAAATTAAATGTTGGATTCTGTAATAAGTACAGTCGGTCAAACATGTATGTTGCACTTTGCTACTTGATTAGGTATTTAGGTTTAAGTTGACTAATGCAGGATTTTTGGCTTTTGTAGCTGTTGGAACTCTTCGATAGCGAAGACCCCAGAGAAAGGGATTATTTGAAAACAGTGCTTCACAGGATTTACGGCAAATTTTTGGGATTGCGCGCCTTTATCCGCAAGCAAATTAATCATATATTTTTGAAGTTTGTTTATGAGACTGAGCATTTCAATGGTGTTGGCGAACTGCTCGAAATCCTGGGAAGGTAAAACATTGTACAAAACGAACTATTTAAAAAAGTACTCACAGGATATGTTGGTTTTGTTTAGCATCATCAACGGTTTCGCACTGCCTTTGAAAGCTGAGCACAAGCAGTTTTTGGTTAAAGTGCTTATTCCTCTGCATAAAGTGCGATGTCTCGGCATGTACCACGCTCAGGTAAACAGAAAATATATTTTCAGTGCTTATAATACTACGGTAATTAAATTGTCGATTTATCGAAAGCCGTGCCACGTTTCTGTCTTTTTCAGCTTGCGTACTGCATTGTACAGTTTATCGAAAAAGATGCCACTCTGACAGAACCAGTTATCAAAGGAATGCTCAAGTATTGGCCCAAAACGTCTTCTCAAAAAGAAGTAATGTTCCTTGGGGAAATCGAAGAGATTTTGGATGTGATAGAGCCGGTGCAGTTCGTTAAAATACAGGAATCCCTTTTTAAGCAAATCGCCAGATGTGTGGCGAGTCCTCATTTTCAGGTACAATCTGCTTATTGTGAATTTCTTGATGATTTGTAACGCCGTTACTATCACCCGCTTTAAAGTCTGCCATTGCGAACCACATGTTTGTTTTAAACCATGGTTTTAAACCCGTTAATTCATTTTTACTGATTGTTTTTAGGTTGCGGAACGGGCATTATATTACTGGAATAACGAATATGTCTTGAATTTGATTGAAGACAACTGCTCCGTTATATTGCCTATAATGTTTCCGGCTCTTTATAAAATGAGCAAGGAACATTGGAACCCGACAATTGTTGGACTTGTTTATAATGTCCTGAAAGCTTTCACGGAAATGAATTTGAAGTTGTTTGACGAGCTCACTGCGCAGTACAAAAATGATCGAGCAAAGTAAGTGTTAATTACGGGCATAGCACCATGCCAGTATGAAGCTTCAGCCGGAGACGGCTTTGTATACTGTACTTCCATAGATGAAGTCGTGTTCGATAAATTACGTTCGCTTTTCTTTTCACTTGGTACCGGAACCATGGTTTTTGGTTTGTGATTTTATAGGAGAAATTCCGCCTGGTCGGTTAGGGCGTTTTTGTTGGCTTGTTGTTTTAAAATTGGTTAGATTACTGATAACTTTGCAGAGAAAAGAAAAGAGATAAGGATAGAGAAGACTTATGGACCCGCTTGGATAAACTCGCAGTGAACGATTCGACACCGAATGCAAAAGATCGGCCATCGTCAATGCCGCCTCCTTCTTCGACCCCCGTGAACAGCGACAGCGGTAGGAAATCGAGTTGAGTCAATTTATGTTGGTTCGAAATCCGGGAGAAGGATCCCTTGAGTTTTTATCATTGATGTTAAACTTGATCGTGACTGTATATTTTCGGTGCGGCTTTGTGCATCGGTTTGTGGTTCGGGATAGTAGAAATCTAATTGTGACTCTTTCATTTTTTCTTTGGACAAATGTAACAAAGATTTTCATACGTTTGATATGATACCTAACGTTGTGGTTGTGGCTAGTATGCTTGACCGGATCGTTCCAAATCTGCTTTTGACATGTTGTACTGTAGCAGTAGTAATAACATTATTGCATATTTTTGCTTATTTAATTTAATGATTTTTTGATACTTATACTATATTTTGTTGATGGGATCTGTGAAAATCGACTGATACTGGGTATGGCATGCTGTCTTGTCGGGAAACTACACCATAATTTGCCAGGCTGCCAGCCTTTTGTTACCGGTAATTGTTGATAATTTATAGTTTTATGTACCGTTCGAATGATTATGATTTATGGATTCGCAGTCTGCCTGCTTCGTAAACGGATGTTTTGCAATATACTGTTTTCCCAAACACCACCGAGTATTCATTCCTCTTCGTTCAGTATTTGCGTCCGACAGGGAGTCTCCTCTATAATATTTTTTTAAAATTTGCTTACACCTCTGCTAAATGGAAATAATTAATAACTGCTTTTTCGTTACTTTAGATGGACACGATAGTACTGTGTAAAATGTTCCTGCTGTAGCATATTATAGTTTGAAAAGTACATATCACAGAAAAAGTTGTGAGCGTTTCTGTTTGGGCTGCATTCAACGATCCGATCAGCTGTCTCTATTTGGGCGGTATACTGTTATTAGTGCTAGAGTAATGCTGTTACAACACGCATTGGTACAGTAGTATGGTACTCACTACTCACATGCAAATTCAAATTGATGCGATGAATGTTCACAATCAGTTGTGGATATCATTACATTGCTTCAGGTATTCCTGGGACCTGGATTAAGCTGGATATGCCCTGTACTAATTTTAAGGCTCAACATTGAAAGTTGTTAACCGTTAAAATTGGTGCTTATCGATTAATGCGCTACTACCACTGCTATCAGTATTAGTACTACTTACTAATATCGATGCATGCGAACCACAACACCCACGAGAAAAATTTTCTACCGGAAACTCTTTTCTGGTTATTTTATGCAGCTGCAATGAAGCAGTTCGAATGTCCGCTTGAGCTGGAGGTATGCACTCCTGCTCTTTTCCTTTTCACCACGTGTAGCAAGTGGCTGGACGCTCTCGAAGGTAACATAGGTATGGAAGAGGAATTACACTATTTTTGCTACAAATTTCAATACAATATAAAAACTCTTCACAACCACAACCATGAGTCATCAAAAATACCTTTATCAACCCTGTTGAAACGGTTTATCAAAGAAAGGAATGATAAAAAAATCTGAAACTTGGGGAAAGGTGTTGCAAAATTTAGAAAGACGCACACTGCAGCCCAACATAGAAAGCTGTTTATAATAACCGAAAAAATAAAGGACAACTCCCTGCGAACACACTGAGAATACTACTTGTCACTTCCGGGATGTTTTTTGAAATACTCCAGTTTCTGGTTAGGATTTGGCACAATCGTATCATCACCGGGTTTCCAGCCAGCTGGACATACTTCGCCGTGCTGATCAGTATACTGGAATGCTTGGAGCAAGCGAATTGTTTCGTCTACTGATCGGCCCACGGGCAAATCATTCATGGTGATTTGTCGCAATATACCTTTTCCATCAATGATAAAGAGACCCCTGAAAGCGTTTCATGAAAATAACTACATCGTTGCCAGAAGTCGATTCCGCAAACCCTTACCGCAAAGTGTGACCGGCATCTTGCAAATACACACCATAATCTTTAGAAATTCGATGAGTCAAGTCGGACAGCAAGGGAATTTTCACCGGGCCGAGTCCACCTTCCGATCGGGCAGTTTTTATCCTTTAGGAAAGCCAAGCAAACGAAGTCAACCAAAACAGAAAACTATACGACGCCACAATATTATAATATCAGACCATACGCTATGACTACTCTACTCGTAGGACATAATTATATCAACATACGTGCTCGTATGTTCGACAATCTACTAGACTAATGTAAGTAAATCCTACTCGTAGGTCATGTCACTCAATAATATTTCTAACTACACGTAAGCACTCTGCATATGCCCTATTTTAAGAATCAAATTACGAGATTTTCTTTTAATCAAGGTGTAAAACCAACCATGCCAGATGTGTAAAGTGGCTGTCCACAGATATGGCCAAAACCTCCGTATTCAAGGCTTTAAATTCCGTTATGCGATCCGAAAATGCTGTGATTTCTGTTGGGCAAACCTAAAAAAGGCGCGAAAGTAAACACAGCGGTTAAAATCGAACTTCCGAAGAGAACAACGAAGAACAGAAGCGAATAAATAAATAATTAGCATTAGCACAGTAAAAATTATGTACTGGCAGTACAGAACTGCAGTAAACTCACCAAAGGACAAAAGGAGAAACATAAATGCAGTGAAACTTCAGATTTTGCGGACAAATGTATTAAACTAGCAAGTACTAATTAAGAGCATTAAAAATCGGCATCCCGTGTTGCAGTTTGCGAACCGCACTTTGCAGTTCGCAAAGCTATGTTCGGGTTAGGAATTCACGCCAATCACGCCATTCACAATCACGCCAAGCGGTTCAAATCTGTAATTTGGATGCAGGCGCTTACGAATGTGAAATCCAGAGGATAGAACATAAGGACGACATATTTGCCAAGGTAATCCTTCAGGCTGACGTCTCTAAACACAATTAAGAAGACATTCTGCTTGGGATACAACTGGTGCGAGAATCAACCAAGTCCTTCAGCACGTTGAAAGTATTCCACATATACATTTGTGCCTACTTAAAATCTCCGTTTATCACAGCCGTGATGCCATGGAATTGTGGTGCAGGTTTTCCAACTGTGAATATTAAATAACATTTGAGCAGCGATAGTTTTCACTTTTCACACCAAGACCAAAGAAAATGTGTGCAATTTCTCGCTGCATGCTTGCACCCCGTACTGATTCGGCTCACCGTAACGGTAGTTATAAAATTGCAGTTAATTAGTAAGGTACGCCGGCATCCACTATCGTAATCGAATGCATAAAATAATGAACGTACATATATGTACCAACAACAGCGGCCGTAGGACCAAAGTCACCGAGCCAGCTTACTTAGAGCTTTAGTTCCCTCCAAAGAATGGTCCCACATCCGCGAATGCGAACGCTCTGCAGAAACAGGGATATCGTAATACCAATTGCAAATCCGTCATAATAAAGATTGCATCTACCGGGGTAAACTTGTCCTTCTGCAAATGACGAGCATTTTTCAAGGTCGGAATCTCCCTTCCTGGACTCGCCAGCAGAAACAAGCAACGCAACCAGCAATAAGAGCCGCATCGTGCCGTTTCGGGACATAGGAAAGAGGAAAGCTCTTTTCTTTCTGAAAAAGTATAGTTATAAAGAAAGACCGAAAGAACTCACAATTCACAGTTGACTACGTAATTACAACAAGATAAAATTCAACAACAAAATACTGCACCGATTGTGGAAACTGCAGCAATACATCCAGCTGTAATCAATGCCCGGTTAAAATGTTGACGTGGACCGCTACCATCCCGTGACTGCTTCCACTAGATTTGAGTCCAATGGAACCTTTGAAGTTCAGGCAATGGTTTGGCACAATGGCATTCTTCAATTGGGAACTCCACCGGCAAAATGGCAGAGTATGCCAAGTTTGCTGCCTGCCAGATGATAATATTGTGTTCGTGCAAGTCGCCATGCGGATGGCGGTTTCTAAAACGGTTTTCTGTTTCCGGTGGTGGGGCATGATTTGGGACTTGGAGTGGACCGCATGGAAGTGAGCTGGAAGAGCGTTTGGCAGGTCTAGCGTAGAGCGTACTTACTCAGCGTATACGATTTTAATCATTTCAGTGAACAGTTTACTGCAGACTTTTCGTAATATCCCAGGCATTCCTTTAAATCACACAGTCAGTGCGATTTTCAATCTTTTTTAAAAAGCTGGGATGCTATAAATATCGAATCTTGATCTCGTTGTACTTGTACTGGTTGCAAAATCGATGTTTAAATTCATGGTGCGCGAAGTCCGAAGACACGTACATAAGGACTTACAAGTTACAACGGGCTTACTGTGTCCATTTTTGCGTTTGTTCCCGATGTTCGAGTAATTCTTGCAATGCAACTTTGCAAGCTCGTTAATTTATTGCATTACTAGTATAAAAATAAATACTGTTTTGATTGGTCTAAATACTGTCATAAAGGATTAAACTAGCTTCATATAAAAACTCGCGCATCTTTATTAATAATCGCACAGGTTCTGGTAATATCATATGCGAGCATTGCATCTGCGACTGTGCAGGACGGAAGCGCAAGTAAGGAATCTTTTCTGTTTAGTTAAGAACTTACCTCACGGTCCTCACCTTTTGTACCTGTTTATTCATGAAATAACTCACAGTATGCGATAAGTTGCCGGTAACGAAACAAATAATTTCACAACCGGAAGATTTCGTTAATTATTATTTGTACTTCCTCCATGGTTCTGAATCTATTATACGTACGAATTAAATGTAGTGTACATACTGAAATATAAAAATAATATTTAATTTTAAGAATTAGGAAAGATATATAGATCTAAGATATCTATAATACGTACTTCGTACTTGAAGGGTACTAGTATATTGTACAGTACGCGCGCGGTACTTTAGAGCGTATTATACAGCACAGTTAGTATTCTATATAATAGTATTACTGTACTTACTGATCCGTTGTGGTACACCACAGAAAGTAAATTTTTAAGTAAAATTAAATTTTAAAGAAAATTTAAGTGCGACCAAAAGGTACAAGCATAGAAAGTAAAATTTTAATCGTAAGTAAAATTTACTTTCTATGCTTGTACCTTTTGCCTTTTGGTCGCACTGACTCGCCCGCGGTCACGCGGTGTGGTGAGACTACACACAGTATGTATAGAAGTACGAGAACCTATTCTTAATTGATTACCCTGATTTGTTATACAGAGATGATTCCAATGTTGTTGCGCAAGCAAGGACAGCCCGATCAAAGCAGTGAACCAGATCGAGATCCTGGAGACGTAAAGCGGCACCTGGAGGATACGCAAACTCGGTACCCGGGGAATGAACCAGAATCGATGGCTTCGCTGATCCCGCATGGCAAATGCCCTCAGGAAAACAAGAATGGTGGGGATTTGTCGCACTGTGAAAGGAATGCCCCTCCGAGCGGTTTTGAAACACCCCCTATTCACCAACCTGATCCGTTGCGTGATGGAGGATTCGAAAAGCGATAGGATGGGAATGTGAGAAAACAAAACTGGACAACGGCTTCATGGGCTGTTTTGTGTACAGTACTTTGAGTGCACGTCATAAGATCTTGAATGACAATAATGATTATGGGTGTTTTTTCAGTGTTTAAATTTTAACAATTTTAATTTAATTGGTGCAAATCTACGGAAGCATACCGACATGTGCACTGGCTGTTGCAGAATAAAGTTCATCTATTATTAACAAAAACAGTTCCTCTAAACTATCAGTATCTTGTTCGGGGATTGTACGCGTACGAGTACCCAATACCCATCACACATATCGCGTTTCCTCATTGCATTTCGATGGATAGCCGGTGTCTAAAAAACTCTTTCGCCCGCTTCTGGCCTGTGGCGGAATCTATGCCGTTTCCAACCTTCTCCACCATTTTAGTTCCGCCTGCCGAGGGTCCGGAAATTTCAAAGGCGGCATGGCTACAAGATGGTATCTTGGTGGCAACCAGCCATGTGCATGTTTAGACAGTTTTCCTCTTTCCGCATGCTCCGCGGCTCGCACGGACGCTCGTGGAAGAGCGGTCGATGTATGAGGCAGCGAGTGTGTCCACGCAGGTTTGCATTACGGCCAATCGTTTTCCGCGCTTCCGCGGGACACGAGTAATCACATTTGGCCTTTCATGGTCTTTCACGGAGAGACCTTTCGGCTTCATTCTGGCTGGAAAACCTGCCGTCTTCAGGACACGAGTCCGTTCTCCATTGATTTCATCGTGCCATGGCAGTCTTACAGCTGCCCGCATACAACGGAGCTCGTTACGGCCCAGATCGTCGACCAGACCGCCACAAACGATCACGTGAGGGTTGACGATTGGTACGCCCAGGCGCAACGCAGCACGTATACGGAAGACGTTCTTGTCCAGTTGCACGCACGTGTCTGGAGGTTACCGAAGCAGGCCGCGGGCAATGCATGGACCCACTCGCCGGATTCCGGGGCTGACACCGCCTTCAGGTGGCCGACCTCCTCTTGGGTAACGTTTCGAAAAAGCTACTTCCTCTTACTCTACTACATTAATTAGATTACGTAATCAATAATAAGTGTTTTACATTGGTTCGTAGTGCGTACCGCGACTATCGCCGTGGCCCGTACCGGTATTTAAGGGGGCCAGGATATGACGTACAAAAATTTAACATAATATGTCAAATATATATATTTGACGTAATATGTCACTTTTTAATATTATTAAAAAGTACGAAGTACCCGTGGGAGTACAGTATAACTGTATAAACTATAAAGTATGTATTTAATGTTTAAAAGCGCAGATCCGCGTACGGAGTCCATCGTACGTCTTCCGTATGACTTACGTAACTTTAAACGTACAACGTGTCCAGTAGTGTTTTTGTGCCACACGTGTGTTGCAGACTGGCAGGTCTTTTGAGCCTTTGCCCTTGTTGCCAACTGGCGCCTTGCAAGTGCAGGTACTGCGCGATTTTATGCTTTAATTTAATTTACTGCAAGTTCGCACAGCATTTTGTCAGTAATTTTTGAAAAAAAAATATATTATTTTCTTATGCATTTTTGTATTACACTGCAACAGTTCATTAATGACAGTAAACAATAGTTTTTGACTTAACGCATGCTTTTGTATGTTTTCGGTCATTTAATTATAGCCCTAAGATCTTGGTATCGTAAAACTAAACACCTTGACTGGTGTCTTGGGAGCGTTTATTCTGTGTTTGCCTCATGTTCAGCACAAAAATGTGGAAAATCCGAGAGATTACGGACCAAGTGTGAGTGCTATGCATGGTATGCTCATCTTCTGACGAAATTAATAGTAATGGCATCTGATCAGAGTCAACATGGTGATGAACTACACCGAAGTGGAGGCCAAAGTGAGGGAAGCGACTAATGAAGACCCATGGGGACCAACAGGGCCGCAGATGCAGGAGCTCTCTCAATACACGTATAGTGCTGAGCATTATCACGAGGTGATGAGTATGCTTTGGAAAAGGATGCTGGTTGATAATAAAACCAGTTGGCGTCGCGTCTATAAGGTTAGTTCGTCTTTTCGATTTCGTATGTGCAGATGTGGAAAGACTGACTAAAGAGAACGTGTAAATTTTCGACGTTTTTCAAATAAAATTACTAGTAGTTGCAAATGTGGTGCTTGATTCCGATGCGTCGTTATGACTTATATTTGCCATAATCCCGTTATATTTGCTTGGAAGTTGGAACAACTAATTAAAAATCGTTTGAAAAGCTGAAAATACTCCTAGCTCTATACCTTATTTTTACATTCATGAAAAGATTTTTGCGTGTAGGATAGATTAAGTTTTAAGCGAACTAGATGTTATCGGTTTTCATTGCAGTAGCTCAGTTACTGTAACTGACTTGTGAGTAATTGTTTGGTTAGGACCCGTTAGGTTAATAGGTTGGCAATCGCGTGCGGATGATACACGCCTTTGATAATAGGTTCCTTGGTTACGTTATTGTTATCAGATAATTAGTTTCTTTTGCGTTAGTTTTAGAATTTAAAATTTGAAAGTCTCGGTTTTGTGATAAAAAAATCGTAAACGGTACAAAAGTAATATTGTTGACACTTTTACGTGTTACAGAGTTTATTGCTCCTGGGATATATGTTAAGGAATGGCGCTGAAAGAGTGGTAACATCGGGAAAAGAACACCTTTTTGACCTCCGGAGTTTGGAACATTATAAATTCGTCGACGAAGTTGGAAAAGATCAGGGCATAAATGGTATTGACACGAACAGTTGGGAATAATCACAGGCTAAATAGGATGTGACTTTCATAGTGCGCAATCGCGTCAAAGAAATGCTGGATTTGTTGCAAGATGATGCGAGATTGAGGGATGAGCGCAAAAAAGCAAGGAAATCGCGGGATAAATATGTCGGTCTATCGGCAGATGATGCTGCAATGACTCGAAGAAGAGGTAACAATGCCGAATTTCTGCCGTTTTTAACATATAAACTGTTGGACATCTTTGTAAGCCAGGCCGTGTTTTGAACGACATTTGCAAGACTCATGAAATTTACGTGTTGGATGCACCAGTCTGCAAACTGTGTATATTTGATGTGGTCGGTTTCTCTTTGAGGTGCACGGCAAAAAAGCATAAATGCGGTCATTGGTTGCTAGCGTCTGCTATGTTTGCAATTTTACCCATGTAGGGCATCAGTCCTCCCAGTCAAATCGTGCCTCTTGGTCTCCTTCGGATTCTCCAACATCATCCAGGCGGCAACCGGATAGTGATGTCGAAGAGGAACGAGATCCGCGATACGAATTTCACGATGAAGGCGACGGGGATGATGTGGAAAATCACGACAGAGATAGTAACAGTAATGGTCGCAGCAGTGGAACTAGCAGACCTTCGAAACAAATTAAGCCGATTGGAAAGCGTATAGGCGCTGGGCAGGAGAAGAGTGAGCCGCACCCAAAGCCACGGGCTAGTGACTCGGATGCCAGTAAGACAGAAGTTGAGCTACCTCGTCCTCCATCGCAGCCGACATCGCACGGCAAAGATCTGATGTCGGATTTCGGTGACTTTGGAGATGTGGCTGTGGATGCGGGCAACAATGTGGGAGGTAAACCACAGGATGACTGGGCGGATTTTGCTAGTTTTCGTGGTGCACCACCAGAAAATAAAGCCATTGATGCGTCTCCCGACGATTTCGTGGAGGGACTTACAAAACTGCATTTTACAAAAAGTTTCAAAGCGCCTGGAGCGTCAGGGTAAATTCTACTACGTTTTGAGATTATTTGAAAATCGGATGAGTAGAAATATCTCGGTTTTCCAGTCCGGCAGATTCCGATTTGCTGAACGAATTCGGAGATTTCAGTAGTGCATCTACTCCGTCCATGGCTTCGGGACTTCCGGCCACGCAGCAATACGGTGGTATGCCACACTCACTTACTATGCCTGCACTGGCTCCTCACGCTGTCACGCCTCAACAAGTGGCGGGTCTTTATGCCATGAATGCTGGTAATCCTATGATGGGGATGCCTCAGAGTCAGAGTATGAATTTCCAGCAGATGCAGCAGCGCCCGCCTATGGGACAGCCATCGACGAGGCCGCCAGTGATGCCGGTTTTTGGGGCATCTGCTCAGCCAATGGGACCGATTGGTTATCAGTTTAATTCTGGCCCGAGGTCCGCTCCTCCAGTACGTCCCTGTTTGCGGCATCTTGACTGATTAGCTAGCTGTATTGTTCATTTTGACATGACATCTGCAAAAGTTTTTAAACGGTGTTTTCTATAACTTTTTAGACGCCAAGACAAGGGCCAACTACAGCCGTTTCGACGGCCCCCAGCGGCACGGTTAACTGGGGCAATAATAGTGGCGGGAATGCTGGTCTGAATATTGAACTGGACCTGAATCTTGCCAAGAACTACAACAAGCCTTATTCACCGCCTATGAATCAGTTAATTCAGAACCCGAGTATGAGTAATAATCCTGCAACGGCTGTTCGTCCAGGTAAGGTCGAGTGCGCTGATTCATCAAGGACGGATCGATGAAAGCGGCTGTAAACGTGATTCATACCTTTAATTCGCGCAGTTGTGTTATACACGAGTGTGTGCTGCAGGGTTTCAGTATCCTCCAAGTCCCGGAGTTCAGGGACAAGCACCATTTGGAGCCTTTTCAGGGACCACTCCGCAGTTGGCAGGGAATTCAGTTCTACCTCAACAGCAGCAACAATTGCAGGCACAGTCGTCCAAGCAGCTGCCGTTTGGTGATTTACTGTGACGGCCTTCTACTGAAGTAACTTATTAATTCTAAATCGAACACTTTTATTTCTTTTGTGTCAAAACCACAAAACCGTTTAGTGTGAAATAGTATATTTTTACAGTTGTGGAATCCCCGTGTTTTCAGAGTTTTAGCTTTAAATATGGAGAGTAATGTAAACAGGATTTTGCGATAACGCTTTCCGCATCGTTACACTGCAAGCTTGTGTTTGCTTCTTGCAGAAAGTGCTATATTAATTTCCTTTTGTGTGTGTACTTCAATTCTGCACGCGATTTTTTTCTAGTGTGAATCTTTTCTATTTACTTGGTTTGATCGGTTGCTTCGCTCATTCCATCGGGGACATTCATAAATTTTTCATTCTTTCATTGGTCCGTCCGAAATGTGAAAATGATTCGCTTGAGCGATTACGAAAGTGAATTGCTTTGTATTCCTAACAGTGTGCCCTCAAAATATTTACACAATTCCGGCTTTCGTGTATCGTACAACTTCAGACCAACTCGTCCCGCCACCAGCTCTTCATTATTGTTTGTTATTTTCGCCTGGCCTTTGTTCTTGTTTGATCCAGCTTGTGCCGTGCTCATCGTTCTCATTTTTTGTGCCCATCATTACTTAAGTACTTGAACAGGTTTTTCGCGAAAAGTGCGGAAAAAAACAGCATCAAATCCACTGTGCAAAGCAACACACAGAAACAAAACGTTACAAAACCAGTTTATCACTTTCGGTATCCTCCTTTGGAGTAACCGCCACCGCCGTATGAGTTTCCGCCACTGTAACCGCCTCCATAGTTATTTCCGTAACTTTGCTCATAAGTGTCCAAAGGATTGCAACCATTGTCAACCTGCAATTGCCGATTATTTCATTTACATGTATGCACAGGGGAGATGCCGTTCATGCGAAAACACAATCAGCTGTTGCTCTAATTTAAATAAGCATAATTATCAGAATAAATTGGGATTCAAGGGCAATCATTATACCGTGACATCGCGTGAGAACGGATATAAGAAGATTAGACTGTAACAAAGCGTATGCCCTTGAAATTAAAAGCCATTCATTGCTTGATTACTGCTGATCTACAGTACTAACCCTGCAGCACATCACGCATAACCATAACAATGCATCTTTTTTTGCAACGAAATAATTATGGAAACATCGGTTAATTTTTACCAAGGCTTTTCTTATCCGATAACTCGCACATCTTCATTTTGGCAGCAATACCGGAACAATTAGATTGATAATTTATCTTGTATACTCGTATACTTTTGTTGAATTTTATACCCGGGTTATTACAGATTTTCCGACATGGTGAAAACTGAAAACCTACGATTGCTATCAAAAATACGTTTTAAGAGAAAAGCGTGAGTCCGGCAAAGAAAGGTCAAAGGTCTTTCTACGTGTGCGAGTACCGGTGGCGGTATCTGTGACCCGAGAAATAAGAGAAACTTATCAGAACTGTTTCTGAACTTAATGGCAGTGATATTTCGAGTTTCTACCAGTCATTAAGCTTCCTAATTCCACTTATGTTTAATTCTCACCTTAAAATGCCAGTCGCAGATACCAAGGTAGTTATTAAAGCGTGTCCATTTCGGGCAGCGGAAAGTGTCCGTTCGTCCGTCCGACTGGCAGATGTAGAACACTTTGCAGTCCTGCTTGCTGTCACCGTAAAATGCCGGCTTCTTTCCAGCGCATTCAAAACCATATCCATAATCGCCATACGACTCGGGTCCGTAATAACCAGGACCGGTCTGGGAGCCATACCCTCCGCCGTACCTAATCATCATCATCAAATTTGTTAGGAAATTTCACCAAAAAGAAAATATGTTATGAAAAACATGTTACGGTATATTCAATTACTGTACAGTACTGCCATGCAATACAGGAAATGCGCATCATAATATGTGGCACTGTCTCGATTTCAATATCAACGAAAAAATATCAGTAGGAAGTTAAGGAATACCCTCCGCCGCCGCCGCCTCCATAACCGCCACCGTATCCGCCGCCACCGTAACCCCCACCATAATCACTAGCCGCCTGCTCATGATCATAGGAATCATCGTTGGATGTGGCCGCCGCTACGGCGTCAGTATCTTGAGAATCTGAGCGGGATTCCGCCGCAACAGCATCCTGCGCGGCATCATCATTTGCCGGCTGCGCCTTAATACTTTTCCTTAAGTTGGCGGCCTGGCAGCTGGCCACTATCACGACCAATAACGTTAAAACACGTAGAGAAACCATGGTAAATAAATGAGAGCGTGTTATATGTACGACGATGGACAGTGTATACTATCCGATATTAGATGAACGAAAACACAGACAAAACACACTCCGGTACAATCCCTATGCAAGACCGGAATCCTTTATATCACACCAGTAGCGGTGGGTCTCTTTGCGGCATAATGAATCAAACCATTATTGTAACAGGGCTTTTTCTACTTTGGTAATCGGTTGTAGTGGCCTAAAAGTAGGAAAAAGACAAAATTCCACATGGTGCCTTGACCTGCAGCGAAAGTAAAAGTGCATACAGCAAGCAGAGTGTGAAGGAAATTAACGCAAATTAATTACTAACTGTATCATTGACGCTTACCTAATTCCAAACGAGTTAACACAGACGTTAAGGGCAAAAACTGTATCCGCTGCAACTAGGGCAGATCAAAAAACATTCATGATTCACATGCGGCACAGTGCAGACTGCTGTCCATATCCGTTAACATTTCCATTTTTACCGGTTCATTTCTTACTCGCTGATATGCAGTTTAAGGATACTTAATCACACGGTATATAATGCATGTCGCACATTTAGTTTATGGATTCCATGTCAATTAGACACAAAAACGCATTGTCACTTGTTATGTTGCTACAAATTTCTCAATAGTCCAGCCTGCGTTCTGCAGCCTGCTAGCACAACACTCATCTCCAAACTGCAAAACCGGTGTGGAACATGTTGACATCCAGCCATGTTAAACTTAATTCTGGATGTCAGTTGTCAATGTTTGACCAACCGCGATAAAATAAATTTTATTTTACATGTTGATTTCGCACTATATATAACTTAAGAAAGTTATGGAGGACTTACCAATCTTTTGCCGACTGGGTAAAAAATCGAGCACAGATATGTTCCGACCTGACAATACGACACCTATTCCACAGCACTATTCTGTACAATAGCTGCACTGCTTCGTTTGCCAATTCTTCTGGTGGATGCACTGCACTTTTTTAATTCCCTTTTCTACGGTCTAGCAAATTACGTAATCAGACATTAAAAGCGACGAACGCATTAACAAACGATCTATGGAAAAGTGTCCACTGGTGCAGGCAACTTAACGTCCACAGTAAAGCTCTCAATACAAGGATGGAAAGAGAAGCTAACAACGCATCGAAATACACAAGACCAGTTACGAAACAAAAACTGAAGTAACGATGATGCTAACTGTAATGGGTCGATCGCAACCGATGTATAAACTGCCCATTATCAAAACAAAACAAAATACAACTCGACAAGACACAATAAGATGGATTGACCATTCCGCATTATGATCTACACTTGTCCTTTTCCCGCTTGAGTAGGTGATCCCCGATTGACTACGGGACGCATAGCCACTCCGCCGACCGGAGGACGCACAAACGCACTCGGCATAGCCGGTGCCACTCCGCTTTTCGCGCCAACTGCCTGTGGTGACGGTGCACCCGGTGGAATGGGTGCAGTAGTGGCACCGCTGCTATTAGGCACGGCAGCAGCAGCAGCCGCCTTAGCGGCGGCGGCGGCTTCGTCCGCGGCGACGGCTTCCTGGATTTCCTTAGCGTTGCCCTGCTGGAATTCGGCCACATACAGCCGCTTATCGATTTCCTTTGGAATGGGCTTAATATCAGTAGCCAGTTCTTTTTCAATGCGATGTAAATTGTCACGATCGTCAAAGGTGATCAGGTTGATGGCAATACCCAGATGTCCAAATCGTCCAGAACGGCCGATGCGATGCAAGTAAGTTTCGGCCATTCTCGGAAAGTCAAAGTTGATGACAACGTTAACCGCCTGGATGTCAATGCCACGAGTGAACAGATCTAAAAACAGTAAAAATAACCAGAAGTCATGTTAATGATTCGTGCACGTTCAAAACACCGTGAATCTCCAATGGCTCATTTTATATTTTATTTATACCTGTGCAAACTAGATTGCGACAAGCGCCAGTGCGGAAGTCATGGAAGACTCGATTTCTGCAAAACATGAGTATACAAATAATATTTCACACGATTTTTACCAGCCAGAAAAAGAATAAATACCGGTGCTGTTGAGGCATGCGAGCATGGATGAAATACGCAGAATACCCCAGTTCAGTAATTTTCTTAGCCAATAATTCCACTCGTGACGATGAATTGCAGAAAATAATACATCTAAGAAAAAACACAAATTGTTCTGTAATTAAAAATCGAAAGTAAGGCGATTTTTCAGTTTACTTACTGATTGATCTGCAGCTTGGAAAAGAGAGTGTTCAAGCAATGCACTTTTTGTTTCTCTTGCACAAACGCGTAAAACTGGCTAATCCCTTTCAGTGTCAGTTCAGACATCAGATTGAAGATGACAGGCTTTTTCAAATATCGATTCTGTCAGGAAAGAATCATGAAATTGGTATTCACGAAACTGATGGCAAACGAAACCATAATACTGACCTTAAAATTTTCCACCGCCACGGGAAACGTTGCAGACAGCAACATTATTTGTCGGTTTTCCGGCAAATGTTTAATGAGACGATCCAGCATATCTTCGAAGTCTAATGACAGTAACTTATCCGCCTGAAAGAACCCTATGATAATGCCTGCACATGACTGTAATGGGCTAACCTTTCACATTCTTACCTCATCCAATACGAACATTTTACAGGCATCCATCTTTGCCACTCCTTTATCCATAAGATCCAGAATGCGCCCAGGTGACGCCACAACAATGTGAACTAAAAGCAGAAAACCTTTGAAAGCCTAATCGCGCTTAGGTAGTCGCTGCGTTACCTGTTCCTTGCAATCTCAGAATATCGTCTCTTAAACTAGTTCCTCCTGTTGATACCATAACCTTGACATTTAGGTGTTTTCCAATTTCCATACAAATGGCAGATGTCTGTAATGCCAGTTCTCTGGAACACATAAAGCCTATATTACGATACAAATAGAAGAATCCCAAATGCCGCGCTGCCCAAAAATCAATACCCTATTTCCCTAATCTTAGCAGAATTAATTTTCAATACTCGCACCACTTATTTGAATTTTTATTGGGAATATATTGATCCTTTGATTACGGTAACGGTTCCTATACACATAGTACGGTCAACGGTAACATCCGAAGTTTCAGAACACTACGAACATTGTCTAGATAAAGAAAGCGGTTTACACTTTACACCACATGCGAGAACGGACAGGTTACTAAACGTACAAACAATAACGTACCGAGTTGGCACAATCACCAAAGCTGTAAGAAAGAAAACCCTTGAAAGTTTTCGTGTGGCACAATCAAACATAATACGAAATACCTTGAATTCTGTCCACATTAGTATCAATATTTTGCAGTACGGGAATCAAATACGCTCCAGTTTTTCCCGTCCCATTTTTTGCACGAGCCAATATATCCACACCACTACCATCCGTCGCAACCGGAATGGTCTGCTCTTGAATGGGGCTCGGACGCTAAAGAAGGCCGTATTAGTTCAAACCAGTACACACAAGCTGCATAACGAAACCAGAACGCCTTTCCACGATTCGCTTCATTTCTCTTACCTCCCAGCCCATTTCAAATATCCCCATTAGCAACTCCCTTTTCAACATCATATCTTCAAATTCCAAGCCCAATGTAGCCGTAACATCCTACAAATCAAGATTGCCACCAAATTCTTAATTCCGACAAACAAAAGATAGGAATGTACGAAAATTACTTCAGTTTTGCAGCGCGTGTCCGGAGGAGGCAGTTTCAAATTATTACGCCAGTCTCCGTTTCCTTCCGCTTGATTTCCCGATGACGTAGCCAGAGTCTCATGCTCAGCAGACAAAGAGAGATGCTGCATGCCTGACACAGGTGCCGCCGCGGGTCCCGTGCTGCCTGGAGCCGATCCTACATTGGAGTTGCCCACTCCCGGCCCACGGTTACGCACCACTGGAGACCCACTATTAGACCTGCATAATACACATACCGATGAGAAGGTACCGTACCATAAGGTTTTAAGGATACAATTAATGCTCTATACCGCGGATAAAAATAGTATATTTCAAAGCCAACAAATAAATGCCCTATCCTTAGAGCTTTGCTGTTACGGAATAAGTACCTGTTACAGTGTTAATATTACAAAGCGAATATCCCGGATTTTTATTGTACTGGTATTAGAAATGTGATCACAACCTGGACCAATAGCTCGTCACGCCACCAAAAATGTCTATTATAGATAAAAACATTTAAAAGATAATTTTAGCACTAATAAAGTACTGCATACGAATAAAACCAACCGCCCAAGATCAAATAGCTTCACATGTCAAACTTGCGTACCTTCCATGTTGTGACGCCTGCTGGTGCAACTGATTCTGCACACTGGAGGGCACTTGCTGCCGAAACTGAGAAGACTGTCCTTGGTTCGTAACCGGCATGATTGTCCTTGGAATATTTATCACAAATACCCAGGAATACCAAAATTTAATCTAGAAATACATCCATGAAAGAATGCAAAGACTTTCTGAAAAAGAGGCACAGCACTTACACTGCAACAACTGTACAAAACTATCACAGAGATGCTTGTTTACACGTTCTCCCCAGGACGAGCAATGTTATAGCTAACTATGCTCGAAGGACGGAACAGCGTTCAACAAATTGTGCGTTCCCCCACGATTATATACAATACAAATATAAACTCTCAATACAATCACAAAATAACCAGATAATCAACAGGTAGAGCGTGTGGAACTCGCAAAGGATTGTTCCACAGCAGATGTGCATTGGCTGATTCACAAGTCAAGATCCCTTTTACAACTCTGGCTACAACTTTTATCTAAATGATCGCAGTGCCGCTAACACTCAAACCGATATATATTCGCAGTTTCCACAAAGACTAATCCAAGCAATCTTTCCACGGCATAAAAAACAATGACAATAACCAAGAAGTCTTCCTGTGAGATTTTTTCCAAGGGTCGTTCCGCTTTTCTTTAGTGAGTTCAGTCCAATGTTTTCGAAAATTTTCAAGCTTCCACTGCACTGTGCGAGACTACTGTACTTCGAGAGTACTGTACAAGTGTGCATTATGCACGTTTGAAAGGCTGCCTGACGTCATAGTCACAAGCAGAGGGAGCAGCGTGTCTCACATCTCCGTATAGTAAATAAATACACTGTTCTGATTAGGGAGGTCAAAGTTTGCCGGACTTAAAACTGGGCAGTGCCGCTCTACAATTGCGAATTGGGAATGGGAGCAGATAATCAAAAAGGTTTATTGAAAAGGAAAAAAAAAGGTTTATCAAAAAGGTTTATTGTTTTTTTTCCCGTTTGACGGTCTGTAATTCTACATCATGCAGGAATGCATTAATCTTCTTTATGGCGCACGATGCAGTGTTATCACAGTAATAAAAACCTGGTCGCCAAAATTTACTTACCACGTTTAACATTTTCACCACCACAGGCTCGGAGCTGATTGCTTAGTTTAAACCGCTGCTTAATGCTTATACTTTACTATTAGTATTACATAAGTACTGTATAATATTGTATAATGGTGTTATTTTTCAATTTTTTTGTGAGCAAACAATAAACCGGGAACGTAATTCTTGCTAACCCTGCTTCCGGCTTTAATCTATGTGGCTCACTGGCCAGTGGCCATCAATGGCCATCTTGGCCTCAATGCAATTTGCAGCATGCCATCGGAGGCGGAAGCATTGAGATCTGATGCAATCGGTTACATACAGTATTCCTGTCGTTCCGTGATATTGCCAACAAAAAATTGCAAAATGAAATCATTGAAATGGGAAGAATAAGCTGGTTTCGCTTGTATCGTCCTGTCACATATGTATGCACAGTGGCGGCGGCGGTGGCCTGGTGGAACATTAACTGGTGGCCCTTTGGGCTTGCCAAAAGTTCTCGAACCTACAGTATTGTATGATTTGTATCTATGCGTACATTTAGGCACACACAGTTTGCCAAAAGAAATTTTTGAATCAACTCAATCAGGGCAGATTTCATTCCTTGGCTGTTTGGCAAACACGAACTACTCATTCGCAATTTAGTCATTTTGTTATCAAAATTTATTATTCTTTCAATGATGTTATCTTCGTATCTAAAACCGTATTACCGTGTTGCCGTATTGGCAGTTTTACGGGCGTTTTATCTTTTGATTCTCTGGCACAAAAATGTTACGACACAGGCCACGGTATTTCTTTGCTAGATCACTGATCCAGTCATGTTGCGGATGCAGTAGCAGACTGAGACTGTGATATTATTATCGATAACAAAACCTGTTCCGGGTGTTCCCTCCTCAAATTTTGCTGTTGCCTTTTGATTATCATTCTGATCTTTTGATAACGCTTCCATGGCATCCTCAGCATCCTTGCATTCTCCCTGCAGTTATCCGCCGTCTAATGGTGGCTTTCATTGTCGCTCGCAAGCCATGGGCTGTTACGATCTGATGGACACTTTGGGTCGAGGAAACTTCGCGACTGTCAAGAAAGCCGTCCATGTCTTCAGCGGAGAGGAAGTGGCCGTGAAGATCATTGATAAAACTAAGCTAGATGCGACAGGACGAGCTCACCTTTTGCAGGAAGTGCGCTGCATGCGCCTGGTCCAGCATCCCAATATTGTGCGCCTTTATGAAATCATCGATACTCCAACAACCTTGTAAGAAACGATTAAATAATAATATCACAGGGAAATGTAAAATTCTTATTTTGTCATTTATAGTAGAGTTTTGCTTGGAACACGAAATTTGTTGCAGTTTAAAACCTAAACGACAAGCGGGTACTAGCAGATTTTTAATTTGTTAACAAACCAGCGGAAAGCAGGCTCTTATTTTATTTATCATAAATTTCAGTTGAAATTACTGTATTTGATGCACGAGTCGGAGCGACCAAGCCCCCAGCACACACAGGTTGCTTTTCCAGTTCCGCGTATCGTGTAATGTCTGTGTTTCTGGACTCTCTGCGACTTGTTATTCTTCTGAATTTCACAACTTGATAGTTTTCTTCGTTTTTAGCATGATAAGACCTGACCAGTAAATCGGTCAATTACTGTACTCGTATGAAGTTAGAATGCTGATGGCGAGTAACTGGTGAGTCTGATGTTACGACTCAAATTATTATAATGCATCTTTTTTCAGTATCGTCGTCTATGCTCGGATTTTTTTTATGAACCCGTAGCTGTACATCATGCGGGGGTAATATTACTAGTATTGAAAAATAATTTTCGGAGTTGTTATCAATGTTATGTAAAATCGATTCAGCTTGGTTGATTACAGTTTATGACTGGAAGATGTTTCTTATTCACATTTCTTTTAAAATCTGTAACAAGCAAAAGTATGAATTCATACTGTACTATTATAATGTTGTGGATTTGGCAATGGCTTTGCGGCCTTTGCCTAGCGCCAGTTATGCTTTTCTTCAATTGAGACACGCCTCTAGTTGAAAGCTCCAGGTTGTTATTTATACAATTAGGTAAATAAATTTACCAGAATGGAAATTTCCTTCCGGCGACATACTGTACTAAATGATAATGCTTCTCTGATTGTTAATTTAGCTGTCACGTGTAAACAACACGCTGGGCGCAAATTGTAGAAAGTCTTCAAAACTGAAAGTGTTCCGGTGGGAATATAGATGGCGGATGTCTGCTTAATTGGCGTGTGCCGGGAAATTTGGCTGTACTTTCTGAGGTTCAATAAGCAAAAAGGATTTTAAAATCTGACCAAAATCAACTGTTTATGATGCTTATTATTTATGATCGTCCAAAACCTCCCGGGAAGTTTTCGTGAAACCGGTTAATACGTAGTAGAATGACGTTCATTACTGGCAGCCGCAGAAGCAGTAAATATTCAGGAATTAGATAAAAACAGATTCAGCATTATTTGAATAATAAAGAGGAAGTCGAATGTGTGTATTTCTTTTGTTAAAACGTTTGATAATTGATAAGGCGTTTCCCAGTTGTTTGAACGTTTAATTTTGCAGATTTTTGGTTTTGGAGTTGGCTGATGGAGGTGACCTATACGATTACATGCTGAAGAACGAAAAGGCTATGTCAGAAAAGACTGCTAGACATTATTTCAGTCAGATTGTTCAGGCTGTGGAATATTGTCATCAACTGCACGTGGTACATCGAGATTTGAAACCAGAAAATGTCCTAATGTTCCGCAAGCATCGTATGGTGAAGCTGACTGATTTTGGGTTTGGACACTTTTGCCAGCCGGGAATATCGTTGGATACGTCTTGTGGATCGCTGCGTTATTCATCACCGGAGATCCTATTCGGTCAGCGATACGATGGACCGGCTGTCGGTAAGAAAAATGCACAGACACATTTACTACAGATTGTGGGTCTTTAGTGATTTATTTAAGAAGAACGAGAAGCTCTGTTAACTGATGATGATGATTTTCTCCTCGAGCTAAAACGATGTTCGTGCGCGCATTCCATATGTAAATATGGATCTGTAATAATGCGGTCTAGCTGACATGTAAGTATCGAAAACTGCACTATCGAAGGTTCGGTTGAACGATATGCTACTCGTACCGCATTACTTTTTTTAGCATGTGTGTCGTCAGGAATAGCCCTGTTCGTGGAAAATGTGTTCCGTTTTAATTTTCCACAGAACGTCAAACAACTGTCGAGTGACGGAAAGTGGCGATGTATTTCGAGATAAAGCAGAGATATTGGAAGGGTTCCATGTTTTGTGTAAAACCTCTTCGTAAGGTTTCGGGCAGCCTTCTTACGTGCGCTGCATATTTCAGAAATGTCTTCTACTACTGCGAAAAAATTGATTTGAATTTTTATGAACCGGATATGCCTATATTATAAGTTTTGTGTTGTTTGTACCTTCTGCCTGTAATGATAATACCCACGTCATCAGCTATTGATTTGTTTTTTATGCCTTTTGGCAGCTGTTCATAATTGGAACTGACTACTAATCGGACTATGTGCAGAGGAGTTATGAGCTTTTTTTGTGATAACGAATGCCAGCGATCAAATATTATATCTCATGGCGCCCCCGTCGGTTGCACGTCTTTTGTGCTGTTGTAACCTAAACCCGTTAGATACTAGCATTGCAGTTTACTACCCAGTATTGTTAAAGGCCGATGCTGACGCCTTTCTGCTGAAACAGTAGACTACATTAATTTTATCACAATTATTCACTGCTAGGCTAGAATTGTTTATAGATATTTGCAGTGTAGATATGCCGCAATTTTTGGCGGCATGAGGAGTCCCCTGACAATTCTTCCAGATGAAAAAACATGCAGTACAAATGTGAAGGTCACAAACAGGCGAGCAACAGTAGGAAACCATAGACGTTAATAAAATGACCGTTTGGAAATTACCGCGTAAACAGTTTTATTTTTGTTGGCGCAAAGAATGTATGCTGAACAAGACTTGAAAACAACGAACCGAGCAGTAAACATAAGCAAAAACAGCAGTCCCGATTAGGTACTTATTCGTAGCCTTATTGAGTGTTTTCCGGTTTATGACTTTTATTTTGCTGTATGTACAGTGATGGCGTGACCCTCACTGGCATGCACTTACTTCGTATGCACGTATTCTTTCCGGTGTTGGATAATGGTTGAAATACATAAATGCAGTCTGTGGAATTATCGATGTTTTCGCATATTTATTGTGCAAGTGTACTTAAAGGCAACCATGTAACCATACTTACCATAATGGAGCAAACGGCGGGTTATAACATAATTCGGCGCGACGCAATTTATTTCCATGTCGTAATAACTATATGCCTGTCATTGCAGACGTCTGGGGGTTGGGAATTTTACTTTATGCAATGGTTTGCGGACGGCCACCGTTCATGGAATTAAATGACTCGGAAACAATATCGGCCATTATGGATTGCCGTTATCCCATACCACTAACGCTGTCGGCATCTTGCGCACAGTAAGCGACGAATGTTGCTCGCATCGACTTTTCTCTATTAATAAATATATAAATATCGAAGTCCTGTGTATTGCTTGTTAGGTTTCAAAATACTGCACTACGAATAGCGAACACTACTTTCGTGGTGCCTGGTCCTACAGTAAATTACCCAGAGCAGCATTGCTGTGACGGTTAAAGGATATTTAATTTCACTACGTATGCAAATTATCTGGCTTCAGTTGTTATATTTTATAAGGTTGGTCGAGTTCCTTAAATTTCATTTGTAGTTCAGTCGTTACGGGAATCAGTTGCAAATTGCGTAATGTGATTGTGGTAATGCGAAAGGGTGCCTTCATGTTTGGTATCAATTTGACAGCTTGATTGGACGGATGCTAGTCAAAAATCCTGATCAACGTGCCACTGTAGCTGAAATTCTGCAGCACGTCTGGCTGCAGTCTCCGCTTCCTCTTCAATCTCCGGGATCGGCTCCTGGCTCGATGGACTGTGATAGTCCGGAGTCTCATCTTGCGACCTTGAATTGTCCTCTAGTACTGTCACGACATTTGTCGGATGATGCACATGAAAGGATTATCAAGATAATGCTGGATGGAGGTGTAGCTGCTCATCCGGACGATATTGACTGGTGAGACTAATTGAAAATATGACGTGGGAGACAGGTTGTTTACCGCTAAAAAGGCACGCTGCAATATTCAGCGCTCAGCGCAAGATTTGTGATAGTCTTCGTTATTACTGCGTAATTTCGATTAACCGATGGACTTCTTGATTAGAAGGAATTGCATAATCTGTCTCATGGATCGGCATGAGTGGCTGTTTCAGCTGGAAATGATACTTGTCGTAAATTTTGTCCGGTCTAAATTTAACAGAGTGTTACATAGTGGAACAAGTGCTCTTGATACATTTTAGGAATGTGGGTCATAAGACCATGGTTAACTGTTGGTCGTTTTTAGTGCACTTGCCAGCGACGAGTACAATAACATAACGGCCACGTATTATCTTCTGGCTGAGCGTCTGCTTCGGATGCAAGCGCCGCCACCCCCAAGTTTTGAAGAAGAGGAATTCGTGTCGGTGTCAGCGCATTTCGGTGCAATGGAGACTGATGATTTTCGCGGTGGTCGCTTAAATGGCCGATGTCGCCGGATAACGAACACGGTCGGCAAGCGTACGGTTGATCTGACGTCCGTGGCAGAAATGTTGGAAGAACTGGCGGAAGAGGAGGAAGAATTACTGGACAATGCTATGATTGATAACAGTATGCAGCGAACAAGGAACAGTGCCTCGCCGCGATTTAGCCCCTCGAGTAATCGGCGCTTAGTGAATACGAAATCTTCGCCGCATTTAAATATGCTGAATAAGATCAAGGAGGAAGTGAAGGTTAAAGATGACGATGATGATTTCCTCGATGAGGCTTTCTTTGTCGAAATGGAGCGGGCAAGCAATGACCCGAATTCTCTAAGGAACCGAGAGCGACAGTTGACGTCTCCCGAGCGTTTGAAACGGATTGAGCGATCCCGAAGGACGCGGTCCAAGTCTGGTAGCGGGAGTAGCCAAACGTCATCCGATACATCTGATACCGAAGAGGTACAGTTGATAATAAATTATTTGGTTTTGTTTCCTGGTATTGCTTTACGTATTTGTTCGGTGGTTTTACGTACCTAACAAGCTAATCTATTATATGGTTGCGAAACTTGTTTAAAGAGCTTGTTTTAGCGTTGGTGAGTAGTAGTTTTTATTCAAGGAATTTTCATAGCATGCGTTGTAGTTTACCAGACAGCTGAAAAGCTGTAGTCTCACAGCTGCAGTACACCTGCAGTTCCTCAGGTGAAATTCGCATTATTTGGCATTTAAAATTTCGTTGCTTAATGTAAATTTGAGTAAAACACCTTGGTTTTCATCACGTTATATTATGGAATTAGTAATCAAGTGTCACAATATCACAAATCGGTAGATGCTTCTATTGTACCCTGAGAGCTGATAATTTTGAGCGCCTTAGGTGGTTGTTTTTATTACTTGCCTTTAGTGAAGCAAGGGTGCTAACAATGGGTGATCGTAAAAGTATGACGTTTAACCTTTTCATTGAAGTTTCGGTCTTCAAATTCGTGAGAAATTTTTATTGCGAAAACGATGTATTCAAATTGGAAAAATTGATGATGAGCCGTGAAGTATTTAGTAATGGCAAACAGTTGTAGGGTTTGTAAGAATATAAATTTTAGTAAGCAGTTTTTGAATAAAAAAAGTTGCAGTATTTTTTTTAGGTGGCATGGCATGGTTGCAAATACTTATATGTGTGATAAAATTTTGTTTCAATTTGAAGGTTGGCGGCAGTACATCACGAACTACCGCATCGCGCCTATCTTTCTCCCGCCATCGTGTCCAACCTCATCGTCATCGCAGCACGTCCAGTTGTTCCAATCCCCCAGTCTACAGTCGGGAATCTAGCGAAAATGCTTCGCCTATCCGTCGCTCAACGCCTGTTTTATTTCACATGGGGGAAGAAGATCGCGGCATGACCTGCTCAGCGAAAAACACGAACAGTAAAAAACGCGTTTTGCAGCATTCACAATCGCTAATGGTCATTCCCTGCCATTCGGGGAAGTTGGCCGCTGTCGCGGATACGGCCAAAGGTAGCCGTAAACGCAGTTCACTGCATCGTCCGCACAGTCTGCCACCCGTGCCCCACGTGAAGGTATTATTAGAAGGGAATTATCCCATGGCACAGGCAAACCCCAGTAATGTCAGTCCGCGACTGAGTAGTCTGTGTATTCGGCAACAGTGTTGAAGCATGAGATTATTGTTGTGATAAAGATTTGATTTAAGTTATTGCGGTGTGAAATTGTGTGTGTAAGAGATTTTTTGTTTTGAGGGGTGTTATCTTATCCTTTTAGTAGTTAACTGGCTTTTGTATCTGACTTTTTTCTCTGTGACAATCGGGCCCCCTGCTTGATACTTTTTTTGCTGCACTTTCCGGGAATGTTTCCCGGTGTACAGGGTATAATATTATGTGCTATTTATTCCGCTGTAATATTCCACGTTTTCGTGGAAAAGCAGACTGCGGGTAGCCCTTTTATAGAATTGTACCGATCGGTTTATGAATGCAGAATCTTATGTTTACTGTGGTTTGATCAGTTTGCAACAGAGCTGTTGCTCGTTCGAATTTTGTGGTTAATAAAAGTGAAGATGAACTTTTCCCGTTTTGTACTTATGTAAACCGGCAATTCAGGGAGGCATTGATCGGAAATTCAGTTTACAACGACACGCAAGTATAATAATCAAAGTGCGAACATTTGTAAGTTTTAATAGAGTAGAAAATTTGATAAGTGCCTCACACTCCCCATCAGCTCACTACCCATAGTCGTAGACGCGCACGGTTTATTTTTGGTTTGTGCATAGTTTCAGTTTCTTGTGATAGTACATGGTTACATAAATATTTTCTAGAAGTTATGAACTCCACCCTACCGCCATAATTATTTTATTAATTGTATAACCTATTCGGTGTATTAATTTTCATCCCGTTTCCGGAACAATGAATACGAGAACTGAAAGAACTGATCCTGTAATGTTTTAGGTGTAATAAAATCCGAACTACAATCATACGATACTATCAGTTCTGGAAATATTATTTATTATTATTACGGCACAAGAGCAGACGACCCCAAGGGGACTTCAAGTCTGGTCGAACTACCAAAGTTCAAACACAAAGTACATCAAAGCTGCTCCGTTATTACAGTAACTTTAATGGTATATCTTGGTGTTCGGTCATGGCTGATTAATACCTGCATTTTCAATAAGCAATCAAAACTTCGAACGTATCGTACTCAATTACAGAACTTGGTTTCACCGCGTGGCTTTTCACCATTTGCTGTTTTTACAACTGGCCGTTAGCAAAAGAGATTTTTCATGGATGGATGTACTACATATAAAAATTCGGTCGAAGAGTAAAGTGTATTGCTCACAGAATTAATTTTACTGAAACAAGTAAGAGTTTTAAATAAGATCATAATATGATTTTATTTATATTGTTCCCGCTAGCTATAATGTGGAGTAGCAACAATGTCGAGCCATTGTCGACCGCAGTCGGTACCCGCTGGCCAAAACAAGGTCGATCATCTTGAACAAGGTCGATCACAAAACGCTGTTTGTTATTTTCTATATCTAAACGTACAAACAGTACGTAGAGCACAATTGTTTTAACGCATAATTGCGAATAAAAACCTGTAAACACAAAACAGGCAGCCTGAGAAGGTGACATGAGTTCCTTGATGCGCACAAGACTCTGCACGTAACAAATCAGCACATGGTCAGTTATAAGCACAACTATCAAATTCAATTGAAGTTCAAGACATCTAGTTAACAATACGGCAGAACCGATAATGTGTTTTATTCATAAATGCAGTAGCCGTACGAGAATTCATCCAGTGCGTCGGGTTTCCTCTCACTGTCAATTTATTTCATCGGAATTCCCCTAAAAGCATGCATTGCAGTGGTTATGTAGATGTATTTGTACTAGGCCAATTTAGTATACATATAATTATAGTAGAAGTCAACTCACTAGGCGGCTAGCTTTTATAAAAGTCAACAAAATTTTCTGGATGTGCACCTCTCGTCCTAGCTGTATACCCATATTACTGGTATATCATTAATGGTTAACATACGTAGTTTCTCGTGCGTTTGAACATTTTCAGTAGATCAAGGCACATGTTAATCACCTTGAGAATACGCCGACTGTGAGGTCTTTAATGGCTGATAACTTGGCGTGGCGGTAATAACAGTAGCCGGATGTGTGGTGTGGATGACCAAAGGAGGACTAGACTCCAATGTCGCCGCCGACTGCGGCCAGTGGTTGGAGATGAAATACTTGTAGATCAGTGCGCCAAGCAGTGCACCCAGATGCGGTCCGATGACCTTTGCAATAAATATCGGAAACGTAAATATTTATCCGAAAATGTAATGTAGGTTTATTTACGCGCCCATTGACTGCCAGTTTCACTTACCGGGATCCAGAACCAGTTGTAATCTCTGATGCTAAAGGGCATGTGTCCCCATCCAGCCATGGCAGTAAAAATGCGCGGACCTACAAATCTCCCGGATTAGCTTGCGTCGTTGCAAAGTTTTTTCGCATCCATTAAATAAATTCCAACGTTTCGTGCTTGATTACCAAGGTCTCGAGCAGGATTAATGGGATATCCGCAGTTGAAACCAAATGCCAATCCGATTGCTGCGATTAGTAAACCGACCAGAATTGGCACCACTCCTGCAATTGGCATAAAACAAAAACTCTGAATCTTCCTTATTTAAAAAATCAGTTTGCGAATACATTCGAAGCTGTTGTATATGACGGACCTTTATGAGGATTTGTATTGCGCTCATCGGTCAGTGCTAGTACTCCGATCATGAGTAGCATCTGTTAACACAGTGATTCGTGTATGATCTTGTTGAAATTACACAAAATATGATTAGGCACAGCAAAACAATACAGCACAGCAATACTTACTGTTCCAAAAATCTGAAAAATATCGTATATCGTTAGTACATACATATAGCAGCAGAAGTAATATTCGTTTATTTCTTTAATGTGTATCGGCCTACTTGATCGAAAAAACCATTTCGCCAGCTGAGAAATTCTTGAGGGTACGATGCAAAAATTCCTTGAACAAAGATGGCACTTTATGATGCAAGTTTTATTAATTTATTAATTTTTGTGTTCCGGAAGCAATATAGCATTTTCGACTACGTAGCTGAGACTAGTCAAGATCCGTTACCGGCGGTTTTCGTGTCCAGTTCCCGAGATATGTTTGTGAACTGTTCGTAACTCTTTAATGCATCTAAAGCAAGTTCAAACAAAATTAGCAAATAAGTCACTACACTACATTTCTTAAATGCCAAAGAACATACCGAAATAAACCATCATAATAATGGCTGATCCAAACCAAGCACCGATATACTGGGCAGCAATGTATATCGGTACCCTACGCCACTGCAGCTTTCTTAAGCAGGCGAAGGCGACGCTAACAGCGGGATTCAGGTGACCTCCTGTTTTGAACAACAAAAAGCTATATATGCTTCATGAAAAAATCTAAATTGCTTTTATTGATTTTACCGCTGACTCCGCCGCTAACGTAAACTCCAAATGCCACCGCCAGTCCGTACGCGATGTTGATGCTGAAGAAATCGTTAACGCCACCGGTTGGTCTGCAAAAACACGCGGCTGCGACAATCCAGCACAGTATAGCACTAAGTGCAAAATGACGCAGTATTAAAACTCTGGCTGTGCAAATACAGCTCTAATAAATTCGGCAAATGAAACAGTGACCTTAATAAAGATTTCTAGGGAAAGCGGTTGCTTTTCTCGTAAAAATTCTCTTGTGGTGTACAAATGTTTAGCTCGATATTCCTCATGACACTAAATCGTTTCGACGGTGTGTGTACTGCTTGTGCTGTTATTGTCCAGCTACTGCAACGAGTCATTATGCTGAACACATTCCCAGTATATCTATATGCGCAACTTAAATTTAAATGCAAAAAATCTTATGTGATTTTTTTTTAGCAAAGTATGGTCTGTATTGTGAGCAAAACTTACTTGCTGAGGACAACTTCCGCAACCGCACCATTTCCGAACACCTGAATAACAGAACAGAAGTGACGAGAAATCAAACAAAACAAAGTAAAGCCAGGAATATACTCCGTACACCGAAGAAGAATACATAACATGCAATATTCCGTACGGATGTAGTTGCATGTGGGACTACAATTTACTGTATTAAACTCACAATTAGAAAAGCGGTAAAGGTTCTGCAAAAGCGTAATTTTCTCTACTATTTTTTTAAAAGCATGAGGTGGTGGTATTGTACTAAAGAATGCAAGGTGGGATAGTACTAAATGATGCCCAATAGAAATCCAATTCGATACGTTATAATATTGCAATCATTAATTTATATCAGAATCATATAAAAACGTCCTTGTTGTAACAAAATAAAAGTAAGTCTGTGCAACCGCGCGCTCAAGAAAATAATTGAATCACCCCAGAAAATAATTCTTCAAAAAGTTGTACTTATGGAAACTTTGATATCGCGCCCCGGTGCACAAGCCTTTTTTAAAGTTTGTAACCAAAACTGGTTTAGATATAACTATATAAATATAACCGGTAGAGGGTATGCACGCCGCGGTCACAGTAGTTTGTTTTATTCAGGCGGCATAATACGCGTAGTTTTTTTGCATGTCTGGTTTTAGCTTATCGGTAATTGTTATCAAGATAGCTATCACGTATCCTGTTCACGATCTCCAAGTATTAATGTTGTTTATGATCGCATTGTATTGTTATGTGTTTTTATCGCAGGCCTTAAACTATTCACTTATGCAAAAATCTTGCAGTCGTATATAAGGCAGAGGTCGTTTCTTATCAAATTTGTAGAATTAAACGGTAAATTCTCGTCTGTTTTGAAATGAGCAAGCTTCGATGATGTGATAGTCAAACTCTTAAATCATTTGGCACTTACGATCAGAATGAATGTGCCCAAAAACTCTGCCAAAAATTCTCGAACGTAGTCGTTTTTGAAGAGCTGCATGTTTGACTTCCGGTTGTCTTTTAGTGCTTGAACGTCTTGCCGGTTCAGGTCTTCAACAGCTGCTTGAAGAGCAATGTGGTCCACTTCCAGCCGTCGCCGACCACCTTCTGTGGAATAAACCGATCTAAGGGTATTGCGCTAGCACTTTTCGAACTAAAACTAAGAAGTTAGCGAAAGATTTTAAACGCAGAAGGTTTTCTTAAGAGCATTCTCGATATTCTGTATCGAAATTTGCATTTCTTTCAAGCATTAAAACTAACAATATCGTAACCATATGTAATTGACGAATTAAAGCGCACGTCCCGCTTCCACAATGTGTTAGCAATAATTGATTGTACCGTTTGGTATCAAGAATCATGCATCTCCTTCCCAGATTAGGCTTTTAAGACATTTATCCACGGACTGGATCAGATCACGCATCAGTTATTGTTAAATGTGGACGAGCACATAAGCCTTTTCGTCGAAATGCACTCAGCAGTGTTGGCTCTCTATGATTAGTGCAGGCGTAATTATTCGGAGTTTCCAATGGGAAAATGGCTTCTTTAATACACTACGAACACTATAATTGCCTTGTATAAAATAAAAAGCGTGAAAATATTTCCGGTCTGTACATTGACCAGAAATCCCACTGTGCTAAGACTTCCGATAGGTCATTCCGAAGACTCACACATTGAACTTTGACAAGACAGCCAAGGAGCACACCGCCGGCCGTCCGAAGAAATATATATGCAACCAGCAGATGTTAATCAGTTGGCTATATTATGAGAAACCGGGGCTTAATGAGTCAAAAACAAGGCATTAACATTCAGAACCATGACATGCATGTGATGAATGTTGCGTTTTTGACAGTGACACCGACATCCAGTGCTAACTGCATATATGCGCAATTCGGGGCGTTTGTTTCCCTTTTCATTTCTCCACCGTTTACATATAATACAGTGCAGTGCACATATCCGTACCTTACCCTGAACTTCTTCAGCACGCAACCGGATACGTTGACCGGGTGCGCTGGATGCCGGCATGTTTTGTGCAGTTGGGGATCTCGTTACGGGATCCCTAATACGCATCGATTGGGACTATCCACCCTAGTGAAAACATATGTACATATACCCGCCGTTAACCTGGCTAGTCAACTTAATTCCAGGCCGGGTCGATATGGATTGTGTTGTGGATATATATGCTCATGAGCCCGGAGAGAAATTGGGAAGAAATACAAAAGAAAGCGAGTGCTTAGCATGTACTATACATCTACATAGTAGATTATAGAGATGTTATAGGCTGCCCAAATGCTATGCCACGACTACGATAGAGAATCTTCATTCATGTGTAAATGGAGCATCAAAATATGGTGGTTATCCCGTTAAGCTTATTTCCACCAGGAGCAAAATAGGTCATTTCAATTTATCCTGCGTGCTGCACAGTGAATCGGTAGCTTTAGTGCTGTAGTGGGTATAGTACGCACAAGATGGATCGTGATTAGTTCGCACTTTAAGAGACGGTTTATAAAATTAAAGCAAACCGGCATGTTATTGGGATGAGCTGGATGTGGGCCGGGTGTACACGTACAATCATTTATCAGCCATTTTCAAGATGCTATCGCAGATTCATGAATGTTTTATTAGTATAGCCAATCCTATAGTGATTACTGCACCAATTTACAACTGTGCAAAGCGATCGTCAAGATCGGAAACGACTTCGTCACGCCTGCTAGCATCAACATCAGTAGCTAGCATCAGTAAATCAGCTGATAATTAATCCAGTTGAAACTGCAATTTGCTACTCAACCTACCACCAAATTAAAATTACGAATAGTTACATATTTAATTCGTATAGTGCCTGGGAAGCAAAAATTTCTCCCGTCCTGCGTAAAATATTGCTCTGCAGGGCAAATGCGGTTTCATTGCTTCAGTAAATTTCGTTTCATGTGCATGTTTACGGTTGTTATATTATAATTTTATAGGTCATTTTTGTCGCATCGTGGGTTGCTTCGATCCATGTACTTCTATATCACTTACTGTCATAGGCAATTATATGGTGAGTGTAAAATTTTTCACAGCCTTTTTAGCACCGCTTGAGTAATTTATCATAATGCATGCTTGCGCACCACGATTGTACAGGAAGCATATATATTAATGTTAATTTCCTTTTCCCCCATTTTGTAATGATTTTCTAACAAACGATTAAATGATTTAAATATTTAGAAATGGTTAGTTTATGGATTCTTCGCTAGCTTGATCATATCAAAGAAATGAATTACAGATTACAGTTTACATCACTGTCGTCTTGTTCGCTACAAAGAACAACTTTTGCTACAAGGCCTTGGTGAGAAAACCGGTCGATCAGGTTTTATTCAAAAGAATTGTTATTGCACATACGGAATACAACTATGCATGGGCTTGTTCATTATCTACTAGTCAACCGGTAAAATATTTAACGTGCTGTTGTGTGGAAAAAAGGGGACCATTTTGGCAGGTATAGGAAGGAAATGCAATACAAAGTAAACTCAGCAAGGTGCATGCGTGTGAAATTGTCGTAACAGAAAGGTCTTAGTTTTGGTCATTTATACAGAGTGTAACTTAACAAACTGCCTATACAGCAGCTGTGTTATTGCCAAACATAAATTGTTGGTAACTGGACCGGCCACTTGAAGCGAACATGGAGAACTTTCTTGTCCGAGTTGCACCAGCCACCAACGTAGACAATTTATCACACAATACCACTATAAAGCACACTACGGCATCCATGATACAGCGGCTAATCTAATGCATTAAAAACGTGGTGTTAAAGTATAAAGTGGCAAGGAATTAACGCATGCGCAGACGATGGACAAAATTAATCCATCCAGTTAGACGGCATTTTTTCGTCGATATAATCATTACCAGTACATAATAACATCTACCTACGTGGCTCTTACAACGGAAATGATTCACTTACTTTAATTGCTATTTGTATGTTCTCAAGTCTCAAAACCAAGACTAATCTAAAACGCCCTTGGCGAAGTTAGTCGCGCGTTTGAGCCATTGCCGGAATTTCGCATATGAGTGCAGTATTGTCCAAAGCCGGTTCACAAGCTGATTGGATCAAATCACAGCAGACACCTGTGTATTGTACGCAGAATACCAGAGTAGACAATTATATGGTATCTTGCAATACAGCCCAACGAAATTTCCAAGAGTACCGATACTAGTACTAGTGCCACTATTCAACAAAATTTTCACGGCAAATAAAGAAAAACCAATTCCGGTATCAAATGCTTTTAGAGCGGCATTTGAGTTCTGCAGGCTGCTAACCGATGCCGGCTGTTTTCTTACGATCTGAAAATATCTTCGGTTTTTAAGACCTCATTAACTCTGCCGGCTAAGTACACCCATTTTTGTAACCGAAAGTTCAGTACAGCCACCACCAAGCTATCAGTCCATCTGGGAAAATCCTTGGATTACGCTACACAAGTTAAAAGTTCGGTAGGTAGCAAAACCATTTACATTACTGCATACGTGATACTATTACCGTTTTTTGCAAACTTGATCTTTAAGCAAGATAGTTTTGTGCCCATAAAGCTGTACCCATAAAGCATTTATACGAGGGATTTATACATAATCTGAGCGCAAAAAAAGTAACGATCGGCCTATTTGGAGCGAGAGTGTTTCGTTTTTTTTGTTGCTGTACGTATATGCAATCACTCCATCCATATTTCTTTTCCGGCGCTCACTGCAACCGGAAGAACATCTACTGCGGCTAGTTGATTGCTAAATTGCTGTGGAACTGGCAGAACAAACTGTGACTTTTACTATTTCTTGTACAGAACGATCGCAGGCAGTACTAAGTTCCTCTAACGAGTAAATGATGCTTTATTTAGAAAAGGAAGATCGAGTGTATATGTGTAAAAATTGACAGATGTGCGTGACAACGATAACAGACTGACTTTTTTGCTAGATGTCCATGATATATGTTCGAAAATTCAAAGCAGTTAGAAGTCCAAGATGCACATGCACAATAATTAGGGTGCTCAATTTTTGCAGTACATTTACTGTATTTGCTTATAAACCACATAATGCAATATAAGATAATCTTTGGGAGTTAGACAACATAAATTTTATTTTGTTTGTTTGCTGTAAAGCACATCGTTAAAAACATAAAATGTGAACTTTCGATAGCTACAAAGCCAGGTATACAACTTCGTATTCTCTATAAATCATAATCCAGTTTTGGTCAACACTCTTAATAATATATATCATGCAAAGGCATTTCCAAATTAAAAAAAAATATTCTACAATTACATTGTAATTTATGGCATACCATAGCTGGAAGAGCCATATTAATCAATAAGCTAAATTAGTCGGTAATTTTTGACTTTGGGCGTTATGGAATTCGAACTGGCCTCAAATAAATTTTCTTCGTATATATTATATATAAGTATACGAGTTTTAAGTCGAACTAGTTGAGTTGGGGCCTCGCCTAGTGCGGATTCTTGTTCGAGCTTAAAATTGACCATCATATTTCTTGTTTATCTGACCTTCAGCAACTGTTAAGGTCAGTCACTCGGACTGCTAGGGTATTATCGGTTAATGCTATATGTGCAATACAGAGCAGTGCTGTAGGTCAGAAATTTCGGGGTGTTTCGCTAAGGGAAAATTTTTCTGCTGTATATCTACAGTGTACTTCACCACCATATTGCATAAATATTTCATACACAGGGTAATTTTCTGCTGATAAGCTAATATCCATTTATCTTATTTGGCATCCAAATAAACTTTCCCCTTGGCTCTATGGGCTCTTCTTTCCTTTTTCAGTGCACTTTCGTGTACGCGAGCAGTCTGCCAGATTCTTTTCTGACCCGTGCTAACTTCTCGGCATTTGGAACTTGTCCTCTCCTACAAACTGTGATGTGAGAAAAATATTTTTATCCATCAACAAGCGTGCTGTATGTGTGTGGGGGCGCATATTATTTTTGTTATAAGTACCAAAGTTTGTGGACCAAATTCCAATAGGAATCTTCTGCACACGTACCGGGAGAGAAGTTCATTACTGTTTTTTGTCTATAATAATTGCACAAACCCACTGCCTGATCACGATCCCTCCAGCCGCGCTACTAAAGCCGGTCAAATTCTAAAAACACATACAAGAGATTAAGCGGACGTTTACTAGAACATTCTCATTAAAGGCTTGCGTTACATTGGTCATCGAGTAGCAGCACGCGAGGCCGCCCACCAATTGCGCCTTACAGTTCAAAAATCAAAAACGCACGAAAAGTATTTGGATCATGAGCCGAAATCTCCCTGTTGCAGCCAGCAGCGACGACGTCGACAACAGCTACGATAAGGAGCATAGTACAACCACCGATCGACCGGCTTCACACACATACGTACGGGACATTGACGACGACGGTGTCGATAGACCGGCAGTTGCGGCAACAGCCCGAGAACACAACATTCCCATTCGCTTAACACACCAACCTGCTACGGGACCGGCACCGATTCCATTAGCCAGTCGATACCCCAGTAATTTTATTCCATCAACAGTCACTGCAGCTCCATCTGAAAAGGTGCCCTTTTTAACCAGTCAAGACCGCAGCAACGCTCCTCTTTATCAGACTAGCCCGAGCGATCCCGGTAGGCTTGCGCTAATTAGGACACCGGATATGTCGAAGGAATTGGAACCAGTCAGTGTCACCTGGCAAGGTAAACTTGCCAGGGCTACACGGATTCGCAATGTGTTTGCGCGGGACTTCTTAGCCGAATTCCTGGGGAGTTTCATTCTCATCGTAAGTATCCGATGCCACTAATACAATATTAATCTTGGCTGCGCTAACCTGGACTGATTATTTATCGTCAAAAAGTGCAAGCTAACGACCGGTGTACCGATTTTTAAAGCAGAGAAGCTTTTTAGCAATTGTACAGTACTCGGTGACAATCACAATTTTACTTAATTATTGCTTGACATAGTCGTGCGCATACAGTCGATATCTTTGCTAAATGCTACCGTGCTAATTACGATCTCGTTAACTTTTCAAAAGCTGCAGTATCAACATTTTCGATTTTTGTTGGCATAAAATTTGTGAAAATTTAATAGTTCGTCAATTGTATGTGCTCAGGCTTCTGAATTTAGCGAACGTGGACTCAAAAACGGTACGAGCGCCGGTGCTGACTATATTATTGCTATATCGGTTGGGTTGTTGCTTATCCACTAAGTTCGCAATACTTTTTGCAGCAAAAGTTGATAAAAATTGCAGAAATCCGTTTTCCACCTATTCCGTCTGTTTCTCCTTCATAATTTACTTTTCTTCTACCTGTATGGCTGTTTGTAACTTTCAATTTGTTGAATTTGTATCATTCGCATTTTATTAATGCAGTGTTGCAGCAATGATCCAACCATATCAATCTGTTTTATACCACGTACCAGGTTTGGCAGCGGAGATTTAACGATTTTTATGTATACGTAAAGTTATGTTCATTTTGCTTTTTAAAAATTTTAAAAATCATTGCTACAGGTACGCTTTTTGTAATACGGTGCATGTGCTAATTTGCAGGTGTTCGGCAACGGCGCCGTCGCTCAATCCGTTCTCAGCCGGTATGTTGTTTGATTGGCTATTTGTCAATGTAATCGCAGCTGTCTAGTTTGTTTTGGATATTGTTGATAAAAAGATAACTAAGAGATAGAACTTTGTACAATATAATACCCCAGCTCAAGCTGTATAAGGGTTACATACTGTACATGAGCGGTAATTACCGTGACTTGCTTTTGCAGTAAAGACGGTGGAGATTTCTTCTCCATTAACGTGGCATACGGTCTGGCTGTTGGTTTTGGTGTTTACGTCGCGGGGGGAGTTTCAGGTTGGTACTGATAGCATTTCCGGTGAATAACTCACTGCCAACGATAAAGAGATTCTGCAAGGAAAACCACTTTATGTAATTTTTAATAGCTGGCCTACATTTTAGCTAAATCCAAATTCTGCGTGTTCCTCATTTCAGTGTTGACAAGAATAATCTAGCTTTGTAAGCGACATAGAAATAACTGGTGCCGCCATCATATTTAATTCAGTACTTCCAGTCTTTAACTCGCGCAGTTTTGGTTAAAAAAATTTATTATTACTGTATCGAAAATTGGCAAATAAATATACATACATTTAATTCGATCTCCCAGGAATTTGCTGTCTTTGACGATGATGATGATTACCTTACACAGCTCGCACTCCACAGTCAAGCTTTAAGCCTTACAAAACAGATTTTCGTTGTTCGTTATTGTTGTTGCCTGTCATAGGTCGCAAAATTGTATACGTCGCTAATAATGCTACCACCCTTCTGGGGAGTACCGGAGCAGAGACTTTTTATCTGAAATCGTTTATTCTGTGTTACTTGTAATAGGATAATTGCTCGTAATACGTAATACAACAAATTAAATAGTTACCTTATTCAGGTGGTCATCTTAACCCCGCTGTGTCCCTTGCCTTCGCCTTGAAAGGCGCACTGAAATGGGTAAAAGTCCCGATTTACTGGCTGGCGCAATACCTTGGATGTTTTGTGGGTTCCGCTGTTATCTACGTAATCTATATCGACGCTATGAATGATTTTGATAAAGGTAAACACGTACAGAATATATATACTTCTACAAATAAATATGTGAAAACCTTGCAAGTCAAAATATTATGACATATCTATAAATACAGAATTTTGCCCCATTTCATGCTTACTAGTCTGTTGATTAACCTACGAGAACTGGTTAAGGAAAATTCACAAACGCTTTTTTTCTCGATTGTAAAAATTTAGGGAACACTTTGGAATTTTTATCCGGTTTTGTTGTTCAGGAACTCGGTATACCACTGGAGAGAATGCTACTGCTGGCATCTTTTCTTCCTATCCGAAAGGATATCTTGACTGGCGTGGCGGTTTAGTGGATCAGGTAACAATAATTGTATTAATTGGACAGGTGTTACCTTTTCATTTAAATATTAGTAAATTCATAATTTTTAAAGTTTGTTTACAAAACTATCTGCACATAAAACCCAGTCTTAGTTGTTATTAACCAATCATATGATGATTTTGTCATTCGAAAAGCAGTATCCGTACGAGTACTTGTGCTCGTCATGTCCATTTACCGAATAAGACACTTTACACTGTTTGTTGCGCGCCTTGCTCACTGCCGCGTTGCCAGTATTTATTGTTAGAGTTAGTACTGTTGTAATTGCGATGAGTCTCGAGTGTTACAATAGCTGAAATTTTTGGGATATTAGTAAGTTGAATCATTGGGTACAGTTTTGAGAATTGTCGGGGATGACGAATTATTTAATACACATGCAGTGTATTCATACTGCTCTAGATCTCTGCATGCAGACTATGCAGTACATGTCTCGTATGCATAATCTGCAACAACATCAGTATCACTGTTATAAGAAAAAACGTCTGTCTTGCAGATCTTTGCCACAAGTTTCCTAATGCTCGGTAAGGTTACTGCTCTCCATGATCACCTGCACGTACAGTACAGTATACTTGTGTAATGAAGTTTCAAGAACGTAACCAGAAATATTTCTTTTCAATCGCTTTCGTTGCTTCGCATTTTAGCAAAATGGAAATTTAGTTTTTTTGTGATCATTATATTAGGTATTCTTGCGCTGACTGATGAACGGAACATGGCTCCGTAAGTATGCACTATGCAGTACTTATACAATTAATAATAGTGACATGCTACATTTTTTGACATCTTTTTGTGGTTTTTTACACCTTAATAATAGGGTAATAATTTCTGTTTGCAGGCACAAGGGCGTTGTTCCCATCTTGGTTGGCTTACTGGTCACCGTCATTGGGCTGAGCTACGGATACAACTGTGGTTATCCCATTAATCCCGCTCGTGATCTCGGCCCTCGCATTTTTACGTAGGTCATTCGTTCCATTCCCGCTAGCGCTGCTAATGGGGACTAAATCTAACTTATGTAATTCGCTTTTGCAGAGCAATGGCGGGATGGGGAACTGACCCGTTCAGGTATATAATAGATAGTTTAAATAAAAAGCGCTAACACCAACTGAAAGTTTTTCCGACATTCTTCTCGCAGAACGAGCGAGATGCCAGACTGTAAAATACTGATTTATTTTCTTGTGACGATTATTATCATTGTAGTGTTATTGATAGTTAAGGATTTGTATTTTTAATACAAACTTAAAAGTGGTATTCGAAAGCTTCTTATAGAAAATAAGTGTTTTACTCTTATTTGTAATTAGTTGTTTCCGTCTTTCTGTGTCCGTTAGGCTTACAATCAGATCTTGTTTGCTGTGTTTCCGTTACAAACTGGCTTCCTTTCTAGCATAACCTGATGTGCAGTTAATTTATCGTTTTAAATGAGACATTTCTTATTACCGTGCCATGTTTGCAGCTTCAAAGACCACAACTGGTTTTGGGTCCCGGTAATTGGTCCGCATCTGGGTGCCATCTTAGGCCTGGGACTGTACCAAATCTGCATTGGAAACCAGTGGCCAATTCTCCAGCGCACCGGCATTGAACTACAGGTAAGCGCTCCGTTGTCTTAACAGTTTACTTTCAATTTCCATACTCGAGCATGGTTATTCGAGAACCGGTTATACTTATCCAACATAAAATACGTATTTATTATTTAGGTTTTCATAAAAATGGCTGCAAATGTAGTGTCAACTTCAACACAAATGCAATATAGCCGAAAACTGGCTGCCTAATATAACTTGGCTTTTACAGGTTGTTCGCAAAGCTGACGAGTACGAACTGGTTAAAGCCAGCCATGTGACCCCGCACGACGCAACGGTTCCCGTTTCCTTCCGTACGGACGATGAACAGACCCAGCGTCTTCTGACAGTGCGATAACGGAAACCGAAATACTTTGACAATTCAACAAATGGCGCTAAATTACAGATCTTAACACACTAGGCATCTCCAATCCAATTGGATGCACTACTCCTTTCGTGAAAGTACTCAAATGTTGTTTAGACCAATCTATGCCCGAATTTTTACGTCTAACCGGCACCTTTTTGTCGCATTTTTAACTTTTTATGCATTTTTGTTTTTCTGGGTTCTTTGTATCGTAGTGAAAATTCTATTTCTGTAGCGAGGATATGCAATATTCAAATTTATTATAGGTTTCATTTTTATTAACAAGTAAGCAGCATGCCATGCGATTAGGTATTACGTTAGATGCTACGGTAGATGCCTTTGAATGCCACCCGGTTGTATTAGTGCATGTCATGTGGAGGAAGTTCTCGTTATTGGTTATACCCGCAAAGTTATCATTTGCGGTTGACGAATTGCTGCCTTTTTAAACTGGATGTTGTTTTGTTGTCGTTTGTTATTTGCTGTCATAAATAATAAAGTGTTCGCACACAAAACTGCGCATTAAATGTGCATCACTTGGACAACCTGGAGAGTAGTGAAGACATTTCCAAGGTCCCAACGTACTCTACAGCTGTTCGTGCACTGAATATGGCTTTTTGGCCCATACATCATATCAGGTTATACGGGATGCAGAGAAGAACGTTTCCGGTACTTTCCCGATTTAGGTCACAAACTGGCTAAGGATTTTCATTGAATTATGCCATCTTGACAACAATGGTAGCTGTGTCTATAATTCGTCCGAAGTACAATCGCATTTTTTTTATTTGAGTACCGATTTTTAATTCATTGTTAACAAAATTGCATTGTCTGCTAGCTAGCTATAGATCTACAACCCAATATGAATAGATACAAGTAAAGCAAATCTTCACGATCCAGAGGAATCAGCCTAAACTGCACAAATAGTATTTTAAATTTTTATAGTTTCGGTTTTTTATAAGCAATGCTGTGGTCCACGGTTATATCGTAATGAAATGGTCCAGCCAGTCGCAATGAACCCATAATTGTGTGACTACAACTGGATGGTATTGTGCAACAACGTACTTACGTTAGCAATACAACATTTCAGCTTTTAAAACGTTTCAGTTCTTCCAGAATAAGGTACGTAGTTATTGCATACAAAAGGTATTTAAACTATGTCATAATGATATCATATTGTTTTTCCTGATTGGAAATAATTTTATATACTCTTATTAATTTTATCGTTCACCTTTTATTTCCTGCTGATGCAGTCAATAATAATATTATTATAAGGAATTTTTGATAAAACTGTGCCCGCTTAAGGAATAGTAGGAGCGAAGATTCTGAACAGCGTCCTAAATGTTTGTGTACTCAGCAACTTTAATGAACTAGACTGAACTAAACGAAACATCATTCCCAAAACCGTAAAGACTAATACGAAAATTGACAATATAACTAAGAAATCGTTATAATTACAGAACACGCAAATCAGTACTTCAGTATGTAGGAAGTATTATATGGTGAGGGTTTCGGATATGCTGGCCGCGGGTCACAGCGGGTGTACTGTAACGCAACAGATAACGCAACCCGGCACATCACTTTAGTACCTAAACTGGAGTCCTTTTGGACAGCTAGTGGTTTTCCGCGATATCAGCTAAGTGGACATCGGACTATCGGATGAAATTTGGATTTTGACCTTTCGGTTTAAGATGCAGTTGTTTGCCGGAAACTACGATTTTGGGGGCTGCGCCGATATGGTTTTCCATTTGGACGCTCACTGCCACATTGAAATGCAACGCTGCAGCCCCATCCCTGTAAAAACCGGTTCTGAGATAACCGACGTATCTTGTACCAACATACGATGTGTACGCAGACACACGTACCGTATCAGCGCATGCGAGGCAGCATTCCTGGCCTTGTGGCTTGTGCAGGAATTATTTATTCAATTGATGAGCCAGACTTGATTGCAAATTGGTGATTATTTCGCACTGAGCTGCCGCAGCTGGCTTTCTGAAGTTTGCTTTCCGCGCGACCGAATCGCAACGTTGGCATATTTTATGATTGCCAGAGTACACACAGGTCAGACCTTTTCTGTGACAAAGACTTGGGGACTGCCTAGCTGGTGCCTGCCATTGAAATAGTTGTTGGACGAGAAGTTTTTCAGTTCTGTAGTTAACCGGTTGCGTTCACTGTACCATCCTGCCACTAGTAAACTGACTTTATCTCTTCTGCAGCCTTATCCCAACCGTCCGCGGACTGATCGGAGAAGATGTTGCGGATTTTTGTTTGCCTTTTGGGACTGCTCCTCGGAGCGTCCCGGAGTGGAGCTCTGAATCCATCGTTTGACAAGGAAACCTTGGCTCTTCAGGTTAGTACTTGCGTTTTTTAGCCTGAAGGCGCTGTTTAAAATGAATCAGTTAAAAGCCGGCCAAAACTTGCGGTTTATCAATTTGGGTGTCGGTTTTTGTGCGGTTTATAATTATTAACATTCAACAGATTTAGATTTCTCTTTATGTATAGTTATTGTAACAATGTATTAAGTGAAATAAGTTGTACAACCCTAATTTGGCCCAGAATTATATTTACCGTTGGGGAAATTTTGCAACCAGTAAATAAAAAAATTTTGAATTTCTTTTCTGTGAAATCGTGTTCTGATCTGAAAAACCGAATGCAGCAAGGATTTATACATTTTATAGAGAATTTCATTCATTTTAGTTTTACTTTTTACGTAAGTAATTTAAAGCAGCTTGGTATTGTAACTACGAGCACTGTTTTTGTTCTTTATTTATCAGATTTCTTTAAGGTGTGTACTTGTTGCGAATGTTTTGGTAAGTTAAGATTCTGTGTAATAATTTTGGAATTGTAATAAGTACTTCTGCTCCCAGCCGGCGAAAAATATACAGCATCATTATTTATTTTAAGTTCGGTATGCAGATTTCGCAATTTCCTTCCACTTATCAGAGTAGCGTTATCGCTGCCAGGCGCACTGCAGCTGTTCTGTTATCTTCGTAGATAAGTGGTGTATATGGTTATGTAAACATTAAGATATACAAATATAACGAAATTTCTCAGTTTTAAGTGTAATGTGGCAATACATATGAACCAAGTGATAATTTTACCGAACTATGACGCCAAAATATTTTATCAGTTGCAACCATCACGCTTTTGTAATATTTTTTTAAAACAACTTTTTTGGTTATCTGTTCGGTTACTCTGTAGCTGGCTGATTTTAAACTGAAAGTACGAGTAATCTTGCATGCGTTGCTATATGAGAAGCTAAACTAAGAAGAGCTCTGCAATTGTAATATTAAACGAGTGTTAAGTAATGTGATTAACTTTTGTCTAGGTCGCAATGACAGATTGGAAATCAAAAGATTCGATCCACGAGCTTATTTCGGTTATGCAAGACCAAATCCCGATGACTGTATCTCCGAAATGCAACAGTGCCGTTAGAAATTTTGTGTTCGACCTCATGCAGAAAGAAATGTATGCCGTCAGAATGGTAGACGCATTCGGGAAAACTCCTTCCGGATTAAGTAAGGCTGCGTCTTTGTTGTTGTTGAATATCACCTTGACTTGGAAGGCTGGCTGTGAATGTATGTATGTTCTAGTGTTGGGGCATCTACTTATTTTTGGACACTTTGACCAGTGTCTGGGAGTGAGAAGATTTAACGCGACGACCGGACAGGATGAGCAGGCTGCCAACTATTGTTTGGTCCGTCTGCACGAGCCATCCATCGCTGCTCGATTGCCAGCGCTTCCTGCTTATGGTGCTTGTCTTCCACTCGAATGTGCCAATCCATCTGACGCCGAAGGTTTCGTCACCGGGCTCTTCAAGCCTCTGCGAGCGGCTGCTAACCTGAATGCTGTCCAGGTACTTATTTCAGGAAATAAAAGCACATTTTTATGTTCTCCTAAAAAGTTGGTGCAGTATTAACATACGTTAACAAATTCTCTGCAATTTCCAAAGGGTATCTGTGTCACGCCGTTGGCGAAAACCCCGGGATTCTACGTCATGATCTCAATTTGCGTCCTGATTTTGATCGTGGTAATTGCCGCTGGCGTGGTCCATTGTGCATTTCGCCGAAGATACGACACAGGAAAGGGCTTGAACGGCACGGAGATACCATTACAACAGCCGTCTGTAGAGATCTACACCCAGAAAACAGCAACAAATGGAACCACTGTCGTGCAGCACACTGAAATCACTAAGAAGCCGAAGTTCGGTTACGCTAACATCCCTACTTTCCTTCGCCCGCGTAAGTCTTGGAGTGTCTCTGCGCTCCAGAGGATGCTCTAATCGGTATAATTGCAGTTTTATGTTTCCACATTCCGACGAACCTTTCCTCAATTGGAGCAATGGCCGGTGAGGGTGAAATTGCCTTCCTACATGGGTTTCGAGTGTTGAGCATGTGGTGGATCGTGAGTAGTACTGAATTACCATGGTATTTTGTTTCGAATAAGGATAATAAAATCTACGTGGTTTACAGATTCTTGGTCATACTTACTATCTGGGAATGAATTTCGTCGGTATGTGCTGTTCGAAAATTATTCCGTGCTGGTCTTTTGCAGCCGGTATGGAATGGTGTCGCTGATAAATATTTATGTTTGCAGCAAACCGGCTAATGCTTTACTTCAAGGCCCGAACTCTAACCTTCCAGCTGATTCTCAATGCTGGTTAGTCCGAAAGATTTGCTTAAAAATGTAGCTGTGTGGTTTATGGCAACGAAATCTATGTTTTCCATTTGTTAGTAGTACGTTCTCGTTCACCTTTAATTGCAGTTTCTTATACTTACTGTGCTCACAACCAGCTGTATTTCTTGTAGGATATGCTGTGGATAGCTTTTTCCTCCTGAGCGGATTGTTGATAACGTATGTGTTGGTGCGGGAGCTGACGAAAAACAATGGGAAATTGAACTGGATTGTGGTCTATTTTCATCGTTGGTGGCGGTAAGTTAAGACGCAGATTACTTACAACGCAAGCCGCATGACTTCTTCCAATCAAACTGGCGTTTATTGAGCTGTAATTGGCATTTGATGCAAGAACATTGCACGCACTCATCAGCTGGTTACACTTTCCGGGCATAATTCCAAATAAATTATCCTGGCGGGTGATCTGGTTAACTGTAGATGTTGTAGATAGTAACCAACGCTGCACCCGGCACAGTTCTTTGATCGTGTGTAGCAGCGATTTGTTTACCACCGTATTGGTTATCTCATCGTGGGGGTGCTTTCGTAATGTTTGAGTGTCAATTGACGGGGCTGTTAGAAATAGCATACGCTGGGATTTTTTGGCAGATGGATGAGTGACTTGTGTCAGAAATAACCGACTCTGCTGACGTTCGAGTCAGGCTTGTTTAATTGTTTATTTTGGGCTAGGCTGACTCCTGTTTACGTTTTCGTCATGATGTTCTACGTGTATGTGATGCCGCACGGAATTGAAAGCCCATGGAAGCTGCTGATTGCTCAACAAGGCGCGCCGACTGAATACTGCAAGAGCTACTGGTGGTCAAATATTTTATATATCAACAACTTCTTCCCAGTGTACAGAAAAGGACAGGTGATACACTGATTTTCGCGAAACTTTTTAAAGCTGTGATAGTCATTCACAACGACATAATTTAATCTTTTTTGTAAATGGAACTGTTACTCGTTTTTTTAGTCATAGCATGACTAATTCTCGTTTTTTTTGTAGTGCATGAATTGGACGTGGTTCCTGTAAGTGTGATGTGGGCACAGTGACTTTATTTTGAAGTGGTAATGATACAATGGTTTTGTCGTTATTAGTGCCCTGGACATGCAGTTCTTCATCATAACTCCGATTATTGTGTTCATTATGTACAAGTGAGTTGATCACTTGTTGTTGCATTTTATAAGTCGTAAAATATGGTGTTTGCCCAGGTCTTACCGTGCGGGAGCAGCAATTGTCGGTGTTATCGTGGTGGCTTGTGTGGCGACAACGATGGCCATTATTGGTTCATATAATCTTCCAATCCACATGTTCCAAGAGTAAAAAAATCGAGGCTGTAAGTTGCGAATTTGTCTTATGTTTGTTGTTTTTTCAGGCCTGTGACGTATAATGTCACGATTCAGAATGCTCAGATTAACGGATCATGGGTTTCTGGCCATCTTGATGGTGCTTTCTATGAAGGGCCGGCTCCGTGGTATATTGAATCGCAATATCCGGCTGTTTACAACAATCAAACCCATAATAACGATACAATTTTGGCCGTGCGAAATTACGAAAAAGATGTGGATTACATGTACGAACCGTATCTCGTAGGACATTCGATTTGAGCAGAATTCATTGATACTGTGACACTGTCTGTTAAATATCGACCTGACGCAAGTTAGCTTTGAACCATTGGTTGTGGGAAATAGATAATAATTTTACCACTTTAAAAGCTTCTTGTATGTAGATGCGCTGATTTACATTATTATTGTTTTATAGTTATGAAAAGCCGTACACGCGCATCACCCCTTTCGTCATCGGCATCCTCCTGGGCTTTATGTTCGCTCGCCGGCCGACGTACAAGTTCTCTAAGGGCGGAAAACTGATTGCGGGTGCAGGATGGTTGGTGAGCACGGTTGTTGCGCTGCTGCTGTTGTTCGGTTTCCACTTGGCCGACCGCTTCAACATGATGCCTCCCATTCAAACCATGAGTCTGAGCGCACGAATCATCTATGGAGGTCTGCAGCGGCTGGGTTGGAGCGCGGTATGCGCCTGGATTCTCTTCGCCTGCAATTATGGTTATGGCGGTTACGTGACCAAGATCCTGTCTCTGCGATTCTGGCGACCGTTCAGCAATTTAACCTACGGGGCGTATTTGGTGCACATGCTGACCCTACAGGTGAAATGTTATGAAGCATTATTTTTATGAGCAGATTACATGCTTGTTGGTTTACTGAAAATATGAATACAATGATCTGGATAATTAATCCTAATTTGCTTTAATAGTACTGTTGATAATGATCATGCAATTGCATCACACAATGTGCTTTTGGAAATTATTGCTATGAAATCTTAAGTAGTAACTGCGAATTGGAAAATTTGTTTGAAACTAGAACGCAGTGAACCTCGATTGAAATTTATTGTGTTTATTTGTAGCTGTATTTTGCCAGCCAGCGTTCTATGATCTTCTTCTCCACAATCAACTTCATCACAGTCTTTCTGTCTCAAATCTTCTTGGCGTATGGTGCTGCCTTGTTCTTTGCCGTGCTGATTGAAGTGCCGCTTCTTCGCCTGGAACGACTGATTCTTAAGAAGACTTTGTAATAGTTATTGCTCATTGAATTTGGCGGCATTTCAAGACATTTGCTTATATTTTTGCCGATCCCTTGATTATTGTTAATCCATGACCTGAAAGGCGCCACATACTCCGTTCGACCCTGTCCAAAATCCGACACCCTGCTCATTATTTTTGTTCTTTTAAGTCGTTTTTGTTTTTTTTCTAAATGTTTTACGCGTGTTTTAGTGTATTTTTAATGCCAGTTGGAATTTGTCTGGATGTTGAGTAGATCATGAACTCTTTTGGACCAAAGTGCCTTTCATTAGCAGTTACATGTTGCAGTGCTTCCTATGTGTTCCCTTTCGTTGACCTTATTTCTCTGCCACTGCTTTTCGGTATCTCGGTATCATCAATCGGTGCTTTAGTTTCTTGTAGCGTTTTGCTGGTTTTATTTAATTATAGGTTAGCAAAGTTGATGGTTTTTTGGCGATGACGAGTTTTCCGTCCCTTATTTTTTGTTATAAACTTGGGGGGTTATGAATAAACAGACATACAAATGATAACATCATCCAGTAAGCTGGCGAAATCTTTTCAACCTGATACCGTAGGTACCTCGTACTAAACGGCAAATACAGGTACAAACAACTTGCATATATTATTGTACCAATGTTCTACCCTTCCGTCGGCGATGTTGATGGGTGATCGACCATTTCGCTGTTACTGTAGTTAAGAGGCAATTAATTCACACTAAACTTGGTAAGTATTGTACTCGTATTTCGCACATCAAGCGTCTCGTATCAATAGCCATGCAGCTACTACAAGTCATATCAACAACAGCATTCAAAAAGTGCTAACCATAAGTCCGAATTATTGCATAAATTGTAAACCATAATGTTTTAGCTTTTGTTATTGTCTGGTTTGAGACCTAGCCAGTAATCAGGACGAAAATTCTGCAGAGGAAGCAGTTCCGGTGCGAGCAAAGCCCATTCGTACCATACACGAGACTTCTCCGGATCACATCGTCGCGCCAAGGAAAAGATAATTTCTTGACCTTTCTTAACAGCTACTTCCTTCGACAAGCAGAAATAAGCGGGAAACCAGTTGGGATCACTGCCGATTCCCACAGTTTGCCGGTCAGGTAAAATATTGAACGAAGCATTCTGAAAAAAATACCATGACTAATTAATAAATAAGATCCAAAGCGTTAAATAAACAACGTTCGTTTTCTGATTTTTCTGGCACAGGTTGTACGAAGCTTAATTTCTTACCCCATATAGGAGCATATCAAAATATCCCGTGAATCCAGTCAGAATATAATCGTCCTCGGCCACAAATTTCAACGTGACATTTCGCTCGTTAGTATGGGGTTCTGGAAATATTTCGTTAAAAAGGCTTAACCAAATCCTGATTACGAGTAAATTTTAGGTATGCAAATCTACTCGTATTAGGGCAACTTTCGTTCGGCTTGCAAAAACCGAATGGACCGGTCTGTGCGAAATGGACCGGAAGCAGTGTAACCATGTATAAATTCAAGATACATATGTTGATATGTACAATCCACTTACCGTAGTTTGGATGCTGGAATCGCCAAGCCTTCTGATACCTCGCAATTGCGGTGAAATTTCTAGGTGACACAATGGCCATCTCGTTCTCCACGCGATATCCTGACGATGTCAGCGTGTGAATGTCCTCCCAATACGGAATGCTCATTACCGGCTGCACGTAACTGTCGTACGCCCACGGAATGGATACACCTTCCGGCTTTAGTAGTCGCTGGGCGCCGTCAATACATCTAAGTACAGTATATTTTAAATTATGCGGTTCAAAACTGGCAAAATTAATTATGATTATTGTCTGTATTACTTCAAGAAACCTACTCAGGGGAGCATTCATTACAAGCCATCGATCCGATTAATTCGCTAATAATTAGATCGGCTTTGTCGTCTGTGTGAAACTGACGCATATCGATGAAAACGATGGTGATATGCTCTTTATAGGGTTTCCACTGAGCTTCCAATCGTTTTTTCATGACTTCAATGGCAATAGGATTCTGGAAAGCGAATTTAATTTACCCTATCCCCACATGATGCTATTTCCGCATTCGGATTAAAATTCGTTACTTTATCGATGCAATAGAGCTTCCACTTGATTTTCAGCATATCGGCTACTTGGATAAATTCCCAGGCCAGTGGACCGCGCCCGGCACCCACCACCATCGCTACAAACGGCTCATGCAATGTGCCGCGTTCCAGCTGACCTTTGAGGTACGCATATATGGCCATATGATAGTCCACGTATTTCTGCTCCAGTGATTCGAAGATTGCGTAAACGCCCTCGCTGATGTGATCCTGCAATGGCTGCAGGGCGAAAATCGGATTATCCGGCACGGAAGCCTAAAATAAAACATAAAATAAAAATGACAAATCAATTAAAAAAGAACACTTAAAGAAAAAGCCGAAATATAATGTATTTAAAATTTCGTCCGAAAGCTTCCATTTTACCATCTCGTCATAGTGTTTAGGATCGATAATGTTTTTGCGGAATTCCGCAAAAATTTGTCCAGCATGACGCAGCTGAGCGGCAAAATCCGGATTGTCGCTGCGGCTGCGGAAGAAGAGTCCGTTTTGGGGGACTCGATACAGATGCTGAAGCAGAATTTGCATGGACTTGGACAGTATTCCATTGCTCCACTCATCCGGTAAAACAGCAGCACGCAAACGCTCCCCAAACCACCGACTAATTTTATTATGGGATTGAGGTAATTCGGGACCAAAATCCAGCATTAGCGCCAGCTTCGGATTGACCCCCGCCGCTTTCCGCAGATTGGTCCACCTAGGAGAAATCGAGAGTGAGAAATCATTTCGTATACTCGGAATCACAAAATTAGATATCGATAGTACTTCGTATTTTGGTTGATACAATTTAGATATTATTCAGGCACATCGCTCACCATCAGCGTAGTCTAATGGTGAACGACGATCGCATCATCATATATGCGCATATAGGAGCGCGATTAAAAATATATTGATTTACATACATAGCGACATGCATGTCGCTATGTATGTAAATCACAATATATTTTTAATCGCGCTCCTATGAACATTTTTATCGGCTGATTTTTTGTTACAAACGGTGTTTTATCGAAGCACTGCAGACATAGTAAAAAAAAGGTTCATAATATCAAAGAATAACGACGTCGAATTTTACTTTCGTTTGATAACGCACGACTCACCATTGCCAAGCTTCATCGTAAACTTCATCGATAGTTTTGCACTGTTGGTGAAACAGGGGAACACGAATCCAAATTTGGCGGTTGGAGCGGGGATTAAAAGGCTGCAAAAATTGTCACCACAACCAGCTATCATTGATGCTACAGTAAGAGACGCCAAAGATTTTCGAGGTATCTATTGCTGTTGCTAAATTGCAAGGTTGATGATATGAGAAATGCTCATCAGGTAATCGTAACTCCTATTTAAATATAACCGATTATAAGCAAGGTGTTTTATCGATGAGATGCAATTAATATTAGACTAGTTTCTGCGCAATCGGCGAGGAAAAAATACAGCAACAAGAAGCTGCTTATCTGTATACACAACCCATTGCATTTTGTAATCGAATAGTTTTGTGAAAACTTACATCAATGGGTGTTCGTCCATGATGGCTGTCCAACAGTACCGATTCTAACTTGACCTTTGATTTGGTGTTCTGTGGATCGCGCGGCTGCATAGGCCAGTTCTTCTCCAGCAGACGGCTCAAGGCAAAAGCCAGTTGGTGATGTTTAAAGGGCAAACTCACTTCTGGTGAGATTATTATGGCCTTCACATCCTGATTTAGAATGGCAAGAGCGTTGTTGCACCATTCCTGCATATAACGTTACAATTTTGTCAGCAAGGCGCTAAATTGGTGCAAGTATAAGAAGGTATAAAATCACGTAAGCATTTTACAAAAACTTGTGTACAACAAAATTTAATTTCATATTTCATCCATATATTCGATGATATTTTGCATCGTGCTAAAATAAGAAGGTGCTAAGTCCTCTTTTAAGAACAGCACCGGTGACCTTTTCTTTTTCCAGGCTTGTGCAGCCGGTTTCCCATGTCGGCAGGCTAACATGAGCTACGCATTGCGCTGCCAGTTGACCGGGTGGAGGCACTAAAGGTTGGTCTACAGGAATAACTTGCAGTGACGACAATCCGGATCCATTCGGTATGTTGTGCTGCTTAACGACCGTTCCATTTCCTTCCACCCATATACCGAACTGGAACGGGATATTATGCTCGGTCATTTTCAAAGGTTATTTGCGAAAAATTCATAAATTCGGCAACTTTTAAAAAGTTCAAACAGAATACCGAAGGTTTATGTCATGCGGAACAATTCTTATAATCGCCCTAGTTTCCGTTAGAGCCTCGAAGCGAAGATTAAGGTTGTTCATTTCGCAAAGAATGGTATTGTACTGTTCGTTGTTTTAGGCACGCCGGCTGGTTGAGGAAAATTAATGGCGATTGACAAATACATTCTTTACAATCCATCTAGAAAACGTTAAAGCTGCTATACAAAGTTCCTAAAATGGTTGCAATTTTGCACCTACCAATCACGCCGTTTTGAGTGGCCTGCAATTGTTATCCGGTAAAAGGATAACCGCTTTTCGAGAAACCCGTTTTTAAGAAAGAAGCGCTTTTTGACAAATCTAGAATGTGATCCAAAAGTACTCGACCGTAAAAACGCATTTTGGTCATCCTGAACAAAATGCACCAAATGGACGCCGCTGCAGTTGCAGGCAAACAAAGCTACTGGAATTTCTTAACCATGCATTTGCAAGTTACAGATTATCACCGTACATATGCAGGAGCTGACTATTAATAAACAACATTTTCAGTGATGCCATTTCAAGAAAGAACAAAGCTTTTTGCCATTTAAAGAAAAGTGAAAAACTGATATATACCTGTTCGGTCTTTAATTTTGCATTATTAATATATATTGTTGCAGATTTAACTAGCGCTGCCGTTGGCAAATCACTTTCGTTCTAAAGATTGTACGGCTACGATCGTCTTGTACTCTGTATGTTAATTACGATTTACGATATACTTTGCGTGATATATAGCTAAATACCATTTAATGATACCGCATTCCAGTCTGCGGATTTTGTGGAATTTTGTTATAGGACAATTGTACCACTATTGTTGTTGTACCCATATTAGCCTACATATTCATGATAAGAAATTACAAAGTTTTTAGTATTCAGAAAGCTTTGGCGTTCTAAAGATTTAAGTAAATTTTCTACGGAATAATCTCTGCTTGCAACAATCAACGCGCGATAAGAGCGGTGATATGGATTTAGGAAAAGAAATCAGGAGAGCAAGCCCCATTTCATACTGATAACAATAAAATCTGATATAAAAATAATTGTATCGAAAATTACGCACATGGAGTAGCGAAGCCAATAAACATCTAACAGATAATTATTATAATATGGTATTGTGTATGGCATGGAGTATTTCGCTGCGTATCCACCGATCGCAAAATCATTACGGACGGACAGATCGTCGTTAATATGGTGTTGCGTCCACCTGCATAATATTTCTCGCACCTGTAGCCCGCAGCCGGGATTTCGATGTGCTTTTGCAACCGAGAAGGATTATATTGCAGTGTTTATATTAACACTGTCTCAACGATTTGAGAATGCTACAAAAGATTCTCGTAGTGGCGGTGTTGGTGTTGTGCATTTCCGCCCCCAGCGTGAATGCCCTCAGTGCTCTCCATCCTGACTTCCTAGGGACAATTGTGGGCTCTATTACCATACCAGGGATCACTACGGGGAATGTCAACTTTTCCGATCCAACACAACTTGCCAAGTTCCTTCTGGATCTTTTACCCGGCAAAAGCCTGGAAGTCTCTTACCCTTGTTATAATGACACAATGACATGGTTTCTCGATCTTATGCAAGGAAAGATGTACGCCATAGAAAGTATGTGTCGGTTTAGTATTTGTAATTATGTGTAATCAAAGCATGTACAGCAAACTCGTATACGAATGGTGCATGGCATATCTACAGATATATTCATATATTCATGTATGTAGAACTCTCACCCTTTTATATTGCTGTATAATACTATACGCAGTGTATCCATAGTCATAACTAACATAATAATGGAATCAATCTTTCCGCTCTACAAAGTTTGTTTGCATCTGCGCATATCTGTTCATGCTAAAACAAAGATGAACTTTAATTTTATTTAAACTTAAAGCCGAATTCTCCTCTTTTTAGTGTTGGATGCCTTTGCCAAAATTCCAGCAGGGATATCCAAAGGTCACATATTGTGGATGGGCGCTTACGACATGTGTGTCGCAGCGCGGCGCAACGTAACATATATCACCAAAGAAGGAAAAGAGTCCTTTGATTTAGTACCGGCGGCAAAATACTGTGTGGTCCGGTTAAACAGTACTCTACTAAGTCAGCTGCCGTCGCTTTTGGCGTTCGCCACGTGTCTGCCGGCCTCATGCTCAGCAAAAGATGCTGATGAATTACTTATAAGTCTAATACATATTCTGAACTTAGCCAGCGGAGTAACTGCAGGAAAGGGAACAGCGTGCAGCGACGAAAAAATTCCCGCGCAAGGTGGAACTACCACAACATTGATTATCATAGGTAAGAGACAAGTCATGGGTTATTAGCCTTTCGGAAAAATTTTGCGGTCGGCTTTTTAGAGCAATTTGTTGATGACGAAAAGTATAAGCATAAAAACGCATAATCGTTTTATAGTTACATTAAAGCTCCATACCGTATCTGCTCATAAAATTAGTTTGGTGGGAAAGATCGATTCTGATATTGTGGCGTACCTCTTTTAGGAATTATTGTCCTCGCCTGCATCTGGTGTACGATAATACATTTTTTCTTCCGCTTATTTGATAAACGCTGGTGGAACATCGAAGAGATGAACGAAGCAGCCAAAGTTACGTATGTGTCCAAGAAGCGAAAAATAGAAGACGAGCTAGACAACAAAGGATTTGTGCGGGAAGAGCAACCGGACATCGACATTGCACTAGAAAACGAAACATCCTTCGATCAAACAAACCCTGCACCACAGGATTCTGCTAAAATCAAAACCGAAGAAAAAAAGACCTGGAAGAACAAGTATCCAATCTATATGAAATTGGTCCTGTGCTTCTCCATAGTACACAATGTTAACAAAATTTTCGCACCGGCCGCACCCGGTCAGCTGAAGTATCTCGATGGTATGCGCGTCATCAGTATGTGGTGGGTGATGTTGGGGCATATTTACCATCTCGGGCAGAGCTTTTTCAGTAAGTCATTATATTTTAATATTTTCCATATCAATGCATTTTTATTAAATTTTGAGAGTATTTTTGATTAAACAACAGTGTGTCGCGTTTTCTTCGTATAATATTTTGAGTTAATAACAGTGCCTCTATACCACATGACGATTTTTGCACAACTTTTTAACAACTTTTTTTACTGTTATGATTATAATAATTTGATTATTGGTTGAATTTTTAACTTTTATAAATTCTGTCTAGACATCGGACTTACTTCGTCTAGATCTGCAATTGCGCCCATACAACGACAATATGGTAACCAATTCGTAACCTTTCAGATAACCAATATGAAATTGTGGATAGCCTTAAAGGAGTTTTGCAACAGATTCCTTTAAATGCATCATTTGGCATCGATACGTTCTTTTTCCTCAGTGGATTACTTATTGCATACACTTTGCTCAAGGAAGTAGAACGTACAAAGAGTTGCTTGCCGCTGGCATTTTCCTATCCCAAAAGAATCTGGAGGTGGGAATAGTGCAAATCCGAAATTTTGGAGCATACAGAGTAGATAGTAACAATATCATAAGAAGGTGCAAAAGAAACTGTTATATTAACACATAATGCGTATTTGCAATTAGATTTCTAATTAGTCTAATTAAGCCGTGCTTCAATGCTTTAATCTTTTAATTAACCTGGCTGTGTCGAGAGATACAAAATCTGCGGAAAAAGTTTTGCCAGTACTATAAAAAGATACGTGCTGTGACCTGTCACATTTTTACCATTTTCTTGCAGGTTGACTCCGTTGTACATGGTTGTGCTGTTGGTTTACCTGTATATCGTTCCCTACGTTGTCGGTGGTCCATACTCGGTAAGAGCAAATCCACCGAAAAGTTTTGCAGCATGTTAATACAATTATTATGTCAGTTTTTAATAACTATGTCAGATTCGCCAACCTCCCGAGTTATCTTATCGATCATTAATTTTTGATGGCACATCTTATAGCTTATTGTGAAGCAAGAAGGATCGCCAACTGAATTCTGTAAAAAGTACTGGTGGACAAATCTTCTCTACATTAACAACATCATTCCCCTCAACAAAAACGAAATGGCAAGTGCAAAGTACTAAGAGCTAAACGGTTAATTTTCTTAGACACGAATAAGTTTAAACAAGATGCTTTAATAGTGCATGTCGTGGACCTGGTTTTTAAGCGCGGATATGCAACTGTTCATAATTACACCCATAATTCTCGCCATCGTAGTCAAGTAAGTAAATAAGTATAAGTAGTAAATAATGATTGGTATTCTGCAGTCGTTATGATGAAGAGTACATATACTCTGTAGATACATCAGTCAATAAGTACTGTACGAGTATAATGCAAACCGACTAAGCTACTGCGGTAGCGTATTTATAAGTGTCATATTTAGAGTTTATCGTATATCTATTACTAAATGTTGATGCTGCCGATTTTTTTGACTCTGTGTATGTGTTACAGGTTACCGAAACTGGGAACGGCCATAATGGCTGCGCTGATAGTTGCATGCGTGGCTACGATTAGTTCTCTCGTTTCCTTATACGGTCTACCTTTGACCGCTTTACAACTTCATGAGTGAGCTAAATAATTATAATGCTGCACAAAAGGTAAATACTTACTTATTTTAATGAAAAATTTTAGCCCACTCCCATCGGCATACAAATACGACGAAACTTTTGAATACTTCTACGACAAGCCATATGCCGGTGGCATCGCATTTTTTATGGGAGCCATGATGGCGGTGTATATGGTGCGCTTCCGTGGAAAGAACGCCGGCTGGTATCTGCCTGTTTTCATTTGCGGGTGGGTTCTCTCCATAATCGCCGGAGTATGTTGTGTCATGGGATTGTACATGGGGGGTCTGGAGACCAAAACGGACATGACTCTGGGAGAGCGAACAGCCTACGCGGCGCTTACCAGACTTGCGTGGTCATTGTCGATCGCCTGGGTAAGCAACACATTACTTTTCCTCATTATCCTTTTTAACTTTAGAGCACAAACAAACTGTATTGTCGTCTGCGCTTCCCTTTGTAGGCTTTAATATTCGAGAAAACACTAATTTTTGAATATAAATCATAAGATGACCTGTAATAATTTAAATAACAATAATTTTGGAATTAATTACATATTTTTTTGTAACTATTTTTAGGTGGTTTACGCATGTCAGTACGACTATGGAATGGTGGTGCGCAGTTTCCTGTCGCTGCGGATATGGACCGTTCTCGGTCGCCTGACCTATGCCGCGTTCCTCGTGCACTTTCTGATTCTCCAGATGTACTACACAAGCCTACGCACGATGCTGGGCTACACTTGGTACCAGGTGGTTACGATCTTCTGGTCTCAGGTGGTATCCGTGTATCTTGTGGCCTTTATCGCGGCGCTCTTCGTGGAAATGCCGCTCAGGAACATCGAGAAGCTATTCTGGTTCCGCAGAGTTTAATGCTTTCACAATCTGACCAACATAGTCAAACGCTTGATAAATTATTGTGATTGTTATGAAGTACATGATCTCGAAATACTACATTTCATTGACTAAGCCTCGAATAAAACACAAAAGCCGCCCAATCCGAATGTGAAATACAATGTTGTTTTAAAACACACAAAATTGTTTGTACAAAAGTTTTCTTATCCGGTAATATTCCACAGAAAATGGGCCCTGCACAGTAAGTTTCCCGGACTGCGTCTGCAAAAAAATTAAACAACATAAATTATTCCAAACCAAAATACTCAAAACAATAACTAATACCTTGCTGATAACCACGCAGCGGCTACACACTAGTGAGCCAGTTAGAAAATCGCTATAAATTCCATGCTGTCGAAGAAACTTTTGGATGTCGGACAACTTATAATTATTTATCACTAAAGGCGCACTGGCAGGGGCCTAGAAAAACAAAACAAGTAAAAACTTACTGCAGATGGCAACGAACATTTTCATGAAGCATGTATAATAAAAATTCCTTACAAATTTCTTTGACTGTGTAGGCTCCAGAGTCGGAACGTTGGGATCATGGGCCGCAGCCACTACAATAAAATCCATGATCTACAAATTTTAGGTTATGCGAACAATCTGGTAAGAAAAAACTCACTCGGTATATCGAATTCCGACGCCATCTCTTCCTTATCCGCGACAGGCTCGCGATACCACGCTTTACAATGAACCAGGGCCATCTGGCCTCCCTTTACAGGTTTCCATTGCACATTACGAAGGAAAGCGTCACTTAGCTTAGCCTATAATTGGATTTCTCGTTAATACAGCTTAAAAAACACCATCATTCAATTTAATAATCGCCATACGCACGCGATATATATGCGTTTCCGATGAACAATCAACAGTTTTTAGGAGATCTGGATAGAAAATATGTTCCGTATTCATCTGGCAATGACTGGTCATAAAGTTTGCCACCACCTCGGCGGTCTGTGGCGAACCATGTACCATAATCTAAAAAAAATAAATAAAAATACCATGAATGCTTGTGCTTCTCCTGCAGAAGACAGATGCGGGAGCACTGTACCAGACGTTTCGGATTAATAAAGGTCAAAATCTTCTGCAACGAATCGGCATCCACACGGCCCTCAAAATCAATAAACTTCAGGGTAGCTTTGATCTCTACGGTAACAGGTGTGGATATGGTTTTTGTCGGCACTTCGTCGGCAATTTCTTCCGAATCATCGTCCATTTTGTCGTCTGGGCGGGTTTTGCTGGCACCATCCTTTGGTGACGGTTCAACCTCAACGCCTTTGTTGATTTCCTTCAATCTGTTGCGCATGGTCTCGACACTGCAGAGAAGTCCTAACTATTATTTGAGTTCACCCAACAATGGAAACAAACACTATCGGAAACAAGGCTTTTGGAACCGGAGGCGAGTGAGTTATCATTGTCATGAAGTTAGCAAAAAATTAATGCACAACTTACTCGACGGAAACCCCGAATTCATCTTTGGTATTTTGATCCCGTTCAAACCGGTACATAGCATTAGGTTTAGGGCCCCGTTTAAGCAAATGGAACGGCATTTTCCCGCATGGTCGAATATATAGATCCGACTGCTGAATAGTCACCGCACCCTTCTCCGGCATGGGCATATCGAGATCAGCCTCCATATCCGATGCTTTTAGTTCAGCCTCTTCTTTGGCTTCCTGATCGCGAAGGGCTTTGGCCAACTGTTCCTCTCGCTTTTTGTCCATGTATTCTTTCAATTCTGTTCCCTCCAGAGGCACACGTCGGCGCTGATCAATCGTCAAGACCGGCACACGAGGATTCTGAATAAGAAAGTGGGCCAGCGTTCCCACGGTTGTCCGATAAGTGAACACAATGGTGTTCTTGGCATGGCGGGCATAGTCCATAAAAAGATTTCTTGAGAAGCCACATTCAAGATCCGGAGGCGATGCAACAACAACCTGCATAACACAACCTAAATTTTGAATCACGTAACATAGTTTTCCCAGTGCACAAACATACCTTCGGACTTTTCACCTTCTTCAGTTCACTTTGACTGTGGCAGAGCTGAACGTTGGTGAACGCAAACGGATTTTGCCGGTTGTCCTCAAAGCCCCGTACTAGTTTATCACTCATCCATTCTACTTGGGATTTGGCAAATTCGATGGCGTTGTAGGCGACATTATTCAATATACAAACACCGAAATTGTTCAATCCTGACTCTTTATTCTGCCATAGCTGGTCCTGAAATATACAGTAGGTAGACCTGTAATTACTATCAAAATGTGGCAAAAAGTTGACAAAAAGCCGGTGACTAACCAACATGTACGCCAGCTCCAAGACCCGCCCCGCCGTATCAATGCAGATCAAAACATCACCTTCCTGGCGCAGTGTCTGCAGGATGGTGGTCATCAATTCTTCATCCCTTGTTCGCCGTTTTGGTGGATTATAAGCACCGTTCAGAATATCACAGATCAATAAATGAGGGCGATTTATGGAGTCCAGAGACAAGGCGCTGAGATGCCTGCACAGCCATAAAACCATGTAAAACTGAATCAGAAAAGATTTTTGCAAAGACGCACTTGACTCGTACCTTTCTTTCTTGTGTGCAAAATCAACAGCGTAAACAATTTCTTCTTCGTCCTTGCCAATTTTCCACAAACATGCTCCGAGCATGTGACCCGCACATAAGGCTGTTAGTCGAATTCCTTCTCCTTTCCCTGAAACAAAAATCCATTAGCTCGCAGTGGTCCGGGAAATCCTAAGCTTAAATTTCGCGACCCATAACAAAAAAAAAGCTGTGAATGTTAAGGCTATGCGAGTACCTATCTGTACCTTTCAAGGCAACTGTCTGGTTGTATTTCACTTGAATGATTCGATCAAAAGCCGCGTCGATGTGATCCAGTGTAAAGAGATCGAAATCTTCGTAATCATGTCTCGACTACAAAAGTAAAAAAAACTTTAATAAAAATTCAGTTTTCCCACAGAAAATGGTGCAAGGTAACATGCAAAATTCCGGAGTCAAAAGATTTAAATACTTAAGAAAGTGCAGCACTCACCTGGTACAAGTCGTACATGAACATTTGGCCCATTTTGTACACCGGACTGGTGGCGTACACGGGACACTCCAATCCCATACGTCCAACAAGGTAGGGCAGAGCACCCACATGGTACAAATCAGGAGATGTAAGCAGCACGCAGTCCAAACGCGGAGCGATTCTGTAGAAGAACGGTTATAAATAACGATATGATCACTGCAAAAATTTTTATCAGCCCAAATTTAATACTTTCCTAGCATAATATGGTAAACTTCACAATAATCACATCATTACCGTCGGCATATATTAAAGTAAAAATGATTACTTTGACTTCTTGAGAGGCGGCGTAAGAAAAATATGACGTGCAGCATACACATGGATGCTGGTTAATATTACTCCAAAACTAAGCACGGCAGCTATTCGACTACTACAAGCACACACAAAACTTATTGGATACTTTGCAAGCTCCTCGACGTATTTGAGATCAAAACGCTCGTCCCAGCCGCAGTCCAGAAGAATGTTAAATCCGTCAATCTCCAGAAGGTAGGCAAACGGTGTGAACTGATGCACACCGTTAAATGGTTGAAAATGAATAATAGATGGCATTATTAGTGAGGGGTCCGGATAAAACCTTTCTCAAATGGGAGGAGAAGCAGAAAACGCGGAAACTCCCAGTCCAAAAGAAAACTGCAGAGGATTCAATTATCCAAAGCCAAAAACCAGAAGGACTCCGCAGATCACAGTGACACATAGATAAAGCTTCGTTTCATCTTCCAAATTTAGGGTTCAACTTTAAGCGAACAGCACACGATACTGGGTAGTGTAGTGGGTACCGCGTAATTCACATCTAACTTCACCTTCCAATTTCACTATCAACAATGGTAAAATAAGTCCTGAATCGAAGATACGAGTACTCGAACAAAAGCTAGAAAACCAAACATTCCCGAGTTTCCAGACTCCATGCATAGTTGCATACTTTAGACTGTTAGCTATTTTAGCATTTTGATTTAAGTGGTGCATTCCGGGTAGTAAGGTGACAACCAACCTATGGCGAAACAGCATCTTCGCAGTGGCCACTGCAGCCGACCGCCGGAGTTACGGTACGAGTACAGTTACTGCAGCCTGCAGTACATGCGACTGAGAGTACAAGTACTGGACAAAATCGAAAATTACGTAATATATAGATATTTATATCTATATAGATATACAGATAATTAATGTTAAAAGTGTATAATCATTGTACAGTTTAGTCAACACTAGTTTAGATCGGTTTCTGACTTCATGTACATCTATACATCGAAGCTTCTGTAAATATGATTTATTTCATTTGATCCAAAATTTTTGTTTTGATTGCTGTGAGCTGCATCTCGCGCATACAAAATTACATCAATCTTGCTTCTCTAAAGAAATATCCATAATTGCTTTAAACCACCAGGTTTAAATACAAGGCACCAAAAACTGAATACTAACAATTCGTCACATGCCCCAAGAAGCAATATTAGACCGGTATCTCTTGAAAAAACTTCGGTTTCACATGGGGATCACGATTCTAGTCGAAAACAACTGTGCTCCAGCCAGAAGAAGGAAGAAATGCATGGGAGCAGAAGCACCAGACTTTGGTAAGCCACGCTGCCAGTTCTCGACTCGATCGTTTAAATCCGCTACAAAAACACAAACAAAACTAAGTGGAAAATATTACACCAAGGCGAAAACGCATAAACGTTATTCGGTCAACATGTCAGCACATGTACCTTCGGTCTGACTAGGATCAAATTTAAAGCACGGCTGGTCATCGTATACATATCTAAAAGATCCAGCGAACACCTTCTCGCAAAACGTTTTCGGATCCCCAAACACTTCGCTAAATAACCGGCAAGTCGAGGCCCCGGGACATTTATTTATGCCTAAATTCGATTCGAAACATCATAAATCAGATTATATGTCTGCAAATTATATATCTGCAGCACCTCAACCGGATTACTGATTAGTTTACTGTAATTTAGCATATTCTATTGCAAAACATGAAAACAGAACAGCAAATTCTTACTTGGATTTGCTAGTTCGACGTAGAGGAAAGCTGGAGCATAATAAATCCGCTAATAAGTAATAAAGTAACACCGCCCATGATGGGGCTTATCTAATTTCAGAATGTTATCTAACTTATCTATTTTTATATAACCACCTGATAAGAACCTACTTAGTATGTAAATACTAGTATCTTTATCAGTACTGTATAGTTTATTGTACAAACGAATTCATTCACACCTACGACTAAAGCGCGGTATAGCTTTTATGCTAGCAAGAAAATCTCTGGATAATTTAGCCGGTTCTAGTTCGCTCTACGTAATGAACTTAATAACTATACATTATACAATGTCAACTAAACTATACGATGCCTAAATTCAATATCCAGTATTGAAGGAAAACAATTCTGAACAAACTGTCAATAATACCGTCTATCCATTCGAATTCGGACCAATTATCCGTGCAGGTTAAATCATTCTTGCAAGCGTCGTACCACTGGTCGCACTGCGTTTGGCACAAAGGAACATCCAGAAACCTTTCAACACGAGATTTTCTTCGCTTTGGGTCGGTTATTATCCAGGGCCCCATGTTTGGTGAACACTCTAAAAATAACAAGTGATAAACTGAGATACGATGCTGAAGTTTCCGAAAGATTTCCACGAAACCGCTGCAAAACAAGAGTTTATCTGAACCATGAAGGCTATCGATATCTCAGCGTTATTGTACTGATATGCGACAACACTAGTACAAAATAATGTTAAATAACGTAAAACTGAAGAATTTTTTATTGATCGCTTACCGTAAAAACACAGGTCCTGGACAAAAAAGCTTCGACATTTGGCGGATAGTGGTTTGTCGCAGTGGTCCCAGCGGAAATTCAACCATGTCAGACTGTCATTGTTCGACAGATTTGTGATACTAGCGGCCACAGTTGCATTGCAGCAGGAATTGCCTGACCAAGCCGAACACTACAAAGAAACATCCTTCCAATATCCAGATTTGTAAAACAAAATGCCGAAGCAGTACATGCACGCACCACAGTGCCATTCAAATTTTCGGGACCAGGTTTCGTTTTCTGGTAGCGAGCATTAATGCATCGTTTCTCATTGTCAGACGAAATGGCCACACCAACGCAAACCATCAGACATAAACACAGGGCTATCCGAGGCTGATAGATGAGACTCATTACGAGACTGCGGATATAACCGAGATTTTACAATCCAAGAATCCAGATTACGCAATCGCAGGGGAACAAGCCAGCACCCAGGTTTCTCACGAAGGTCTTCAAGTTCTCTGGCACAGGTCGTCTCTCATCTGACGCCAAATTCGAAGTTTCGAACTATTGTAAACGGTCACAGTTGTTACATTGTAGTAAACATCTGCAAGCAACCATAACGACTTACTCTTAAGAGAATATCCAAGGATGTACCAATGCGAAAGTGATTTTAATGCAAAATTAATAACTGCAGCACAATTTATAGCAAATAAAAAAAATAACAGGGCTAGAAAATTGGAGCGCGAAGAATGGACCCGTTTCGTGTAGCCTTACGAAATCAACAAGTGCTTCTGCCAAACTTCAAACTTGCCTTAAGTTATCGTATGCAACTGCCGCTCCCGCAGGGTGGCATGCGAAATAATGCCGCAAATGCTTTCTTCCACTCTTCGTCACTTACTTGAATTTAAACCTTCACAGTTCACAAGCGAAAGTTAGAAAAAATTGGCAACGATAAATATTTAAAATATTTCCACGAATAAACTTTGCTATACAGTAAATGAAAAACATTTATGTTAATTATTCGGTTGTTCAGGTTAGTTCAATAATTAGCGTTCTTAAGCATACCGTGGATGACCTCTGGGGTAGAGACTTCGTCACTTCTACTTACCAAAAACAAAACCATCAGTGTTTCATCTTGTTTGTTCCCCCCTGGCGATGGTATTACGAATTGTTAAAGTGTTGTCGCTGATCACCAATCTGCTGTAGTGTTCTGACGTTAAAGATTGAAGTGCGATCGCTGTGATGGCATCCCTTTCGGAAGTCAGCAAATCGTCCGTAAGTAGAGGATCATGTCCGAGCAGTCCGACTGAACGCTGCATTACACGTTATTTCTGTGAGTACGCCGTACGACCAATAATTTCACTCTATTAACTACAGCTGATCAACTTGAAAGCAGAATTATACCGTAAACAAGAAGAATCGCGTCAGAAACGGCAGGCGCATTCGTCTTCCATTCCTAGCGGATACCAAGTTCTTCCAGGAAAACATGTGGCTAAAGCGAGTAGCTCAGTACGTGCCGTCGATATGATTGAACGGTTTTGCCTGCTGTTCACTTGAAACCATAATTGGTTTACAGAAACCAAGGCTTTCGAAGGGGAAAACAAAGCCCAGTTCAAACCCAGGTGTGGCAGAACGTATAGCGAAAGACGCGCAGATTTTGCCACCAGGAACTGAGAAAAGTTGGGAGCAAGTACGGTAAGCAGTGTGGAAGTCCATCGGAGTATCACACTAACTTGTGTTGAATTAATTGTCCATTTTAGAGAGGTTTTGGAACGGAAGGCAAAGCTGTACGACAAACTCTCTTCCCAGCAGTACGATCCAGGTTGCGAAATTTTTAATTGTCTATTGCCAGTCTCCGTTTTTTTTTTAAATAATGATTGATTATTGACAGATGAAGGCGAGAGTCCGTTATTGGTGGATTTTTCCCAAAAGCAAGTTGCAGCACAAGGAAAGGGTCGTAGCGCGCCTATGTACGATGACACTGATAGTTCGGACGACGAAATTGGGCCGGTGCCTTTGCCTGGCAAGCCTAGTGACGCTGATGATGAATGGTCAGTCTGGTTTACAATCTTTCTTGTAATTTTTTGTGTGCAAAATATCTGTGCATGCTGCTTGAGCGTATAATTCCGTTTAATTATAGGGCTGAATATGAGGACCATCTGGGCCGCACCCGCAGATGCCTTCGCACAGATCTTCCACGGATGCTGGAGGAGAATGTTCGATTAAAAGCGGAAACGGATTCGGCCCGAGCATCCAACACCAATTATAGTCGCGCAGACGATGCGGATGTCTCTCCGGCTGCTGGCGGATTTGACTTTGGTCCTGTGCCGTAAGTGAAGTTTTGGGTTAAATACTCTGAATTGCGTTGTTCAAAATGGCATGGGAAACTTCTTTCAGGCTTGATGAGCGAACACTCCTTTCTAATGATATGCAACGGGAGATGGAGCGACAATCTTGGGAAATAGATAGCGCAAGCGGGAATTCGGATGCGAGGCGTGCCACTGCAGGTCATCCGGGGAAGGTGACTTATAATCCCCACCGCAAGGGACCTGTCTTTTACGAAACAATAAGGGATAATGGTAAGTTTATTAAACGGTGGGGTCAGTTACATTCAAGAAATTTCTAAGGTTCGATTATCCAAGTCGCCGTTTAAGTTCCGAACAACTCTGTTGCCACTGTTTTCGCAGTGGATGATAGTGTGGACTGTGGACAAAGGGATTGTGTTTTTGTATTTGTAATTTCTGTAGTTATATTTATAATCTCTGCAGGATTGAAGTTTTTTTAACATTTACTGTGAAGGTGTTAGTATATCTTCGGTAGAATATTGCTTACAGTCTGTAGTTTTTGCTTCTTACAAAATGTAAGGTATCATGGTGTACTTCCAGAAATACGGGATTTGGGCATCGGATACTTTAAATTCTCCACCGATCCGACGACAAGAGAAGAAGAGTTTAACAAGCTCCAGAAGCTACGACAGCAGGTGAAGCAGCTTTTTTATGCATTTGGATGTTTTATATAATGTTATTGCATTATATTTTAGACAAACGAGCAAAGGGCTCATAATGCGCAGTTGAAAGCCAAACGGAAAGCTCTCGCTGATGCGCGTCTAGCCAAAATTAGAGAGAAGAAGAATATCAAAGCTGTCCCAGAAGAAAGCAGAGATGAAGGTGATTACCATTTACCGTTAGAGACACTCAATCTGAGAGATTATGCTCGTTGCACAGCGTTCTTCAACGCCAACTGTATTTCACCACTTTTGACTGACATTGGTTGTGTCGGTAGATCTCGAAGAATTTGAGAAGACATTAGAAGCTGCGCCTGTTCTCCACACCAAATCCAAAGCTGAACTAAATGCAACTCGAACTGAACCGGCTCCGGTCAGGGAATGGGATGTTGGAAAAGGTACATCGTCCTGACGCGCTTCTTGTTGACGGTTTATCGCACGTATGATTTTTTAGCGATATTGGACAACGAAGATTTGGATAAGAAATATGTGGAAAAGCGCCGCACGGATCGCAATCCCGATTTTGCTCCACCAGAGCAGTACCATAAAAAAGATCCACCGAAGCAACCAAAGAAAAATTTTCCGCGTCCGTATTCGCAAAATTCGCAGCTGTCCAACGTGCACGAGGGACGGTCCAGCAGTGCTTCGCTAGCAAACGCGCTCCCCTCAGCTCCGTCTGGAGATAGCTCTGTAAATACTGATTACAAACCATGGGAACATATTCCCCAATGGAATAACGCCCGTGCCACCGAAAAAGGTGATAATTCCGACCGAGCAACCAAAAACCTACCGGTGGGATCATGGAGTTCTGTGCCACCTCCAACCTCGTATGAGGACAAGGGCAGGCCGATGGCATTTCATCATGTCAATGCTGCAGAAATCAGGGAACAAGCGAAAGCCCTTTTCAAAAATAAAACTGGCCAGGACTTGCAGTACTGATTCATTGCAGTGAATGGTAATGCGCGACTTCGTCAATAATTTCCAGTGATGCGAGAAAGGATTCTTTATGAAAGTAAGCTTTTGGGGAGTTGTACATAGTGCCACAATGCCTGAGTTAAAGTTAAACGAAGACGCTTGAATTACTGAAAACGCTATGACAGCTCGCATTGTGGAGCATTTTTGATCTTTTGAACTGATAAAATTCTTTATCCTTGTACAGTTTAATTTGTAACTGCACAACTTTCTAAAGAATTCGACACGGCTTCAAATTTGATGATTTAATCTGTTTTGAAGATGCTGCTGGCTTTAAGGTTATACTTCCAAAAAAAGGAACTTGTAAGCATTAAAAAATGAGGTGTAAAAAAACGGAAATGAGAGATATTATAATTAATAATGTGGAAAAAACTTTCGAACTGGTGAATTCTGTCTCTGTTTAAGGGTATCCAACAAGGTTCGAAACATATCGATAATAAGCAAAAATTTTTCATTCGTTTCCGCGTAGCATAAAACGTAAAGTCATTTTTCAGAATCGTAAAATTTGTAAACAAGCCCTAAAAGACATGTCTCGCCGTCAGCAACCAAAGTTGTCAATGCCTCGCATTGTCTTGTGTGCGTTGAAACGAATTACTATACAAACTCAAATCAGGAAAGACCATAGGATATCGACGCCCCGCTCTGACTTTGGTCACCTGAAATACCATTCCCAGCTGATCTCAGAGCTCATTGTGGCCGGAAAACGTTTGCACGATACCATCTCATTTCTTCTATTGATTCCTTAACATCCGACAATGCGCTACGAAAAAGGCAATGGATGTTTAATAATCCACGTAGGGTATATTACACAATATGACGATGCAATAATTCATTAATTTGAGTTTCGCCATACCGGTGTGCTAGAACCTTTTTCGGCTGCTTATAGTGATTCTCAGGGTACCACCTTTTGCTCAACTCCTTTACTGTTGAGACGTCAATGATGCGGTAATGCAAATAATCCTAAAAAATATTGAAAATCTGAAGGGCAAAGCCGCAAAACGAAAGCCGTATAAATATGAAAATAAATCTGCACCTCAAAAACCGGCATATGCTTCCTAAGAAATATGCGATCCATATAAATACTGTTTCCGGCCAATGGGCTCTTTTTTGGCGTAACATTTTGCTTCAAGAAATCGGACATAATCTGTTCCGCATCGTGCAGCGACGTTTCGCTTTTTCTACTTCTTCCCATAATCCCGACTGTAAAACAATGTCAAAAGTTCTTTCACAATCGAAATTCATTAATAACTTGGCAATGACTACGCCGTTACGGATGCACAGTTTGTTCTGCTGATTTCGCAAAATGTACGCTTTCCAGAAAAAGACAATTCGAAGTACTGTATAAGTAAACCCAAACATTACATTTAAGGCAATTTCAAGCCTAACCTTGGCAAACTCATTTTCACACCACTCCGAGGCTTTTTCACGAACGGACAGGGGATGATGAATTATAATTTCTGGAGCCTACAAAAAAACACCAGCTTTTGTTACAAGGTAACACTGTAACAGGATACGGTATTTCAAGAATGCATCCATGATCCACCGGATGTCCAACTGCATCACGATTATAATAATTTGTCTAATTACTGTAACTGCAGCAAGATCCAGAGCATCGAAAGCAAATGGTAATTCCAAACAAAAAATTGATAGCAAATGAAACGTATCGGGTCACACATTTCGTAGCTACAATAAATTCTTCCGAATGGGGGAAACCTCATCTGTGAGGCAAGAGCAGCAAATATACAAAAACCAAGTCAATGCTTACTTCTGCTACGATATTCAAATCGTTGTCTGTAACCACACAAGCCATCTCCAAAATGGTATGTGCATCTGGATCCAATCCGGACATCTGCGAAGGGAGATTCACGATTAAGTACTAAGTACTCACGTAACCAAAAATTAAAGCTTCTCTTGGGTCAGTAACCTAACACTATGCAGGCATTATTCACGATCAAATTGCATTACCTGTCCTGATGTAAGCAAAGTACGAGTTTATTCGCCTCCAGCTGGTTCTTAACTTTCTACCGGAGTATATTCAGAATTACACTGTTACTACATTGCAGCTTTTCACATCATTTAATTAGTTTATTATTTTTAATAATCCAGCAAAATTAACACAGATAAACTTTCCGGATTAGACACACAACACATGTCACATTCCTCCACTCACTTCCAAATCGACCCAAACAATCCGCAGATTCTTGTTGTCATCAAATTCATGGCGGTCGGATTCGCCACTACGTAATCGGGTTGAAGTGGACAGACTCCTTGCCATGGTATTACGGGCAACACCACCTTTTCGAAAACGTGCTACATTCTGTAGCAAATTCGATTTGCATGATTTGGCCAACGAATATAGATGGTGTACACCAAGCCGACCGATCTGCCCAACCATGAGGGAACAATTTCGAAGATGTCCAGCCAATAATTTTAGCACAGTTTCGAATTTACAAGGACAAAACAGGATGGAAGTGTGAAACCCTGCCAAACTCAAACTAACTGAAATAATAATTAACTGAAAACTGAATGCTCAGTTCTCACGGAATGTAGCCCGATATCAATCCGTTTCAGACACCTGCTAGGTTCACGAACGTGTGTTAAGAGTTTTTCCACTTGCAATCATATTCCTTCGATGATGAAGTTGCGGAAAACTATCAAATTCGGCATAAAACTTAATAAGCCCGGATGCATAGTTGAATGAATGTACTCGTAGTGTAATTACTATGATACACTGATATAAGCCTGAAAGGTGCAAGTCTGCTCGTCTGAAGACTCATGAAAGTGTAGTTAGTAATTTTGCCAGCCGGTAACTACTAACAAGATAGCGTAAACAAGAAGCAATTTCAAGCAAATAAAAACATAACTTTCCAATTGCACCCGATGTATCAATTTTGTTTTGCTTGTTTGCAAATTTAGAAGAACTACTTTTTTACAAGTTACAAAAATCTGAAGTATAAATCGAGGGGTCAGTCAAAATACTTATACAGTTGTACTGGTACATGTACCCTTCTTCGAGCCTCGAGGTGACCATTTCGATTTAGCGCTTGCTACGGTAAATGCTAAAGCTGTCTGTCAGGCCGACTCACAATCAGGCGTGCCGTGCTCTGCGTGCAGTCGGTGTAGTGCAGTGACTCATGCTACACATAAAACATAATTCATAACTTCCATAATCTTTATTAGAAAAGATTCTGTGCTTAAGCTCAACTGCTGAAGAGACATAAATGCGTTCGTATGAAAATTGATGCACATAGACATGTGTTGATTTAAACTTGTTACTTGTAGCAGCAGCATATTTGCCATTTGATCTGTGAAAAGTGTGATTCACTTGTGGGTTTTCATCTGGTGCAGTCCTGTTCGATGTTGGTACCGTTCTATGAAATCGTCGATTTCTACGGAAGCGGTCCGTTATCTGTTAACAGTTGCTGATACGTAAATTACTTCTACCTATTATCGTTTGTTCCTCAGTTCCTGCTGCTGCTTTAGAGACCCTCTAATTGACATTGATAATTATTCAGATTTTCCTGCGAATTTGGCAGCTTTCTTATTTGGCTTTGAACTTGACTTTGATAATAATTATTAATTACTGCCCACAGTGTGGCCTGTGGTGCCTATTGAATAATCATCGTTTGTACGCTGATGGCCATCTGTAGCACGACTGACTGACTACATGTAATTAGGTTTGTTTCGCAACCGGATTGACCGTGGTTGAGCTTCTATTGGCTAATGTTAACTGCTTTTCATATTTATTTGTTGTGATTTTGTGGGCTGTAGCCTCTGCTGTCGTTAACTTAAGTGGTGGAAAACTGTGTCAACCTTCAAGTACTGACGTGAGGTCGTGCATGAATCATCAATAAAAAATGTCCGAGTACGACGATTATGACGAGCCTGAGGAAAAAGCACCAGCCCCTCCTTTGAGATTTACAAGTACGATAGCAGCACCCAAGTAAGTTGGCGTTTCAGCGACAGAGTTTGTTTTCATGATTATTAAAATTGCAGTTTTGGACTAAACTGGAAAGTGGAAACTAGTGCGATAGTCGATCTGTCCGTTCTATCGTAATAAGTTTTCACTTTCTGTTGATTGATTAGCGCTTTTCTTACACAGCCAAGGTGGTTGACGGCGTTGGTCAAGACTCAATTTGCCAATTTTATTGTCTTAATTATTCGCTCTGCTTGATTGTTATGCAGAAAGCAAGCCGATTCTACGTGTGAGCGATATAATATGATAATTTTTTAAGAAATCGTGTATTTGTATTTGCAGTTTTATGGTGAACTTGTTGCATTCATGCTTTTATTAAGTTCGTGGTTTTATCAGCTCTGCTTTGCTTGATAGTTTTGTAGCACCATTGATTTGCGTTTTCTAATTGATTTTATAATTTTTGTTGTAGTATTATTTGGATTCTCGGATGTTAAATCTCTGGCATTCTTTGTTTCGCTTATTATGCGAACATCCACTTTGATGTGATGCATTTTTACAGGGAACCGATTAATTCCGTATCTTTGGACATTAAGCCACTGCCAGAAACTCCTAAGAAGCCACCGAAGAAAATGGGTACGATTTATACGAAAATGGGTTTTAAGTTTATTCGTGCTTAATTTTGCATTGACAAGCGGTTATGTTTTAGTTGTATTAGGCAAGAAGCCTGGGAAGGAGAATGATTTTAAACCCGTCATCAGCTCACCAACCAATTTCGAGCACACTATGTATGTGGAGTGTTTGCAATAATTTTATAAATTTCACTTCGTTGCCTATTAGATGCTTTAGCGTTTTCTGTAAGTAACAGTCTTACGATTCTCAGAAAATGTTTCTTCTGCACAGGCATGTTGGATTCGACCCTACAACAGGAGAATTCACCGTAAGTTTGGTTTCGCTTTTTTTACATGACTGTTAAATTTGGAATTTTTAAATTTGCATGATTGCTTATTTTTGAATCCCGCCTTTTCTATATTTCCTGTCTGGGTTTTTACACTGAAAATCTGTTAGCAATAGTGTGTTAAAGTAAGTATTTAGTGGCAGTTCTTGAAAATGGCAGTGTGTCCATGTACAACTACAGTCTAATATGTCGAGGGAGCCTGATGGGGTTGTAGCTTCACTTTTTTGGAATCATTCGGTTTGTTTCCGAAGTTGTGGAAACAGCTATCCTCTTGTTTTTCAGGGCATGCCGGACCCGTGGAAAAAGCTGTTGCAAGTTGCCAGCATTAGCAAGACGGAACAAAAAAACAATCCCCAGGCTCTGTTGGAAGCGCTTAACTATTACGATGCTACTACTAAAACTCAGGAAACGAAGTTTATGCAGATGAAATCAGGTAACAGAACTCTTTTTCCCTCATGTTCTAGGAGTGAATCAAATGAAAAAAACCAAGTATGTTTGCCGGCTCAGTACGCAGCTTTATTATGTACAAGAGCCTATTTTTGTTGATTTGCAATCGTAACGTAGCGTTGTGCAAAAACATGAATACCGGATGCTTTCATACCGATACTGTCATCGTATGGAGGAGATTTTCGTTAAGTGCAGTTCTTATGCAGATTCGATGGGATCTCCTTCTGGACCAGACTCGACGGTAATTTTTTCAGTTTACTGAAGAAGGTCACTTGCATTTATGAAATTGTTTATGTTTTCGTGATAGTTTGGTTCGGCACATTCTTCGATTGATAAGCTGGATGCCTCCGTTCGCAGTTCCGATGAGGAACCACTTGGTCCGGCCCCTGTTATTCCACCCAGGCCAGAAAGGACGAAATCAATTTATACAAAACCAATCGATCCGGATAAACGAGCCTCACTTATGCCACAGCCAGCGATTGCCGAAGAAGGCGCCCATGGAGACACCGATGGAAAGAATGGGAAGAAGGATAAGAAAAAGAAAATGTCAGACGAGGAAGTTCTTGCGAAACTTCGTACGATTGTTAGGTGAGACATAAATAGTCTTCTTGTGGTATTTGCAATAGTCTTCCTGTGGTAGTCTTCCTGTGGTAAATAAATAGTCTTCCTGTGGTAGTCTTCCTGAAATAGTCTTCCTTAGTCTTGAAAAATAGTCTTGAAATAGTCTTCCTGTGGTATTTGCAAACTGTTGTATACGTAATTAAATTTTGCAGCATCGGAGATCCCAACAAAAAGTATCAGAAAACCGAAAAAATTGGGCAAGGAGCATCGGGAAGTGTTTACATTGCTGTGGAAACCAGCACCGGAATGGAAGTTGCTATTAAGCAAATGAACCTAAGTCAGCAGCCTAAGAAGGAGCTAATTATCAACGAAATTTTGGTCATGAGAGAAAACAAACACCATAATGTGGTGAACTACCTTGATAGGTACGCTGGGTTATGTATATAATAATGTAATCAGCGTAAAGAATCTAGAAATAGCAGAACTGATAAAAGGAATATGGAAACTTGGCGAATGCGGAAAATTTTTGCTTTGAAAAATTTTTAAAAGTGCTTTGAATTTGAAACACCATCCATGTTTGAAGTAAGTACGTAGTTTGCTTTACCGTTAGCACATGCCGTATGATAATACGGTGTGCCCATCAATCTGACGCTTGATCGGTTTATGTTTCAGTTATCTTGTCGGAGATGAGTTGTGGGTACGTTGAAGCTTTCTAAACCCGAGTTTATTCTGTGATATACGTATATGCACCAATTTTTTTACCAGGTGGTAATGGAGTATCTTCCTGGCGGTTCCTTGACCGATGTCGTAACTGAAACCTGTATGGATGAAGGGCAGATTGCGGCTGTGTCCCGTGAAGTGCTGCAAGCGCTGGAATTTTTGCATACCAACCATGTTATTCATCGGGACATCAAATCAGATAACATCCTGCTTGGCATGGACGGAAGCGTCAAACTCAGTAAGTTGGTTGTTTGTCGTTCGTTTAGTGGTTTAAAGTCTGAAAAGAATTTTTGGACAGGAAATGCCGATAATTTTTATGCATTTGATGAGAGACTATGGGCTCGTATAATATCTCATACAAGATTTCAGCTAGATAGCATTTCTTTCCGCACTTATAGATGTTGAGTACTGTACTGTTCTCCAGATGGCAGTTTGTTTTGGTTGATGTTCCTAGAACTATTTTATTGCTTATGGAAAAATTGTCGTACATACGATAATGAACATTCCAGTCAATCTTTAAGGTTTAGCGGCTGGTTGCTCGATTTCCGGTTGGCGGTACTTTCTGATTTTTGAGTGAATCATTGATTTTATCCAGATAGTATTTGTATTTGTAACGATATCTAACCCAATTTTGTGGTTCTTTGCAGCTGATTTCGGTTTTTGCGCTCAAATTTCGGCGGAACAGAACAAACGGACAACTATGGTCGGAACCCCGTAAGCGGAACTATTTACATTGTTCCGTATTTGCATCTTTAATCATTTTCCCATTTGGTTTAAAGATATTGGATGGCTCCTGAAGTAGTAAAACGCCAAGAGTATAGCTTTAAGATAGATGTTTGGAGCCTGGGAATCATGGCAATCGAGATGGTGGAAGGCGAAGTGAGATTAGTTTTTCGCGTTTTATGTGCTTATGTTATAAAACTGAGATTATTTGACTGTCTAGCCGCCATATCTTAATGAACATCCCTTGCGAGCCCTTTATCTGATTAATACCCACGGCCGACCGGAAATCAAGAGGGACAAGTTGAGTAAGGTCTTCCAGGATTTCCTGGACAGCTGTTTGGAAGTTGAGCCCGGGAAGCGGCCCACAGCTTCCGAACTGCTCAAGCATCCGTTCATTAAACAGGCCAAGCCTTTAGCCACGTTAACCCCGCTGATTCTGGCTGCTAAAGATGCCGCACGGTCTGGTTAAACTTGCTTCAGTTTCCTCGTCCTGTTAGCGTTACGCGTCGTATACGTAATTGCCGCCGTTTTGTGAATTTTTGTTTTCATTCTTTCAAATGCCCTTTCAAGCGTTTGTTATGGGTCAAGCATTGCAGTTTATAATTTTTATACGTGGTCTCTTTTTGCAGCTTAGCCATATTTGATCGTTTTTATAGATGTTGAGTACTGTATCTTTTTTATCAGTGGCCGGCTTCTACAATTCCATGTTTTTTACAAAAGAACTACAACTATTTTAGGTCTATTAACATTAAAGAAGGTCAACGTTAAAAAATTGACGCGTGCGTGGCGTACGTACGCGTATTTAATTCATAAAAAATCTTGACTGAACTGGGATGAGACCTTGAAAAGCTTCGCGCATCTTACTATCAGGTGGTAAGAATACTGTGTTCAAGTGTGTCGTAGTACAAGAATCGAAATACCGATACGGTATAGAACTATGCGTACTCGTGCGTGGACGGTAAAACGAATGCAAACCACTATTTTTCCAGGCATTGGTATTGGCTGTTTAGTGCTTACTAATGTGCATGGTTATCTGTTTGGCAGCCAAATCAGAAATCTTGAAAATTCAGCCATCCTGGGAATTCTCGGGAATCTTCCTTGTCTTACAACTATTGATTTTAATTGTCTTGAATGGCTGTGCTGAGCGGACACTGCTACCGGTCTGCTGCGTTCCGTTGTTCCTGTGTCGTACACTCGTACATAATCCGAGGTTTGATTGGTTCTGTAGTGCGATTGTTCGAGGTCTGTGCCAGTTATCAGGAATCACCACAAGATCGTTTTCTAATCGGTACATGTATGGCTCGGCGTCTGAACAATGTTTTCACTATATAATAATTTCACCGTTCTCGCCATTGTATATATTCAATAATAATATTATTTCTGAGATCACAACCCGTCTGCCTATCTAACCAAAACGTCTTCTTTCTTTTGCTCTGGTGCGAATTCATGCAAAATAAACCGGTTTTCGACTACGTCCACATGCTTTGCAAAATACGCACATTAAAATGGCGAAGTGATATAAAAGTTACGATTGCGTACGTCCTTATTGCTGTCACGTTAGGAATGAAGAAAAAGATTATGATGGTGTTAATATAGCGTCTTCGTTTTTGTGCTGGTTGGCTGTCCCAAGACGTATTGTATGAACTGGGCTCATTAGACGGAAGAAATGACCGGGAACGTTTTGTTAGCACCGTGTGAAAAGGTTCATCAATAACCCTTTTGTTATTATACACACATGCAGTACGCAATGCTCTAGACCAATATAGAACTGTACTCCGGGTCTGGTTTTTTCATAGCGGGAACAGCCTTCCGAGTAATGTACTTCATAAATAAAAGAATTTATTTTATCTTTGCCTATGGCAATGGTGGTTTAATTGCGAAAATACTGGCTACGGCCATTATGCGCCGATTTCCGTTCGTCATTGAATTATACAAGTATTTCAGTTGCCGCACTATAAACCTGCTGCTTTCGTGTTTACGGCAGACGGCTGTTAATTAATACAACGACGAATTGTATAAGTCACACACCGTCTGTTTCATGAGATATTTCCTAGCAGAAAAGTCATCATTTGATAAGCAACTGAATAATCGCATTCACTTGAATTTCACTTCTCCAACTCGGTGCTCATGGTCCTTAAGTTTTTTAACGGTTCTTTAGTTCGAAATCGATAAGGCGTTCGTTGCAAACAGCTGCATAAATGTAGCGTCATAAATCTTCGGATTAGCCTTCCTGTATATTATGTACAGTTTTACCGATTCCTGCAATCGTACACAGAATGTTACAGTCAGAAAAACCGATGACATTTTCTGGCTGGAAATTGTCGGTAAGTTGAGTAAACCATTACAATGTTAGCACTTAATTATATGGCTTAAACGCACAGTTGCTTTTCTATCCTTTGTTTTTTTATCGCTTTTTACATCTACAGCATCACTGCTTAATGCTACAAAAGTTTTGGTAGCGTTATTGAACTGTGCGTTTATAAAGGACTTTAATTTCATATGCATGTGGTGCGTATACACGACTAAACACGAGTAAGCACCGGTACAGGTTCGAATCTCTTCCTGCATGCGAAAAAAGTGCATCAATGTATTGCGAATATTAATGTATTACTACTTCCACAGGATTGCCGGTCCTGGTGGTTGTGTGCACTATTGGAAATTTGTTGAACATTATTGTAATGACCTGCGAGCGGCCATCCCCTCGAACGGGAAATGCCCACATGGTTTCCAAAGCCACAAAAGTTTTTCTTCTGGCGATGGCGATATCCGATCTAATACTGATGTATGTAAGCACGTATAATATTTTTATAGTTAAAATACGATACAGTATTCGGATTCCTTTCGTACCGTAATGAGTACTGTTAATAATGACTGTTGATATACAGTAGAAGTAAATAATAAGACTTACGATTAGCTACTCGTATATTTAGTATGCGACACGTATTGCACATTTGCACTTGTAGGAGCATTCTAGATCTGCTTACAGGCTGTTACAGATGGGTGCGATCCCTTCAGAGGTTATTTTAATGTTTGAAAATACAAATAGTACAACAATGCAAATTTTATAAATGCAGTTATTACAAACAAATATAATTCAACAGGTGCAGAAGTTTTCTGCCACTAACGTTAAATACAAATTTTGCAACGCAGGTGGTTGCAAGTCCCCAGGTATCTAGCGGAATACGTCCAAAACATACAATGGGGAGAAAACAGTGACCTTGCATTAGGATTCAAGAATTTCTATGGAGCACAACAGTGGTGGTCGGATGCGTCCATAACCTTTTCGGACTGGTCAGTGTTACGGCATTATTATAACAGTGCTTTTGCCAACAACCTGTCGAAACAGTATATTGTCGTACTTGACATCTAATTTTTCATGAAGTGCTTCCTACTTGAAAAATTAGTTGCCGATTCACACAATAAGTACTCCTGCAATAATCATAGTCTAGGGTGGACTAGACAAGGAATTTTTTAATTTATTAGGGTACTGATCGCCTTTTCCATTGAACGGCTGAGATCATTCCGACACTTGGCCTACTCCTTCAGAACTGCCAAAGAGTCAGTCGCCAAAGAGTCAGTCGGTCAAAGCCATGAACCGGTATCAGCCACCTCATCCACATCGTCCGATGACCAGCCATGGAACATATCCGGCACTTCGAGGGTACTGGACATGAAAACCATTTCCGGTGCAGCGCTTCGCACAAAGTCCTCCAAAGACCGAGAGAATGGCGGGCGCGCTATTCGCCGGCGGACAGCGGTCATCATTGTCATCTGCTTACTGATCGCGGCTCTCACCTTTACGGTAGAGAATGCGGTGTATTTTTTCTACTGGCGTGTTCAAGATCCCAACGACGGCCAACCGTACCACAAATTTCGCCCTGAATGGATTACGTTGTGGCATTTCTATCACAATATCCTCGATGTAAGTTTAAGAATGTAACAACTATCGTAAAAATCATAGTAGTAATTATTAATTAAGGAGCAAATGGAGCAAACGCAACGAAGGAAATTGTTATTAGCGTCGACGCGTAATTCGAGTATTCCGGTCGTATAGCGAGTATAGGAAGTAGGGAAGGGGCCGGTTGGCGTTGCCCGTCCATGAACAATACACGGCTAAAGGTCACAAAAAGGTTGGGGTGGTCGAAAAAGGAATAGTGAAATTTCTGTTACGCTATACTTTAGTGACGCCTTATATAATAAAGGAAATGAAGTAGAATACAGCCTATACAGGCATCAGAATAGGTAGAGTGACCTTATACAATTAATGCAAGCTGTACACTTACGCTTTGGTGGCATATGGCACACCAGTGTATAATACTGCGAATTAAGAAGTTAGGTATTATATGAATTTTAAAATAATAGTAACTTTCGCTCTTAGCTGACTGTAACTTTTTTAGTGGCAAGGAGCTACGGGATGGGAATACTGACTCGTGAGGTATCCCGTATTCGGTGAGATCTGTCAGGCTTTCACCGACATAACAGCGCGGTTTTAGCGCTATTCTGGTTGCCCATATTATGCAAGTACAAAATGCTGAATTTTTTATTTTCCTCGGATTTTGCTAGTGGTGTCCGATGGTAATACTTCAAGTTATCGTTTCTCGCCGCAATTCCACAGTACGTTAATGTTTTTGGGTCGCACATGAAATTGCTACAACATGGGCGTCATCGTGTGCTAGCCCAAGTATTCCATAAATCGTAATTTTGAAACTTTGCACTAATTTAAAGCATACACGTCTGTTTTTTCAATTTCAAACTTATCGCTTCTTCGGTAGGTAATAGTACGTAATATTTAGGCATTAGGTACTATACTCGTCATAATGTTTACTAGAGGACGTTCTCCCTGCCCATTACCTGCGTTTACGTTGCTTGAGGTTTTTTGGATCGGTAACTGCATGTTCATACTGCTTCAGGCTGTTTGGTCGAATTCCTTATAGCAACATTTGTAAAAACGAATTTCTGTGAAAGAACACATACAAGTATTTGGTCAATGTCAAAAAGCAGAAATCCTTTTGCCTGAAGACAAAAACAGGCTGAAAGATGAACTCCGTCGGCTAAACTGGTACCCTTCAGTGTCAGAATATTATTTTTTAATATATAATTTTTACAGAATGTGGCTGACAGGCAGTAGTGTACCAGTACTTTAATGCATAAAACTAGAATCCACAAATTTATATAATATACTTTGCTACTTGATTCTTCTCGCTACTTTACTGTACAACAGCGTAACATTAAGCACGTAGTCATACAAGTAGAGATATCAGTATCGAGTTTCTTCCGCTCTTCCATAATTATATAATAAAATTACAAAAATTATTTTCTGAGAATTTAGGTTTCTTCGGGTAGCGTAATATTGCAATAGTATTGCAGCATTGCTGCCACCATCGCCTTGTTCGTTTGCAGTTATGAAGAAGTGTTTATTGTTGTTGACCCAAAGAATTTAATGAAGGCAGTCAACGGTACCACATATCACTACATTAGGTTGCTGCATCATTGCAAAATATCTGCTTCTGTGTGACTATGCAGTATTTTATTGCCTTTCTTACGCCGTTGTTTTTTAGGTAGCCATGACCGTGGCAAAATTTGCGGCACTTCTTCTGATCAACGCACATCTGATTTTAATATTGTTTCAACAACAAGCAACAGGCTATTTTTCCAACGGAAAAGATTCGCAGCTTCGTACGCACCGGAAGCGGCATTCCAGTAAGGAACGGACAGGCACAAGGCTGTTGGTTGGATGCCTTGTAGTGTATTTTTTAACACACTGTCCACATGTAAGTCTCACTACCGTATATAGTATGTCACCAAAAAACGATATTACTGAACTGCAATAATTATGTATTAATTAATTGTGCACGTGAGGCAACATACAGTACAGATACATAGGTATATATTACTTGTATCTATATTTATCGATACAATCCATATATTATTCGTTTTTGCCCAATTGCAGGTTGTGTACCAGTGCATCCGATTAGCTGCGTCCTCACCATACTGCACATTTTTTCTCACAGTAGATGCGGCGCTTATTGCTCGGCCCATCATACGAATAATTCTATTCTCCAACTATTCGATTAATTTTTTACTCTATTATGCTCTGTCGCGAAAATTCCGTGAGCAATCCCGATTGATTCCACAGCGACTACGGGCCCTTAAAGAACGCACCGGCGCGGCAGTTGAACGCATAAACCTATGCTTCTTCCGCAGGCCAAAAAGATCCCGAAATGCAGTGCCATTAGCCGCTCTCACCAGTACTAGCAGCAATAGTAGCGCTTGCACAACGGTCAGCACGATCTGTTAATTTTGTGATAGCGTGCTCCATAGTCTTTCTTAAAGTTTTTGATGAACTTTATACTTAAAAGGAGTTTGCAATGCATATTGTAAGTTTGTAACCCCGACGGATTGTAACAGTATTACTTTTTAGTTGTGACTTGCTGTGAAGTTTCATATTTAAACTCAATGTTCATGCCGCGTACTGATGCTGCTGCCGATCATGCATTAAGAAATTACCAAATAAGTTTCTATTCTTAAAGGCTTATGCATCTTGTGACGTATTTCGGCAGTCTTTGCAGTATTTCATTCGGGTTAGACTTTTTAAAAAAGCCACTTCGAATTCTGTTCCGCGAAGTCGGACATGCGAGACTGTTCACTTTCCAATCAACGCGTATTGAACAATATATACGTTGACCCGCAAATCCAACTTTTTATCGTTTTTTACTGTTTCTCAAGAAAAATTGGATAGACTTCCAAGTTTTATATGCTCAGCTATAAAAAGAATGAATGTTACAAAAGCAGTTTGTACATAATGTTACACTAGTATAAGGTCGTAACCGCCCTTAGGGCAAGCGGGCGGCGGTGTTAAGGTTTGGATGTGTAAAAACGAGAAATTGAAATCATTGGTCTGTAGATGCTGTTTTTTTTTTCGCTTTTTCTTCTTTATCGACAACAGCCAGTATACATAACAACATGCCTGCGCTGATTTACACTAATAAAAATGATCGAATTTAAACATTAAAAAAGCATCCAAAATCGTTATAGCCACTCGTGGCCTTCGGACGTGCAGGCAGTGTACCAAAAACAGCTGCAGCATTTCCACGGATTACAGCTAAACTAAATCGTTGTCTTAAAAAAGGCGGTAGATCGAGGTTCGCCTGTAACTTCACGGATCTTTCGGCCGACGAAACGGATCAGCTCGGCAAAAGGCATTCCGAAAGTCCCGAACGTCTCGACTGCCAGCGGGTAAAACAGATATCCCATTTCTTCGATGAAATCGTATGTCCGACGCTTGCTTGCTTCGGCCAGTTGTGCTACACTTCCCGCTTTCTTCGAGCTGGCATGCACATGAGACACCGCCACAGTATCCCAGCAGGTCGCGTCCCACACAAGCGCTTTACCCTCCCGCACAGGAATCAAGGTCATGCCGTCTGGCCACTTGTTATTGCGTGCAGACAATCCGACCAATTCAATTCACATATAATTGACCAATTCACATATAGGACGGACTAGCATTCTATTGGTCGATTGTCACGTGGTTCGCTTGTCGTCCAGCAGGTGTAGATTGTGCGGACTGATCCTGCATTTGCTGTGTATTTTACTGCTTTTCACTTTTTCTTTCTGATCTTAAAAAGGGATTTTAGATTTTTTTAAATGGTTAAGGGCCCTGATAGCTGGATATTATTGGAAACTGCATCAGGGAATTTTCTCGTTTGATATACAGGCTTGAACCGCCTGATTCGTCCACAGCCGAGTTTCGTCGAGTAAGGCAGCTTGCTCATGGTGGATTTGTTGTTTTTCTGGATGCAGCAGGTTCCGAATCGCGGGGTGGCAATTTAGCTATGCTATCGTTATATCTGAAACCCCAGGACAAATCTACAAAAATGTACGCGGACGAATTTCCGCGAACAGCAGGAAAGCAATGGAAGCGTGCAGTGGATCTTTTTTCTGGGCCTTGCACATCGCCACACTGCACAGTGCACACCGAGCCATACCCATAACGTTTTTCTGAGCACAAATGAAAAATGAAAGCAGATTTTGCTTTAGCTGATATACTTTAATTGTAATAATGTTTTGTAATTCGCAAATAAATTTGCAGTCAGCTAATTAACGTGAGGCAATCAAAAATAGTGATCGCACTTTGTTTGACAGATATGTGGAAACTGGAAAGTGGTAGTTGTCAGCAGTCAGCATGGTCCGTGCTGGTAGACGCATTTAAATCTTTGTCTCGCGAATGATCTGGTTGGCTGACTCCTCTACTCACATTTTTAGTTGAAACTAGCAAGTTATTAAGTACAGTGCAATAAACAGTATTTTTTATGAAACAATATTCAGAATCCTAACGATTTTCGGTAGTGTCAAAAGCATTGATGCAGCTGTGTAATATACAGTAATCTACACCTGCTGCGAATGCGAGACGGAAACCACGTGACTAGCTTACCACGTGGTTTAATATGTGAATTGGTCAATTTAGGCGCTTAAGGAAAGTGAGTTGAACGGGTGGCTGAAAAAATCTCAGCCTTCGTTTTCGGTTTATTTCTCATGAATCACTTATCGCATCGCGAATTGTTCAGACTCACTTCGATAAGCAATCTTTGTGACTAACCAAAACAATAAACCTTGTTTCAGGAAAACAAACCGTGCTTGATAAAAGTAAGGCCAGATGAAACTGTGTAATTATTGTATCCCAGCTTGATGAAGTCAGAATCTTTTCGTAATTTTTTTACGTGCGTCATGTTCGAATACCTTTGACTGGTTCAGGAAGAAAATTGCCATTACATATTACCAACAGGAAAATGTTAGTTGGCACGGTGATTGCGCCGATTGAGCTATAAGGTCAGCAAATTTTGAGAGCTTACTGTAAGAATACAGTTTTTTAGCTACGTACTTCGTTTTTCGCTGTTTTGTTACCAGTTTTGCTGCGCAACAGGCGCAACACGAAATGCCGGCTTAAGTGAAAAATGTAGCCAAGGTATTGTCCTTACAGAAACCAGTTTGATCCAAATAAATTCCTAATGCACTGAAGGAAATTTACTTTTAAGCGGATCTCAGTGGATTTTACGAAAATTTGATGGGTTGGGTCTCGATTCTCCCTGTCCTGGTCAAATAGGGCCACTGAAAGTTGCATTGGTGAACAGCAAAAAAAACAGGAACAACTCCTCCATCAGAAACAGGAGTTAAACTCAGGGTCAGTCAGGTTTAGGAGTTCGGCGAGTTTGTCTGAGTAGCGTTGTGTTCATAACACTTTTTATATTGTTTTATCGTTAAAATCGCATGCTGTACGGTACCTTACAAATCGCGGCTAGATTTTTAAACCTAAAAAGCCGGCGGACTTCTAGTAATATCGTAACTCAATAAGTAAGCGCGGCATTCTCTGCGTTGATAGTACTCGTTTCTTAACAGTTTGTACGGCGAAAGCAGTTTATGATAAAGTATCGAAAGATGCAGTTGCTGTAAATTCTAAATTAAACGCATTGGGTTTTGATTTTTTTACGAGTTTCGGGAGAGGGATGCTTAAAGCCGCGATGTGCATTTAGTACGAGGGGATGGGGCATATTTAACATATTTAAGTGACGCGCCTATGATATCGCAGCTTAAACGAGAAAGATATTATTGTTATCAAACGCACTGATCTGTAAACACTAAAATTATCAGGACAAGAATCGATGATTCAGGGTGCGCCGAAATTGATTTGACGCCCCGGAGTGATAAACTAAGAGGGTGAGCGTTTCTATTTCGTACGCACGGGGAGACGCTTTTAACATTGATTTTGAGAGAAAGATGGGCGTTAAATTCGGATTTTACGAATATATTCTTTGTAACGTAGCACCAGCACAGTTTAAGATATGGTCACCAGTACAATAAAACTTTCAATTGTACACGATGCTGGTCGACAAACGATACAGGCCTGTTACGATACTACGAAAATAGTTTGTGAATGTCATCCTGACGCAAATCAAATCCTGGTTAAAGCGCCGTTCTGTGTTTAGCTGCCCCTTATCTTTGGTTTAATACTTGTTCATCGTCTTGAGTTTTTGAAAATCCAATTATTCTGATGAATGTAATATATTTTTTACAACGAACAAAACCTAAGCCTTTTGGGCGAACCAAAGTTGAAGTATTTCTTGCACCCTAAAGTTTTATCTTTTTTACTTGTAGTTGAAGAGTAGGTGCGCTTAATACTTTATCAAAATACAGCAAATCATTATTATGCTTGAAATCACTTAAAGATCAAAATACATAGAAAACCGCATATTTTGGGAAACGTTACATAAGGAACCAAAGAAGCTATCTCATAAAAAGCGTTAATTAAGCATTTTAAATGTTGATTTTTTCAAAGGCGGCGGTTTTAAAATCATGCTGCTACCACAAAATATGATTAGCATTGACAGTAATATAATTTTATCCACTGTTGAGGTTTAGGTTGAATTGCTCCCACTTCCTTGTACGACCAAACAAACCATGTTGTAAAAGAAAATACATCGACATAGTATAATATATGGAGTGGTAAGTAAGCTAGGTTTACAAACCGCTTTCGCTGTGAAATCGGCGTTAACCGAGAAAAATAAAGCTCAGTGACCTTCCGGGTTTGCGGTGTCAGATGCCCCGGGGTCTGAGGGTGCAGACCACAGTGATTTCTCGGGTTGAACTCAGGTCTTGGAGTAGGTGAAGAAAATTAAAGTCATTAAAGGTCAACACAGCGACCTTTTAGGTTCGCCGCGTAAAGAACTCACGTTTTTTTGGGGGTGTGAAAACATTAAATATTACTAAAGGTTAGATGTCACCCTGTTCGTACCACGGAAGAAACCGATACCCTTTTGTGCTACTGTATTCCATGTATCTGTAAATATTTTGGTTGTAATCTTATGTCCGCTATAATTTGATTTCACTGTTCTCTGCCAATCAGCCGGTATCCCTTCCTAATACCTATTCCCCTTGCATTCCTACCGTACTAACAACTTATTAATTATTTAACATTTATGTATTGTTGCAGTCTTTTTTAGTGTAGTTTCGACGATGCACTTAAAGCATCTCACCTGGATTGCTTATACAGCACTTCCAGGGAGCTAGACGTAAGGTCACGAAGCAGCTATGATTACGATTGCCAGAATAAAGAAACACAAACTCACTGTGCGGCCGGATCGCAGGCTTAACTTTATTAGTACGTCCCGTACGAACGGACGAAAAACTAAAATCAGGTTTAGAAATATGTATGAATGGGCATCTTCCGATACATGTGTCTAGTCATGCTACGCTCGTGGTGAGCTGGTCAGAACAGAAATGGTGAACCGCTTAGACAGCATTCATGCGCTTTAATATCGAGGTATTATCACGTATTCCGCAAGCACTCTGCCCGAATTCAAGGCGTTTCCTAATTTTTTATTTATGAAAACCAAGAACACGCTGGTGAATACATGCGGAATACGGAGAATACCGGAACACATTAAATGGAAGCTACAGTCATGTCTACAGCTATATGGAATACCGATGGAATAATTGGGATTACTGCTGAATGCCAAAGGTACTTTGTCATAGGGGCGAGATTGATATGCCTTCAGAGTGTGCCCGTACGGCGTACTCTCACTTACACTACCTGTATTCTGCCTTTATTCCTAAAGTATTTTCCCTCGCTTATCTCGCCTTCATGACTGATTTACTGCAGCTTCTTGCAGCATGTTAGCGCATTCCCACGTATTCGGTCTGTGTTCAACACGCATTCACCGCTCCAGCAGAAAACTAAAGAGATTTAAAAAAATACTTTGTCAACATGGACTGTTGATGATGGACAGCATACAGGTGAATTCGTGGGAGTACGTTAATGCAACACAGTAAGACAAAGTCAGATGCACTTGCAAAAGGCAGAATGCAGTAAAACCTCTCCTTAAAAACACTCTTTATTTGGTACACTCGTCTATAACATTCAAAATGTAAGGAACTGGATAGTCTCGTAGACTTTTACATACGGAAGATACTCTTTATAGAATTCACCTCTTCATAACAGCTACATACACTTTCCGCGGAACCAAATGCAGTTTTACGGGTGAAGAGAACCTCTGTATTACATTCAGCTGCAGCTGCATACTCTGACGGTACATACAGTAACGCGTATGTAATGTGATGCAATCACATTACATTAACGTCTGAAGGAAATAATTTTAGCAAACCCATTATATTGCTTTCTATAACTTTCTTAAAAGACAGTTAGTTAACAGTTAATTTCATCAAAAATTATATTTGGCATTGTATTTATTACGTTTTTAATGTCTTGTTAACTGCCGCAGTAATAAAATTTTTGTGGCCATCCCGCCAACACTTCACACTACTGTCCTTGCCCCTAAAAACAACGCTGCCTTCTCTATAAAATAAACCCGGTCATAACAAACGAACCGATGGAACCGTGTCTGTATTATATCGAGAGGTTTCGTATTAAGAGGTTTTACTGTACAACGTAAAGGCGCACAGGATAAGTGCGGGATGCATAAGAAAACAAGGTGAACTAAAAGCGGCTGATTTTATAAAGTGGTACGAAGTGAACCATAGGTGCTGAAGGTCACCACAGGGACCTTTCTGGTTCGCCCCGTGAGGAACTCACGTCTTTGAGGGTGTCAAGAACCCGAAAGGTCACCATTGTGACCTTTCGGGTTCGCCGCGTGAGGAACTCACGTCTTCGAGGGTGTCAAGAACCCTAAAGGTCACTAAAGGTCACCGCTGTGACCTTTCGGGTTCGCCGCGTGAGGAACTCACGTCTTTTGAGGTGTCAAGTACCCTAAAGGTCACATTAGCGTTGGCTCTCCCCGTGAGGAACTTTGCACTTTGCATCACCTTAAAAGAAACGCGGGCTCGCTTCGCTCGCCCGCTTGATAATGCTACTAAGGTCATGCTGACGACAGTGGTCGCGGCCAGAGTAACGTATACAACTATGCCGGTATCAAAGTTTTCCCAACTTCCATTGTATTACCGATTCACAATATTCTTGCAATTCACAATATACCGCCGCGACATGCGGGACATCTGAATCTAACTTGCACAAACTGTAAAATGATACATGAATATAATTTGGTGAATTGTTTCGCATAAGAAAGTAGTTTTCATTGTTGGACAACAAAACATTCAAGCGAAGTTTGAACTGTGCTTTACTTTTGACACTTCGGGCGTTTGCGTAGCGTGGGTGGTGGATGGACTGTGCCATATCGTGTGGTACTTACAGAATTTTGAAACCTGATCTTGCAGATTTGTCATTTGTGCCAAAGTTGACAAACCAAAACCAAAACATCGCGGGACTGCTATTTTGCCGTATTCCCAAATACATGCTATGGTCCCATTTTGATTGTTTTATGGTGAACAGTTGTTTCTGATTATTTTGTAGTTCAAAAGGTAGTCTTCCCGTTTATTACAGGATTTGGATTCCTGGTAGAAGGTAGTTAAGCCAGATACGAATTGCTGTCAGTTTCTATGTACAACTTACAATTTCCTCCCTTGCTGCACTGCGTATGGATATGAATATGGATGATTTTTTGAGCCATGATCTCATTTTTGGAGAAGACACTTCTTTTGACTTGCCACAAACTGCCGAACCCGTATGGATTCTGGGTATGCAGTTTTCACTGAGAACTGAGATAACTATGGCAGATTGTCGCTGAAATCTAGAAAGAACTGATTCGTACCGTGTCTTACGTAATTGATTATGACTTTTAACTGATAATAGATTCATGAGAGTTTGGTTTTGAAACTCGCCTTCATGTGACGACGTACGCGTTTTGCAGGGAGGTCGTACAGTGCTTTGTATGACTTGGAAGAACTGAAATCCGATGTAAGGACGCGATTTTGGTTCAGCTACCGTAAGAACTTTCCCCCAATTGGAGGCACCAGTTTTACTACAGACACGGGCTGGGGCTGTATGCTACGGTACGTAAATATATGCATCTCGAGATACCTTAAAAGTTTTGAACATTCATTCAGTACTATACAGAGCTGTTCAGGCCTGATTTCGTATTCGCTTTCGTTTATTGGTTACCGTAACCGATAAAAATAAGAAATTGCAGTTGTTGTGACTGTTAGTGGAAGCGTAATCTTATCGAATAAGAAATCATTATAAATGATTGATTTTGTAATTTCAGATGTGGACAGATGATGTTGGCTCAAGCCCTGGTGTTGCAGACCCTGGGACGTGAATGGCGCTGGGTGGAAGGCGCCGTGCGGGAGCAGGCGTACAATTCCATTTTAGCTCGTTTTCTGGACCACAAACGCTCTTGTTACAGTGTCCATCTCATAGCGCTGATGGGTGAGAGCGAAGGAAAGAAGCTGGGCGAATGGTTCGGACCGAATACGGTTGCTCAAGTGTTGAAGAAATTGAGTTTCTACGATGAGATCAGTAAACTGGCGATCCATATCGCCATGGACAACTTGCTGATTGTTGAAGAAGTGCAGCAAGCCTGCAAAAACAGCAGTGGATTCTGGACACCGCTTCTTCTGTTCATTCCGCTTAGGTTTGTGCGATAGATACACGAGAGTGAAAATATGAGATATTCACACTACCTTATTATAAAGTTGCGTGAAATGCGACTTTCTTCTGCATTTCGCTAGCATGTCGCATGCACCTTGGTATGACTAAGCCCAATCACGATTTGTACCAATATTTTACCATAACCTTGTGCTATGCGATGAGAGATGGTTAAGGGATGGCTGTTTTGCATTTTGCACCAAAGTCTCTGCTCTGTGCGATTGCGATTTCACATCAAATTTTTCTTTTTTTACATATTGGTTTTCCCACATGCTTCCATTGGTTCCGGGAATATGATCCCGAAAATTTTGAGAATCTGTTCTATATGTCTGATCCTACAAGGCTGTGTAGTAGTTCTGCCTCGGTTTAGGTTAATAGGTTATTGTGTTTACTGCAAGATTATAGTAGCTGCTGAGTTCTGACATTATTGGTTCTGTGAAAAATAATTTTGTTTTCAGGTTGGGCCTGACTGAAATGAATCCCGCGTACATACGGGCATTGAAATGTTGTCTTTCTATGAGGGAATCTGTGGGTATTATCGGCGGAAAACCAAATCATGCTTATTATTTCATAGGATTCGTAGGTAAGTTGGCTGCATTACTAATTTACAATATTTGTATGTCTGCTGTCGAACAGTTTCGAATCTGCTGTCGTGTTTTATACTACTGTGATGTTTTGTTTTTTGAAACGCTTAATTTGTTTTAATTCCTGCCAGCTTATTCTGTCACTGGTATTTCATCTTGATCCTATTTACGATAAACTATTAAAATAAAGTACAATATCTGATGCTGTCTGCGATCGTACCGATATATGTCTGCGCTGTGTAAAAAACTAGCTCCATCAGAATGTCATCGATGTGTTTTTTGTGTATTATACAGAAGACGAATTGCTCTATCTGGATCCTCACAAAACGCAATCTGCGCCAAATCTGAATTTTACTAGTCAAATGGAGATCCAGGATATTGTTGACGCCGTGAAGAGCATTCCAGATGAAAGTTACCACTGTAATATGGTTAACAGGATGGATTTTTCTCTGATAGATCCTTCTGTGGCATTAGGTACGCTGGGCACTTATCAAAACTGAGAATTAATTACGCGAAGTATATAAATATAGAAATATAGTACAGTTAAATAATTGCTGATACGTTGATAGCTTGTAATTACCAGTTACCAGTAAAGAAACATATATTTTCATGGTTTTGTTGATCTGATGCTTTTTACTGTGAAGAAGCAGTGCACTCTCACGGTTTTAATGTTATCCTACCGTGCAGTTCTGATTATAATTATGATTTTAATTTAGGTTTTTATTGTCATACCGAAGGGCAGTTTGAAAATCTGTGTAAAATTTTACGCTCAACGGTATTGGACAAGCAACCCATGTTATTCGAATTGTGCGAGAAAGCCCCTGCTGGATGGGATGGAATCAAGACGGTTAAGGTGCCCAGTAGTGTTTCAGTTTCCGGCGACTCGGGTGTAAGGAGTAACAATGGAAAAAGCAAGCGCGGTGCATACGATTATGAATCGGAAACTGATTCCGATTACGAATTACTCGGTTAACCCTGCTGATGTGTTAAGACATAGCGTTATGTAAACTTTTTTATTGCCTTGATGGATTTTTTACGAAAGTGTGGTCAGTTTCGAAGCTAATTATAACAGTAAGATTTATAAATTCATGGAAATCATTATCTCTCCATAAAATGCTTTCTGTACTTTATGTACGTTTGCAGTGTACGGTACATGGATACGGAAAGCGTTATAAAAACCAAGTGACCCGTGTACATGTAAAGGAAGCGAACAATGATGGTGTTATCGTTTACTTTGAAAGTTGCGTATCTATATATACTTCTGGTGCCATTTTTGCTTACCACGCAGCACGGTTAAATTATGAAAGTGTTCGTAAAAAATTGGATTTACGAATCGTGATCGTTATTACTCACGTGCCCGTCGTGTGCTGAGAGTTTACGACTAAGCGGTCGCAGTAGCACAGACACAAGGCTGTACCGCGTGACTAAACGCTTCCGGAACGTGTTTGAGGCTGCAATGCGGCCGAATAAAGAACCCCCTGTTATGCCGTATCGAAATTGATAAAGCAGTACGTGTTAGTGCGCAGAAGCACAGCATTTAAAGTATTTTTGCAACATTATGCATTTTAAGTGCTAGAGCGTTAGGGGTGGGGTGGCATTGAAGTTTCAAGTTGGCAGACAGTGCAGTGCGCCTCGACTGTCTGCGCTGCGTCTGCTGCACTTGTATTGGGTTTCTTTTTTGGTTTTCTCGTCTAATAAGTTTTTCTTGCATGGGCTTCCCTTTAAACGTGCTCATTCTCAGCCGTAGCACGCATGTAATATTTCATTGATGGTTTTGTTTTTCTTCTTATTCACAATAGCAGCGGATTGCAGCGACTCCGAGCATTATGGAAGTGTTTTCTTCTGCACTGTTTTGTGGTTAAAACAATTATTATCCCAATCGCGGGGCTTCTTGCTTTATTGAGCGTACTATGCGTATGTATCGATTTAAACACTCAGGTAAGTGAGGTCACACAGCGTAACAATGAGTGTCTGGCGTCTATGGGCGATCCAGTTGCGAGAAAGAGTTGACAAAGACATGCTCAGTGGAAATTAGTAGAACGTGATTGTCTGAGTTAACTGGACCAGATGGTTTCTTGTTGCTTGAGCAGCATAATCTTATGTAGCATGGATTGAGAGCTAGTTGAACAAGTCAGGACAGACTGTGTTGGTGTTGTTGTTGTCATCGTTCATTCATTACTGTCGTCTGTGGCTGTCTTGCAGTAGAGGCCCATCTCCACATGGATTACTGAACGCTTTTGATGGCTGGCATCGTTCATTTACACTGCATACCCTGAACTACCTGTCTATCGTCGTCTGTGTTCGATGAACAGCAGTAGCATTGGAGGTCTGCCTCGCAATCCGACTGCTGTTAACTGTGATAGATCCCTGTGGGGATCGACGTGCGCGTGGTTCTGGCAGAATTCCTCGGTTTTGAGGCAATTTAGCCAGTGCGCATTACTTTCGCGAAATGATCATTAGAAGTTGACCGTGGAAGTCCTGACTGGATCTACACTGGGTGACGGAATTTATTCATGGAATTCCAGAGCACAGACGCAGTGGTCTCTCTGGATTTTGTTAATTGTTTTATTGTTATACGGATATCCGCGCACGACGGCAGATAGACGGATGAACCTTACACCGGGACGTCGCATCACTTTACTGGCTACGAAGCGCGCTTCTACACATTTTTAGTTTTTGGTATGTGATTACAGAACCGCTTCAGTCATCTTGTAATCATAATTTTCTCCTTCGAAATATTTGCAGAATTTTAGCCACGCTTTATGTTCGCTTATTGGTCGGTTGGCTTTGGCTATGGCAAATATCAATATTCCCCATCATATGAAAGATTCGCGATGGCTTCAGTTAGAGGTACTCTTGGCATTTTCTGTCGGTTGGGAATCTGTCCAGCACGTCAGCGATATCGTTGTGCTGTCTAAAATAAGGATAGAAGCTATAGGTTGACATTACTGCATAGTGTTAATCCGTTAATGTGAAAGGAATTTCGTGCAGTTTGATCTACTTATTTCACAGTTTATTGTCGCTGGGTAAACACAATGGGTGTTTAAAAATATAACTTTCACTGGAATGTCTCATTAGTCCTTTTCGTCCATGTATCGTTGGAAACTTGATTGCCCTCTAGCTGCTACGATTCGTTTAGCCAGTTTTTTTTGTTCAGCGACTGCGAGTACTATTTATCTCCGACCCTGGAAAGCATGTATGTGTATTTTCTAGGTTTGCCGCGAGGCACAGCGCAATAAATGCACGAGAAGCGACGAAGAATGCAAATTCGCTCACCCACCTCCTCATGTTGAGATCCAAAATGGACGGGTGGTTGCGTGCTATGATTCTATTAAGGTATGTGTATTGCCTGGCACTTGTCCTTAATAACAAAGGTACTCAGGCATAATTAAAGCATTTCTGTGAACGACGCTGCGGTATTTTGCAAGAAAGCTTAATTTCAGTGCGTAAGGGAGTTTTGATGATACCATCAGTTTTTAGTAGACTACGTACTTCCCAATCGGCTTACCACGAAGAGATGGCAATCATTTAATTTATCTCCTTGTTTACATGTGTCTTGATTTGCCGAAATTCGTTCCAGAATAATCGAGGTGTGCTTTTATTGTATGCACGCAGTTTGTGTTTTTACAATTTACATTCTTATTAATTCCAATTCTGTGGAAGGGCGCATTAGTAATTTTAAGCTTAATCTTAGGTATGGCACAAACAGCGATTTTTGAGCTTTCGAAAATTGAAAGTTTGTATGGTGCGAATTTGTGAATTTATGCAATTTAACCAAAATTATGGTAGAACCGTAGAAGCGGTGCAAGATTGCTACCTTGACCTTGATGACTTGCACGGTATAATAATTACCCAGTACTTACTGTTGTACGATAAAAATGCTAGCTTTTTACTGGAACATATATTTTCCGTTGTATACCTTGTATCCATAGATTTTAATTCTTATCGTTAGAGCAAATCTGACTATAAAGGCCTTCGTTAACTACCGTATTAGGTTTATTATTGCCAGGAATTCTGAAAATGTGACAGAATTCGCTTATTGCCGGGCACGACACACCTGTACTTTATCCGATAGGGCGAGTGATAGTTAATCCAGATATGATACGTGTTGTTTTCGATTATTTCATATGACGCAAACCTTATGTAATTGTGCCTATTTGATACGATAAACGTGAAACTTATTTTGAAATTGATGCTATACCGTTAGTTTTTCAGTGCATTTTTCGCCGGTTAAATATGAGTGTGTTGTTTGCAGGGACGCTGTAATCGTGAAAATCCTCCTTGCAAATACTACCATCCACCGCAGCACCTGAAAGATCAACTGCTTATTAATGGACGAAATCATTTAGCTATGAAGAACATTCTTGTACAGCAGATGCAGATGCAGTCCATCGCCTTGCAACCCCAACTGCAAATGCAGCCTCAGCTTTCCCTTATGGCACCTTATTATAATCCCGCCTTCTCCACCGGCGCCAACGCTTATCTTGGTTCTACACCTGCATTTTTAGCTTCGGCATCCAGTCCGGGCCCGTCGGGATCCAGTCATTCCGACACGACATCGGCGAGCACGTCCATGTCCAATTTGACCAGCTCACTGCTGCAGCAACAGATGCAACAGCAGCAGCAACAACAGCAACAGCACTCCGGTAGTAAAAGTCGAATGGACAGACTGGAAGTGTGTCGCGAGTTTTCGCGGGGTTCTTGCCGGCGATCCGAGCAAGAATGCAAATATGCTCATCCGGCTGAGCATGTGCAAGTTACTGATAATATGGTTGTTGTATGCATGGACTCTCTGAAAGGTAAGGCGGTGATCTCCGGTGACGGGGTTTGACGGAGCATATGTCTCACGTTATGAAATTAACTGATTCTCGTGGGTTAACGCGTCAATTTCGGCACGTTAGGGAAATGCGGGCGGGACGCTTGTCGTTATTTCCACCCACCGGCCCACCTCGTGCAGCAACTGAAATCTCGCCAATCTGTGAATACACCGGTAAGTTCAGTGCGTTTCCATTGATTGATCGAACTGGATGTGAACATTCTTCGCTGAAAGGGTCTAATTAATGTAGGACCGTTATAGCGTCTCATCTCCGCTTGTTGAGCATGTTTTGCTGTTGATAATTGGATGTTTAGCGAGTGTTTTGTGTTTGATTGTGATTATGTGTACATTTGTCCGCTTGTTGCTTACACACGGCTATTCTTCTTTTCTCCCCATTATCTAGGCTACCGGTAACAGTAGCAGTGCTGTTGCCGCTAATGCTGCTCTTGGCCTTAATGTTTATGCGCCCAGTGCTGCTAGCGTGGCTGCCGTACCAGTGCCCGTGGCTCTTCCAGCCGCCGTATCCGTGCCGGTTAACGTGGCTGCTGCCGCTGCTCCCTCAATGGGCAATAATTCAGAGTATGAGCAGGCCTTTCAGGCGGCGATGGCTGCGCAGGCTGTTTCCGCCTCACCGTTGTTGGCTGCCGCTGCTATGCTCAATCAGAAGCAGGCGATGGCCGCTCTCATGGCGGCGGCTACTCAGCAGGTCCAAGCGCAAATGCAGGCCGCCGCTGCTGCTTCTCTGCCGTCTGTTTATGCGCATTCGTCCGCTGTCAACCAGGCTGCCACCGCTGCAGCTATAACCCCGTCGTTGAATGCCTTGGCCGCTGCTGGCTGGTCCGATTTTGTCTCGCAAGGGCAAAAGGGCTTGAAAAGGAAAGCCTCCTATGAGCAGGACAATGAGCTGGTTGGTTGTTGCATTATTGCATTTGTTGTTTTTTGTGCAATTCTTGAGAGTAATTATCACTGCTGAGCTGTAGTGTATGTTGTAAATCCTGCTTTGCTCGGTCATCAAGGGAATGCTTCACATAAGATTTGATTTTTATCGTTGTTATTATAGTTTAATATCTTTGTTTCATATGAATTTATTTAGTCTGTAGGAAATCACTGTAAGACGTACTAACAAGCTAGTTTGAAGTTGCATACGAGATTATGGAACTGTTTGGAAGCATTTTCCAGTAGAATTTTTTAAGCCGGAACATGTTCTGTATCTCCGTTTCCGGTCATCGCTCAGCTTGGCGAGTGCATGCGACGTTCTGCCGGATTAGCGAAGTTGTTTTTTCAGGTCTTTCATGGCTTAGCAGCATCTGTGAAAAGGCAGACAACCTCACCTCTCTCGGCCCCCTCTCTCGCTCTTTACCAACAACAGCAGCATCAGCAGTCGTTACAAGCAGCAGCAGCAGCAATGTATGGTATTGGTCCGCTACTCTCCAATTTTCAACACAGTCTATCCATGCAGCATTACACACCTCTACATCACCCCTCTATTCCTGGCGTTGGTCTGGGTGGTGTCAGTCCGGGCGGCGGTTCGGGAATCGAAGGACAGCCAGAATCCAGCCAGGACCAGGAATCGCCTAATGAGGATCGTAAGTGCAAAATTTTACAAATTGTCATAACATAATCACACCTGTGGGAATGGTTTGTTGGGTTGCGCGGGAGTTACCTAAGGTCTGTTCCATAAATTTCAGCCCCGTCTTCTTCATGAAAGTACAGATACCTGTCCATGATGCATTGGATTATCCCTTATTATTCGTTGTGTATTGTGAGCCCATGCGTTTACGAATTTTTCGGAAAATGGATATATTTTGTTCCAACTCTTAATCTTCAAGACGAAATTCTTCATCATTGTTCCTGGTGATCTTCAAAACGGTGGCACACCGCTTTTTTCTCCATTCCACAAAAGTTATCTGGTCCTGCTATGTAAATCTAAGCCTTTAATGGATGTTTTGAATCAATCCCGGTCAAAATGAGGTTCTGATATGGCAGATTTAAAAACTGAGGCGATATTTTGGACCATTAGAATTTCGTCAGGAACAGTCCATTCTCCCTTATGGTGTCGCTTTTATCTTCGATGTATGTTTTTTGTCCTTTTTACGTTGCCCATTAATTGTGGATAAAACGGAAGTTTTATTTTTCGTCACTTTGTATGTATTTTAGTTATTTTAAATGTAAAATTTTTACTGTCTGCACTAGTTTATTTGGTTTGTGCACGGGATCAGGGGGAAGGGAAAAGAAGTGATAGCGCGTCCGGTAATTTTTCCTTGTTGGTTGTTTTGATCCGGTTTGGCATTTTGTTCTGTGGTAATCCATTCGGTGTTGGCTTAAATGTTTTTATCTTTTTGTTATGGAGTGAATTTTAACTGCCTAGTAGCATATGATTTGGTACTGGAAGCGCCGATTCGGATGGAAACTTAAAGATGGGAGTTCAAGGGTGCTTGGCAAAGAGGAGAAAGGAAGACAAGAGGGAGGAATAAAAGTGCCGCTAGTTTTGAGAGTTTTTTGTAGAGAGTGTTTTAATCGTGTACTGATTAACTGTTGGTTATTGTTATTTGAATTATAGGTGTTTGTACACGTAGTAAAGTCTGGCAAAAACAATTCTTTTCGTTCGCTTATTCCACAACTATGACATAACTCAAAACGTTCTAGAAGTTTATGTGTTGTAACGGAAAAACGAATGTCCTTGCAAATCAGCCGAGTAATACGTACTGGGGGTTTAATGAAGTTACTCAAAAAATAATTCGCAGAAACAAAATTACACACCTTCACATTTCTTCCGCAGCGGGAAGTACATTTATGGTTTCCAGTCTGCGATTTACAACCGAAATAAAACAATTAAAAGTTTCTGCTGTACCATTCAAAACCCATACAACATCCACACCAATTCACAGGAATGCATACTGAGGATAAAAAGCAAACACAAGAATCGCAACATGAATGCTGCCACACGGATCACAAACGAAGTCAGTGATTAAATTGACAGTCATAATATTTTTAAGTATTTAAACCTCTGTTAGCCTTTAACTCCCATTCTCACACCGGAAACCTGAAAGACAATTTTCCGCTTCAAATTCTTGCAAGGAATTATCTAGTCTTCCGTCTAAGTTGCAATACGCAAGAACTGCAACCAGCATGATATGCTCTACCAAAATTATCGTACAGGCCACATGGTGGAAAGCCAGAACTGATGGTAGCGGTATATAGCATAATAAGTCGAACAACAAAGTGTACGCACTAGTGCAAGACCGCAGAATTTTCCTTACTTGAATGATGCTGACGATTACGCCGAATAACCCAATGGCCGATGCGAAAATCTCCACAATGAGAATTTTGACGAAGAGGGAGGGATTCTGGGCATCGGCCAGTGCTGCACCCGATCCAACAACTCCCACGGCAATGCCACAAAAAACATTACAGAATCCCACTGTCAAACCAGCGCCAAATAAGGCGTAGCCAGCACGCACGGTATCGGACAATGTTTTGAAGTTTAGTTGGCTGAGCTTGAAGTCCTGCGAAAAGACGGCTGGCGTAGAGTACGGAACAAAGCAACGAAATTTTCAGGTAATTTGTACATAATTTGAATAAACTATCATCTTGTTCCTAATACTGTTCCTAAATTGCTGTCAGTAAATCTCAATCGTGAATACTCTGCTCAGAATGTGTGCTGTCACAGGCTCACAGCGCGTGACCATCACAAGCTATACTGAGTGTACTTATTTTTAAATAAACGATTACGACTGGTATAAGTAATGCAGGCGCTTTCCCACTCACTTCGATCAGATTTGTGATGACAATGGCTATAATAATCCCATAAATAGCAACGGCTTCGCAGAAGATGATGCTGACTAAATTCTTGGTCTTGATTCTGGGAGCCTTCACACCACCACCGATGATCGACGAGCCCGTGGAGAAAATACCCCTAAATAATTTGGAAAACTTCTAAATACATGCGCTAAAACTCCGTTGCTGCACTTCGAGTAACCAAAAAAATCAACAGCATCGAGCTAAAAAAAACTCGCAAAATTCAAAAACATTAACTTACCATGCAGCGCCAAGAACCGAGAGCGAGATTGCAGCAGCAGCGCCCGTGGCAGCCCAAATATGGGGATCAAGTCCGGCCAAAAACCTGCAAAGAGCATACTTCACATCCAGCAAAAACTTGCAAACAATCACAAATGCGAAAAATGTAAATGAGACGAATGAGAACATATGGATCATAATGGAAGGACTGCAGCATTTAGCTGATTAACATTAAATTTGGTCATAAGCTTAGGACGGTGATAACATACCATCCAAAGTCGATTCGCTGCCCTTGTCCGGAAAGACAGTAATACACACCTGCGAGAAATCGCGTCAGAAAATTGCTCTGGAACGAGTTCCAAAAGCACTTACCCAAAGCAACAAATATGGCAGCCCATAACAGAATCATCAAACTGATTGCGGATCCTGCACCCATCTTGCTGGTGGAATCTTTCAATCAAATCGAAAGATTAAAGACGTATAGAGAAATTCGTCCACGATACAGGAAAATATGGTTTTCTACACGCTATCCCAAAACCATGTCCTCGCCGAGCTTCGCAAGAAGGGAACGAGTCCACAAAAAGGGAGGAAATTATTCCGCAGGATGGAACACAAACAGCAAATCATTTGCTGCAAATGTCTTGTGTTTCCGTAAAGCTGCGCATGATAAGCCACCAAACGATCAATACTTTGATGGGGGAAGAACGTGGAAGCCCAAAGCGAACGCTTCACACCGACGGGATGTACAACCCGGTCCAAGAGTCTGGAATATGAATAACTGAACCGTGCATAACGCGCACTGCGCAGGTGCGTTCTACGCACCAGCTGTGCGACATGGACTGCGATTTGCCAGGGCGCACAGAAATAAATCGCTTTTCGGATTTTTTAAAGCGAGGGCCTGTAAGGCTGTGTATCAATTGTGAAAAGTCAAAAGAATTTACTATTAGGGTTGTTAATTATTTGGGTTTTCCTACAATTATTCGGTAAGTTTTTGTTCAAGTGTGTATGACTTATGCGTTACGTTGGGGCTTTTACAGAAAATGGCCTCCTTGCGCATGGCCATTCGGAAATTAGCCACAAGTGCTGCAGTTAACCAGCAGCAGCAGCAGCTTGTGCGTCCTCCCATTCAGGTCTTTGGCATTGATGGTCGATATGCGACGGCGTTGTTTTCAGCTGCCTCCAAGGAAAACCAACTGGATCATGTGGAGCGGGATATAAATTTGATGGGCGAGCTATTTCAGCAGAACGCCCGCGTTGCTGATGCACTGAAAAATCCTATCGTTTCTAAGCAGGACAAGCAGGGAATGCTGCAGAGTCTGGCTCGCGAGCACAACTTGAATCCCTTAACACTCAATGTGTTCTCCGCTATGAGTGATAACGGTCGCTTATCCCTTTTGCCCAAGTTTATGAAGACGTTCGGTAACATTATGAGCGCTGCACGCGGAGAAGTGCTGGCTGTTGTCACCACGGCTAAGGAACTGGATGAGAGTCAGCGAAAGAATTTGAATTCGGCCCTGCAGAATTTTGCCAAAAAGGGACAGAAGCTGAAGGTCGAGACGAAAGTGGATCCGAACATTATTGGTGGAATGGTGGTCAGTGTAGGTGACCGCTATGTGGATATGTCAACAGCTTCGAAGATTAAGATGTACTCGAAGATTGTGGAAGAAACTATTTAAATAGTCTTTTAAGTGCGACGTATCGTGTTAGTGTCATGATGTACGCGTTCTTTACAGTTAGTATGTTTTAATAATAAAATTCGTTGGAGGAAGTTGAACCTTTGCGGGGACATGGTTTAATAAGTGCAGACGGCATTCGTTCCAGATTTAAATTATTTAAGACGTTTCTGCTAAGAAAAACATATGAAAGGTTTGTGGATTTGGATCATATGGTTTGCTGCGATTTCTGTTGTTACTTGTTAGTGTTGCACTTTGTCGGCTCTGGGTAACCCGTTGCTGGTTACCAGTGTACACTGACTGCTTTGAAAATTGTGTTCCGTATCCAGTTCGTGTGATCATGCGCGCATTCACATTTGGATATCTGTGTCTTCCAATCGCTTTTGAATACCGATGACATTTTTTTCGCTTTTTTTAAGCAGTTTTAATGGGCTATCGTACTTATATAGGATGTGAATATTGCCACCACGTCGCACCACTTTTGGGCTGTTACTCCCTACTACCTTTTACAGAAGTATCTGTATAGACGTAACTTGTTCTGACTCATTGTTGTCACCAGGTTTTCAGTCTGGAAGAAATTCTCCCCTTTTTATAGCGTGCTTGAGAAATTGCGTGGTTGATTGATTGATGAAGTAACAGGACTACAGGAGCAACTTCGCCGTACCTGTATTGACGCTGCTTAAGTTGCGCCTTTTCTTACGAATACGGCTCGCCATCACCGACCGGAAGTGTCCAGTCGCACAAGTCTGATTCTTGCCCTGCTTGCGATAGTGTGAGGTGTTACTGGATCCCTGAAATGTGTTTTATTTTAAATACGTTTGGCACGGCTTATGTTAATGACTGCTGCATTGGCCGAAGGGTACAACTAGTCCAGAATCTGGTTGCATTACTTCCTGTGTCAGAAATTCCGGTTTCAAAAAGCTCGATTTTTCGATGCCTGCAAACTTTCCATGCGAATAATGCGATCTTGTGTCGATTGCAAACGGAATGCCGCTCATCCTGGCCACTGCACGGTATCGAATCGAAAATTTGAACCCCACATGCGAATCGAACCAGAATTTGGAATCCGTATTTGTTACGAAAAGAACCGTTTTCTAATTTTGGCCAAAGGTGGTGTCAGGGTAGTGGGAAATGGGAATATCCAGGCTACTCAATGGTGTAATCTCACATATCTATATTTAAAGTTATAAATACAAGTATTTAAGGATTCTTGATCGCAATCGTACGAGTGGTAAAATATTCGTTACCAGTATGTTCTGTTACTGTACTTCATGATTATTTATCATGTTAGCTGATGCAGATGTTGGTAAACAAAAACGACGCCGCAATTCACAGCGCGATGCAGCTTTAATTTACCGTTACGAGATTACAGTAAGAAATGACCGTCTGTAGGGAATAACCGAATTGAGCTGATGTTTGTATGTGCATACAGGTATTGTATTGTACTTATTTTATTGAGATTGGCGGTATAGTACAGTCACAAGTTTCCTATAAAAGCAAACGATATTTGCATTTTGTACTGTTACACACAGTATTGTACTAATAACGTATGAATATTGTACAACACATACTGTAATAATTATGTGGACAGCTGTGATGTGGCTAGAAATAATGGGGGCCAGCCGCTAGAAATGGTGGAGATTATTTCGCCGCACTGTTTTAGTTCTGATAGTACTTTGCAGTTACCTAATTGTGTACGCAGGGCAGCCACTGCAGGGAAAAACATGTGTTAACTCCAGCGGATGTAAATACGTGCCTGTGCCATTCCAGCTGTGTTTCAATACAGACACATATACTGTGACCTTTGCCAGTCGAAAACAACCAGCAATGACAACAAATCGTGTATCGCCTAAAAATCAATTTTCGAAAATTTTTAGTTTTCAGAGATTAGCACTTTTGGGAGTTTTATGGCTTGAAGTCTTGAACCACTTTAATTTGTACCTACTACGTAGTGGCTTTGCAACAGAGTGGAGCTACTTATTTTGTTAAAGCGTTGTTGAATAAATAATCATGAAATACGGTCCAGTGTTCAGCAGACAAGCGCCCGGAGACTTATTCATTATGACGGTAATTTATTTATAACAAAAATTAATGCTAAACAGCTCTGCAGGTGCAGTGGATATATTATGGTAGATAATGCACACACATGTAACAGATCAATAATTACGCGTCAACCATAAAATCGTTGGACATAGCTGCACGAGGAATCAAATCGACCAATGACCCTTACATCCTGGGATGGACGATGTCCGTATGCTCCGACACCACCGTGCCTTCGGACACCGTGCGCCCGGCGGCCGACTCAAAATTGACCTCAATGTTGGTGGCCATCTTGGAGCGCTCCAGAGCTTCCAGGGCAAGTTGTCGTTCGTGCTCCAGTTCCTTCTTAGCCATCTTGGCCTCGAGTTCTACTTCTTTTTTCTGACGGTCGATGGTGGTCTCCAGGATGTCCTTGCGGAATTCCACATCGCGAGCATGCTGCTTCTCCAGTTCCTTGCGGATCTTTTCGGCTTCAGCCTCGGCCTGCTTGCGGTAGCTTTCGGTCTTCTTTTCCAGCTCCTTCTCGTGTTGACGCGCAATGGCGGCCTTCTCCCGTTCGTAGCGTTCGCGATCCACCGCCGCCTGCTTCGAAGAGGCGGCCGTCTCGCATACCGCTGTGGCCGTCGCTTCTCCCGCGACTCGGGCGGCCGATGCGCTGAATCCTTCGGAGACGATCTCCTCGGCTAATCCGGAAGCGGATGTGACAACGAAAGGCGCCGGCGGGTTGAGAACGGGCGCTTTGACCTCGGTGTGGGTGTAGTTTGTAGAGTGCTCGTGAGTTTCACAGGTCCGATCGTGTTCGTGATGGTGGTGCTGATGGTGTTCGTGGCGTTCGGTGCAGGCGGGAGCACACACTGTATTGCAGGCTACTCCGGAATGGTGATGGTGTTCATGGCGTTCCGTGCATTTGGGATCACATACGGTGGTGCATGTCACGTTGGAGCACACTGGTGGGACAGCGTTGCCGGTAGTGCGCACTTCCACTTTTTCGACGACTTTCTTCTCGACTGTAGTCATGATTGTATATCGCAAGATTCAGAAGAAAGATAATTACTTAAATGTTGCAAGTAAGATTCGTAACTAAGTAGCTCAGAGAGATTTAGTTTGTCAGAATTATGATTTCGGAGGGAAAGTCTTAGTGTATATATATGTTCCGCAGCTATTCTGTATCGGTTTTGGTCAAATTCCCGAGGTACTCACTGATTGTGAGCTGCATGGGTAGTTTCCTCAACCAATTTCATCGTTACAGTTCTGATTGTGTTACTTTGACTGCATAACTAATACAAGCTGGAGATAAGCTAGAACTTGGAATTAGCCGTTTGAGGAGGATTCTTCATTCGACATTACAAAGTCTGCATTCTTTAGGTGACTCGATCAACCTTATCACCAGCACATGTATGTACTCGTAACTACTAACTACGTTCTGAAATGGTGGGGGTTGGCTCACGATAGGTTGAGATGATGTGTCAATAAATTGATAAGGCCGGTGCTACAATACTAAAAATAATAATATTTGCTTTAAGTTTTCACTGCACGCAGCTTTCCCTTTTATTAAAAACTACGGAGTGCAAACAATATCTGATACAAAAGAATAACAATATATATAGTAAATAGATAGGTGTACTTGAAGTGTTTTGCGTACTTACACAAGTAATCCTTAGCTTGTGCAACATTGTGTAGTTATATATTTCGCACAAGCGTAAAACAAAATTAATACACTTCTACAGTATATATATTATGTAGGAAGAGATTTTACTGGGTACCGGTGACCACTGACTACTTTAACCATAAGGAGTTTATAGTAAAAACCAGCAGGTTAAGAAACGATTCCGTACAGCGTACAACACAATTACTGCAACACAAAGTGCAACACATTTCGTATTAAAAAAAGTTGTAAATACAAAGGTAAAAAGGTAATATCTAAATTAGTATTAGCTGGAAACTTTAATATAATCATAATATTACTAAACTAAATTACAGTATTTAGTAATATTATGATATAATGGATGACTAAACATTTCCAAAGGCCTGATTTAGCTTTATTATGCTTTAGGCCTGATTTACGATTAGCTTTTTTCAAGCTTTTACTTACCAGGTAGCGATACAGGCGCAATCTGTAAAATTTATTTTAAAACAATCTGTAAAATACAAAGCGGCACAAGATCCACATTGAAATAAAAGTGTAAAATAGATCCACAGTGGATCCACTGCTGCATATTGTTGAACTGTGTATTGCCGTAATATAATACAAGAAACAGCCTCGGCTTCGCCTCCGTGAATCTTGTGGTCAACGGCTACTTTATTTAGTTTCAATGAATATTTATTAGAATAACGTATTTCTTCGAAACATAATCGGTACATCGTATTAACGCAAAAAACCGATTTTACATAAAAACACGGATTTTAATCTTTTATAATTTTTTCATCTGTTCATGATTCTCTCAAACCACCATAAATCTTCACAATTGAATTCATGATTCATTGGACCTCAACCTGACGAATCTGGGTGGAAGCTCGGTCACTCCTTCAACTAACGCTCTGTGCACTGGACAGTACCGGTAACTTGTTCATAGCATAATGGGCTCTGTGAATCCGCTAGCTCGGTCTCCCGCTAGCTTGTTTGCCTAACGGGCTCTGTGCACTTGACAGTACCGAGAGCTCGCTCACCCGCTCACCTAATGATCCCCTTATACTGGACAGTACCGGTAGCTCGGTCACCAGCTCACCAAATGATCACCGTGCACTGGACAGTACCGGCAGCTTGGGCTCTGTGTACTCGACAGTACCGAGCTCACCTAATGATCCCGGTACACTGGACAGTACCGGTAGCTTGGTCACTCGTTCGCCTAACGGGCGCCGCACATGGACTGTACCGGTAGCTCGGTCACCCGCTCACCTAATGATCCCCGTGCACTGGACAGTACCGGCAGCTTGGGCTCTGTGTACTCGACAGAACCAAGAGCTAGGGTCACCCGCTCACCTAACGGGTCCTGCAGGCTGGAGAACCGGTAGCTCGGTCACCAGCTCACCAAATGATCCCCGTGCACTGGACAGTACCGGTAGCTTGCTCTGATCCCCGTGCACTGGACAGTACCGGTAGCTTGGTCACTCGTTCGCCTAACGGGCGCCGCACATGGACTGTACCGGTAGCTCGGTCACCAGCTCACCAAATGATCCCCGTGCACTGGACAGTACCGGCAGCTTGGGCTCTGTGTACTCGACAGTACCAAGGCTAGGGTCACCCGCTCACCTAACGGGTCCCGCACGCTGGAGAACCGGTAGCTCAGTCACCAGCTCACCAAATGATCCCCGTGCACTGGACAGTAACGGGCGCCGCACATGGACTGTACCGGTAGCTCGGTCACCCGCTCACCTAATGATCCCCTTACACTGGACAGTACCAGTAGCTTGGTGACCAGCTCACCAAATGATCACCGTGCACTGGACAGTGCCGGCAGCTTGGGCTCTGTGTACTCGAAAGTACCAATGCGGTCACCCGCTCACCTAACGGGTCCCGCACGCTGGAGAACCGGTAGCTCGGTCACCAGCTCACCAAATGATCACCGTGCACTGGACAGTACCGGCAGCTTAGGCTCTGTGTACTCGAAAGTACCGAGAGCTAGGTCACCTAATGATCCCGGTACACTGGACAGTACCGGTAGCTTGGTCACTCGTTCGCCTAACGGGCGCCGCACATGGACTGTACCGGTAGCTCGGTCACCCGCTCACCTAATGATCCCCTTACACTGGACAGTACCAGTAGCTTGGTGACCAGCTCACCAAATGATCACCGTGCACTGGACAGTGCCGGCAGCTTGGGCTCTGTGTACTCGAAAGTACCAATGCTAGGGTCACCCGCTCACCTAACGGGCCGGTAGCTCGGTCACCCGCTCACCCGCTCACCTAATGATCCCCTTACACTGGACAGTACCGGTAGCTTGGTGACCAGTATCTAATGATCCCGTACACTGGACAGTACCGGTAGCTTGGTCACTCGTTCGCCTAACGGGCGCCGCACATTTACTGTACCGGTAGCTCGGTCACCAGCTCACCAAATGATCCCCGTGCACTGGACAGTACCGGCAGCTTGGGCTCTGTGTACTCGACAGAACCAAGAGCTAGGGTCACCCGCTCACCTAACGGGTCCCGCACGCTGGAGAACCGGTAGCTCGGTCACCAGCTCACCAAATGATCCCCGTGCACTGGACAATACCGGCAGCTTGGGCTCTGTGTACTCGACAGTACCGAGAGCTAGGGTCACCTAATGATCCCGGTACACTGGACAGTACCGGTAGCTTGGTCACTCGTTCGCCTAACGGGCGCCGCACATGGACTGTACCGGTAGCTCGGTCACCCGCTCACCTAATGATCCCTGTGCACTGGACAGTACCGGCAGCTTGGGCTCTGTGTACTCGACAGTACCAAGAGCTAGGGTCACCCGCTCACCTAACAGGTCCCGCACGCTGGAGCACCGGTAGCTCGGTCACCAGCTCACCAAATGATCCCCGTGCACTGGACAGTACCGGCAGCTTGGGCTCTGTGTACTCGACAGAACCAAGAGCTAGGGTCACCCGCTCACCTAACGGGTCCCGCACGCTGGGGCACCGGTAGCTAGGTCACTCGTTCGCCTAACGGGCGCCGCACATGGACTGTACCGGTAGCTCGGTCACCCGCTCACCTAATGATTCCCGTACACTGGACAGTACCGGTAGCTTGGTCACTCGTTCGCCTAAAGGGCGCCACACATGGACTGTACCGTTAGCTCGGTCACCCGCTCACCTAATGATCCCCGTGCACTGGACAGTACCGGCAGCTTGGGCTCTGTGTACTCGACAGTACCAAGAGCTAGGGTCACCCGCTCACCTAACGGGTCCCGCACGCTGGAGCACCGGTAGCTCGGTCACCAGCTCACCAAATGATCCCCGTGCACTGGACAGTACCGGCAGCTTGGGCTCTGTGTACTCGACAGTACCGAGAGCTAGGGTCTTCTAATGATCCCGGTACACTGGACAGTACCGGTAGCTTGGTCACTCGTTCGCCTAACGGGCGCCGCACATGGACTGTACCGGTAGCTCGGTCACCCGCTCACCTAATGATCCCCTTACACTGGACAGTACCAGTAGCTTGGTGACCAGCTCACCGATTGATCACCGTGCACTGGACAGTACCGGCAGCTTGGGCTCTGTGTACTCGACAGTACCAAGAGCTAGGGTCACCCGCTCACCTAACGGGTCCCGCACGCTGGAGCACCGGTAGCTAGCTCACTCGCTCACCTAATGATCCCCGTACATTGGACAGTACCGGTAGCTTGGTCACTCGTTCGCCTAACGTGCGCCGCACAATGGACTGTACCGGTAGCTCGGTCACCAGCTCACCAAATGATCACCGTGCACTGGACAGAACCGGTAGCTTGGTGACCAGCTCACCTAATGATCCCCGTACACTGGACAGTACCGGTAGCTTGGTCACTCGTTCGCCTAACGGGCGCCGCACATGGACTGTACCGGTAGCTCGGTCACCAGCTCACCAAATGATCCCCGTGCACTGGACAGTACCGGTAGCTTGGTCACTCGTTCGCCTAACGGGCTCCGCACATGGACTGTACCGGTAGCTCGGTCACCCGCTCTCCTAATGATCCCCGTACATTGGACAGTACCGGTAGCTTGGTCACTCGTTCGCCTAACGTGCGCCGCACAATGGACTGTACCGGTAGCTCGGTCACCAGCTCACCAAATGATCACCGTGCACTGGACAGAACCGGTAGCTTGGTGACCAGCTCACCTAATGATCCCCGTACACTGGACAGTACCGGTAGCTTGGTCACTCGTTCGCCTAACGGGCGCCGCACATTTACTGTACCGGTAGCTCGGTCACCAGCTCACCAAATGATCCCCGTGCACTGGACAGTACCGGCAGCTTGGGCTCTGTGTACTCGACAGAACCAAGAGCTAGGGTCACCCGCTCACCTAACGGGTCCCGCACGCTGGAGAACCGGTAGCTCGGTCACCAGCTCACCAAATGATCCCCGTGCACTGGACAGTACCGGCAGCTTGGGCTCTGTGTACTCGACAGTACCGAGAGCTAGGGTCACCTAATGATCCCGGTACACTGGACAGTACCGGTA